AAATGATTATGTGGAGATACTTCGTGTATTTGTCTCATCGCAGGGCGCAATTGAAAAATATAGCTTGCACTTCAATAAACTGCTTTCTACATATAAGAATATAACATTAGTCATTACGGATTGCATAACGCGTGCACCTCAATAAGCTGCTTTCTACATATATAAGACTAATATTACGGATTCTACGTATAAGATTGATATTATACTTTCTAATATTACGGTTGGTATACAAGTAGCTTTACTATAAATGCCATGAACACTATACAGAAATATGTTTCTGTTTCGCTAATTAATAATGTGTATTCGCTAAGGTATGCATTGTAAACTATAGTGATGAAAATTTTGCAAATACTTTTCGTGCGTAGACACATAACGCAACCTCTACCTATTTGTGCGCAAATGTCATGACATGCACGATATTTGACGATAGATATGCAAATCCCCTAATTTAACAGAGCGCGTGCATATTTGCTTGCAAATATCTGGGAAATAAATGTCCATCAATGTCACTAAACGAATTTTGCATACGTTCCTTTCAATCAGGCAGGAGTAATATGCCATGGGCGTTAGGTATATGGATAACGCCATGCACGAAACCTTAAAGGTCGACACATGCAGACCGGACGTGAAGCAAATTTTAAGTTTTCAGGAGCATATAAATTAAATTCTAGAAGCAAATTTTGGACTATATCGATGCCAGAGCAGTCAAAATGTATTATCGTTAAGTATAGTACAAGAATATTATGATAGGTTAAAATTCATTTGCTTCTTTGGGAAATAAAAAAACATTGAAAGCTTGCACCACGTTGCCCTGAATCGCGACACATACAGTAAATCGTATAGGGATTTGCACCGCTTCCGAAAACATTAAGTAACGAATACCACTGAAGCCACAAAACCATCGTTCCAAATGCATGCACTGGACAATTGCATGATTATTTCTCACTGCTAGACTGCTGTCGCGTTTCGTTGCATGAAAAACTAGCGTATTTATGAAGTTTGTTCCTTTGGGTTATCTAAATAGTTTGACCAACTGCAGTAACAGGATGTGATTTTGCCCAATTTCAAATATTCTTTGTCTATTTTTTAAACATGGCATTTAATTCCCCTTTCATTCAAGGCTTGCAATTCAATCTCTTTACGTCTAGCAACGCTGCATCGGACCCATATAGGGAAGACCCATATAGGGAAAACCTTCGAATGCATGCATGCTCTCTGTATGGCTATATCAATTACAACACACTAATGGGACTTTCCCGACATGTCAACTTAAAATCCTAATGCCCCATGGCCATGTATGAAATACGACAGTGGCTCCATTCATGATACAACGTTAAGATGCTTAAATTAAAATTTGTCAACGGGCACTCAAGCGTTGTTTTAAACTATTCTTGGTATTGATTTTTAAGCCACAACGTAGCCCCGAGAATCACGCCAACTGGATTAAAACGACATATGAGGAACAGCCTATGATGGAACGGAGCCTGTAAAGGTAGGACTTCCTTTTCTGAAGTATGTAAACGCCATGGACCTATATATGTCCTATATAGTCTTATAGACACTGTTAAATAAAAAATTAAGCGCTATGTCTGCACTTGAAAAAAGCGTGTCGCTGATGCATGTGTATGTGCGTGATGTTTTGATTAAATTCATGCATGGCTGGGGAGATTAAGGATATTACGCCTTAAATATCTAAGGTATATTATCCCAACCTATTTGACTATATATAGTTTTGAAAATAAAAAAAATGCTTTGAAAATTTATTGGGTGTTTTTGTGGTACAACTATACTTTTTATACAACGTTAGCTATATCAGGATTTGCAAGGATTAGTTGAAAGGTTTTCTCTTCATGAGAACATACATATTTGCCATGGTTTGCATTCATAACACGGTTAACACCGAAAATGCTCGACATTTCAGGTTGTTTGGCTGATAAAAATTGCAATTAACTTCATGTGCAAATATATGCAGTTATCAAAATTAGATCTTTTCTATTATCTTGTGTCCGATATCTCATGCACGCGTACATGCACTCTGTGGTTTGTGAGAGAATATATAGAAGGTTGTGGGGGAGTCTCTTTATGACACGACTTAACTTGTGGCAACGTTACTTAGCCTATACGGATATGTCGGTCGGTTGTTATAGCGTGCACAGGTGACGTGAGCAGGACTGTATGGACTATATATATATCCTTTCAGTGAATTTGGTTACGCGGACCCAATCGAACAGGTTTTCAAGTACCAGTTTTAGCTAAAAGCTGTCGGGCTTATTGTATATTGCAGTTTATAACACGTCCTAATTATTTTAGGAACAGGCTGAAATTTCAGCCCGAAGCTAGTTTCGGTAAAGTCTTTTAGTAGACCCAGCTATTTTGCATGATTCTAAGAACGCTCTCAAATGCCTAATGGCAAAAACTTGACCTTCGAGGGACTGTGAGGGCACATAAAAACTAAACAAACTAACAAAAAGCATTATGAGGGCGCTTTCTGTATTTTGCAATTTCTTTACGATTACATGCATGACATTACTGCATGTATTAACTACCTAGGTGAAATCAAGTCATGCATGTCAATATTTTCTCAAAACTTAATTTTTAATTTTTAATTAGGGTTGTTTTATTGAGAAATTTGGGAGCTTTTACTGCCGTCTATCTTTTTTTAACAAACGACGACAGCATAAAGAATAAAATTTACCATGTTCGTTTTAAACATCAGTCAAGTTTAGCGTTTGAATGGACAATGTTTACCACAAGAATTAAGCGATGTTAAACAGTTACAAGTGGGTATTTATTCCGGCTTTATTTTTGAAATATCTGATTAATATTCGCTGAAATGTTATTCTTTTTCCTTAACTCTTGTATATAAGTCATTTTTGTCATTAGCTATAAGTACGCGTTAATTAATGAGACTGTTGAATTTTCTGTCAGTAAGATGTTCTCTAAGGGAGAGCAAACAGTTATATAGTTCGCTATCTACATATTCACATCTGATACGCGTCATTCCCCAGCTAGGTTAGCTAGCATTCGATTCATTAGCGTGTGTTTAATAAACACGCGAAAAAGTATTCGACTGCCAAATTGCTGCACACGATATAGAAATTTTCAACGTGAAGTCTCACTCGGTTTCAGAATGGTTAAGTGGTTAAACGAGTTTACTATGTTAAATTTCTATTGGAACATTCTATTGCACTAGTTGCGTGCTAACGGGTGTGACAAGTTTCCGTATTATTTGTGATTTTGCCATCGCTAAATGGGCGAAGGTGTGCCATCAAGTGGGATGACACGTAATCGGATCATCCTATCTTTGTTCAATATGGCCCGTTTTTTTTTTACAGTAATATCAGCCCTAGTTTCCGCTAGATTACCCTGCGGTGCCTCATCTATAACTCGATCGAACGATAAGCTTTTTAGATTTCCAATAAACGCTCCCGATCCACGCATAAAACTAATTTTGTCGCATGGATTTATGTTACGGCTGTGTATTGTAGCCAATCAATGCAAATTCAAGCGTCTTTCATTTTCTGATGCGCATGCGCGAGTTTAAATGCCATGCTATTGGCAAGCTCATGGCATGCTCTTTACTTTAGCATTGTAACTTTTCGAAGAAGCATTTCTGGCTAATAGAAAAGATATAGCTACATTTTGCTCCATACGTTTTAACTGAACTTCTACTGCATTAAAGCATTCCATTAAGGGATATTGGTTTTTATGCACGAACTAGATGTTCTACAGCTTACATCGGCTGTATATCAATCGCAGATGTCTGGAGTGATTGCATATACAAAAGGAAATTATGAATAAATGTATTTAGATAATATCAGAAAGAGAGAGAGTTTTCAGCATAATATAATATAGATGCATGAAATCAAAATAATCGCAAAATACATCGCATAGTGTTATGTCGTATATATATATTCACGTAGGTTGCTCCCAGACGCCTAACTGCAGGGGCGATCCATATATTCACGTTCCAATTTTGCAAAGGCAATCGCTTCCAAAATTATATAATAATAATAATTATATTTCAACAGGGAACCCATGTCATGCACCGAGGTGTTTTTCAATGGGGCCCTGCGATAAAATCATTAAAAAATATTGAGCTATAAATTCGTAAAAGTTCATAAAAGTTCATAGACAATTGAACTACCCGAAAGAAGGATTTAAAAACTATCATAGCTCATGCAAGTTCTAAGGTTATTCAAATTGTCAAAGATGTTAACTCTCTAATATACTGCATGACCAAGAGGGTTCCAATCCTTTAGCGCTTGATAGACAAAACCTTTGTTTCCCCTACTTCCTTTTAGCCCGCAGTAGGCAAAAATCATTGTTTCTAGTGAAAATGAATCATTCCAAAAACGAACATGCATCCACTCATTCAAGCGACCTCCATGGGACGGCCTTGCATGCATGTGTATGCCCCCTTTCCACGAGCAAATTTTGTTTGGAAATATCCTGTGACAAAATAATTATTCCCGAAAAGATAATTTGTCACTACACTTAATTGGTACTATTTTTGCCAATGAAAAATATGCTTGTACGACGGGACCTTGGTAGGTCGCAATAGATAACACTAACTATAGTAACTTGGTACTAAAAGATCGCTTATTCCTTGAGGCTGTTAATTTTGCATTAAATAGCCCTCAAAAGAACAAAAACTACTTTTCGCTCTTTATCACCCAAAGTACTTGGCTGTCAAAATATTGAATCAGCTGGTTCCTCGTTAGATAATTAATTAACATTTACGTCTTTTGGGCTTATCTGTAGTAAGTATATAGCACAGTAAAACTGCGTGATCTCTTGCATATCTCCTGCATAGATATTTTGACCCCGCCGCCTTTGGAACCTTTTTTTAATTGTCTAATTAAAGCCCAATGCTCGGCTATAAATGCATAATAAAGTTCACTAGAAATTTCGCGGAACTATTTTTGGCGAAAAGTGTCAAACATAAACCAGAGAAGTTTCGAGAAAAAAGCCCAGTCCGCCGACCAGTGCTTCTTTGGAATCGGGAGCAGTACAAATGTTACTGTAAGAGATATGATATATCGGTCACGAAGGCATATATCTTCAGGTAAGCCGCACTTCTACTAAAACCGATAATATATTCCACGAATTAATGGAAAGCGCGTGGTTGCATGCGTTTGTGGTGGCTACATAAAACGGACTGCAACGTTTATACCGTAATTAAAAACAATAGATACAACTATAGGTGTTTATCTGATTACGCGTTCGGCACGGCATCTTAGACTGGTCTTATATGCTGATTTAAACGGAAGGGGTCCAATTGAAGATATTCTTCAATAAGCTGTCGTCCTCGGCGTCTGGATTGAGTGCAAGTCTGAAAGGATGGCTAAAACCCGCGGTGGTCCAGTGTAGTGCACTACAGTACACAGTCGTGTTTTTGTTTTTCTTAGACATTCTCATAAATTAACTGCAGGATTAAATGTGGGTATACATGCAGCTTAGTATTTTACGAATGCACGTTGCACATACGTATTCGGTATTTAAAATCTAAGCGGTGCTTATTTGCGAAACACCCTATTGAATATGTCGATTTAATAAGCTAGTTTTCATCTGCGTTATCTTTTGTCTATATAGCATATTATATAATACCGTTATATTTACCGCGGGCATTATAGCTACGTGGGCATAAACTTATTCCGGGTAAGAAGTATTTTTCAGTCTAGCTTAAAATTCCTCTTAAAATTTTTATATATAGATATATATGTAGATATATAGATATATGTTTTTAGTTCCGTCAATGCATGTTCTTTGATATAAATAATTTTTGAGCCTTTCTCAGAAATGCTTTTAATCATAATTTGCAATATGGCTGCATATGTTTTACGTTTATATATAACCAAGGATTGGCGTGCAGCGTCTTCTAGCAACTGCCCGTCAAATGTGGCATAACGACTGCCTAAAAAAGACGCAATTTTTTAGACGGTTTCAACCTGTAACAGCCAACCAGCAGATAGTACAAACTAACTCTTCCGACGAATTAAGGCCATTTGGTCGAAATTTCGAGAAGCTCAGTTTTGCCTGTTTTAGGCAGATGGTATACCACAACTTGAACTTGAAGTTGTTTCTTATGATAATTAGGTTTTCTGTTTCAATTTTGGATTCTCATATTCGTGAACATGATTTAATTAACCTTTCAAACGCGATAACGTGCGATTTCGATTTCAAACCATGTCAAAGTATAATGTGTATAATACTTATATACATGTGAATATGTATGTGAATCTGACTCTAAATGGCCGCATGTTGACACAATCCATACATAGACTATATTGAATGGGTTGAGCCTTGCATTTGACGAGTTTCGTGCTTACTTTTGGAGGAATGAGTAAAATACTATATATCCATAGATAGGCTTAATATAACTTTTACATCTTCCACCAAACTTTCTTTTTAATTGCATGGTTTTGGATGCTCGTCCCATACAGCTTTAGGGCCCATGCATACAGTATATACCGGGTGTCCCAGAAAAAAGTACTCCGGTTTGATTCATAATAGCTTCTAAACGGGGTAAGCTATTAAACTGAAATAACTTTCGCTAGATAAAGGGAAGACTAACTTAGATTTTGATATATTACAGTTGTATTTTACTTAAAAATTTACGGAGATATCAATGTTTAAAATTGGTAGCATATTTCTGGATGTGTCTAAATTATGCAAAAAACGCCGTATCAAATATTAATCAAGCTTTTCTCAACTGAAACATGCACTATTAGCAGTAAATAAATGACACTTGACAAATTGTTTATTATGAAACGAAGTATTATTAGTTACAGAAAACAAGGAAGATTTATTCGTTCGGAATCGCGTGTCCCCCCAACACGAATGCACTGCCTAGCCCGTGAGACCATTGCGTCGAAGGAGTCATGGATCATTCGTTGTTCTAGATTACGGCATGCTGTTACGATTTAGTTGCGAAGCTCTTCTAAACTCTGCGGTTGCTGATCGTGTGATACATTCCAAATTTGCTTCGTAAGGTATGTATCCCCAAAGAAAAACGTCCCATATTGCATTATTTACTGCTAATAGTGCATGTTTCAGTTGAGAAAAGCTTGATTAATATTTGATACGGCGTTTTTTGCATAATTTAATAGCTGAGGAAGACCCATTTGGTTCTTATTGAATGATTGGCATTCATCATTTTGACCATTAGAAACTCGTTTTTTCGCTTTTTAAACCGGAAAAACCGGCTAAAAAGGTGTGATATATCGCTTCTTGCGTGCAAAACAATCTCAGAATATTCTGTTCTCATTTACCTTATTTGGTAATATATTTGTGGTATATTTATATTGAAAATACACTGCGCAATAAAAGTTCACTCACGGTGGAATCTTCAGCGTACAAGTCGATTTAAACTAAATTATACATAAAACTGAATAAGAAGATTACCGCAAGGAGATCAGGTATTATAAATAAATGAAAAAAAATAGAAATAACTCTTCCGTTATGAATGAAGCCCATTTTTTATGTAACTCGAAATTTGGCCAACCCCTTAATTGTTCTATATATATATAACTGTATAGCAAGCCTCTCTATCGGGAAACTGTGTTGCAAGTTGTATCCAAAAATTGTCCAGCAGGTGTTCACAGCCGGGGGCATAGGGAGTCATGAAGTTGCACTGTATTTATCAGTATTTATGACCGTTATTTATGCTAAGGTATGCTAAGAGTGTAATCAAGCAGAGCAATAGAGTATATTTTTTTTGCCGAAATTTTTTTGCGGGAAAACGTTTTCTGTCTATAGGAAATGTGTTTTTCACCTTAATTTCCTATCACTTGGAGCGTTATAGCATTAAAATATTATCGGATAGGAAGCATTTGGCAAGGCATTTCAATTCGATTAATACTTAATTCTTTCAAGTATATACCACCGCAAAGTACTGTTGAATCAGTTTTGGCTAGAACACTTTATGATATATCTGCACGTCATGTCTCTAATTCTCATATCATCCCATATTATTTAAGACCGAGCGTTGTAAAAAGAGTTTTATTCGAAGTTATAGTTATAGCATGTAGATTTTTAAAATTATTACATAGATTAGTTTTAGTGAGATGTATATTTAATTATCTAATCACCTTTTAGTGATTGACATTCTATATTTTTATTATTTTATAAAATAGTCTCTGATTAATATTACATGTAAGACCAAATGTAAATCATTTGGCTGCAAAATTTTGTCATTAAACCACCTATCTATCTATCTATCTACCATACATGACAATCATATATACACGCATGTAAATGTCTGAATATATGAATAGAGTCATGCATGGGCACTTGAATTTTGCATGATTTTTTTTGCCCTCTATTGTGCATGCATAACGATTTGGAAGCATTAAGACTATATATACTATATAGCCCCACATGCCAATTCACATGCCAGTTCAGCAATAAATGAAAGAGTATATAAAATTCTAATATTAAGTACATATATAGTAGCCTACGTGTACGTATATCTATACGTCTTAAAACGGCTGACTCTCTTACTGCACGTCATGTCAGCGAATGTTCCATTATAATTGGGAGAAAACTGACATTTTATTTCAACATGACGTATATGTGGGGTATTTGTGTGAGGCAATTAAAATGCCTTGAAATTATTTTTTGCATTGTTTTTACATTAGGTCACTCATAGTCTGCTTCACGTGCTGATTAGTTATACTACGGGAAGCCAGCTAGTGTATATACGATATAATTTATTGGCTTCCGCCTCTTCCAGGGGGTGAGGTGTTCTGCCAAAATTGGCTTTCAACTTGAAAGCCAGTTTCAACCTGGACGTTTACTGATGATTAAACTGATCAAAGCAAAATAATCATGTAGCATACTTTAAAGTTCTCAGACTACATGCTTGGCAAGGCCGTTTCTCATATACAGATAGCCACACCGTACCGTTTGCCTGAAATCTACGGCATGTATAGACTATTATAGGACAACGGTGACTTAACGCGAGGAAGAAGGCAAAATATATAGGGTCGCATCACTGGATATAAATGGACCTCCCTAGGACCTCCCATTTTCCAAAATGCATGGGCAGTTCTAATTGAAAAATACAGTTCTAAAACTTAAAATGGGCAGCCTTTCTAAAATTGAGGTTTGGATAGAAAATGTTGAATTCCCAAAATAGTTTCCTGCAAAGGATGTAATAGGAAGTATGCATCCATTAATAGCTGAATGAATTCCCACATTAATTTTGATTTCACAAAATGTAGCTAGGTCTACCATTAAAATATATACCCGTATGAAAACCTGTATAGGTTGGATTATAAAAACACATCTAGGCAATAATTCCAAAATAATTAATTATTTTAAAGACATCTATCACAATGTGACGAGGTCTTGCACAAAAAAATGAATTGAATTTTATGCTTTAGGTTAGAAGGGTCTCTATTAACATGTGGATTTTTTTGTGGAAAATGGTATGCATGCATGTCGGTTACCATGGGTTTCAAGATGTTTTTCTTTGGATGATATGTTTTGAATTGAGTTAAAGTAACTGAGGGGAATTCTTCAAGCAGAGTCTATTTGTAACAGTCTAATTGAAAGTCAGGCAATTGTATAGCCTATATATAATGAAGAATTTGACAGATTTATAAATCACCAAATCCTATCTCATTGAAATTAATCTGCTCTCAAAATCAGATCGCTGAATGAAAAGAATACCTTATCTTGATTTTAATTTGTCAGTAAATATAAGTACAAGACCAATAAATGCACACATGTTTCGTTAATGAAATCAATTACATGGACAATCTTCGTGTACGGTGTTAAGCTTGCATGTCTTCGCCTTGTGAGTCATTGATGTGTCAACATCGCGATAGTAATAACTCAGCCTTGTATTTCGCACCTGATTAGAACACGTACTCGCGTAGATATATCAGCATAAAGAATTGGAAACCCGTTTACACCACACGGAAGAGTCTTGCCACATTGGCATGAAGTCTGCGGCTAAACACCGGGGTGATTATGCTTATATTGTGCTTGTATGTGCGTTGTTTGTATACAGTAATTGAACTGCTGGGTTTCTGTGTTGTTTCTGCACAGCCCGAGCTCGTGTGTCGTGGAGGAAGGGGGATGGCTACGACAATTTTGAAGCATTATAAATCTACTTTAAAATGCATTTTCATTTCATTGCTTAATTACTCTATTCCTTGTTTCATTTGCGCTGCGCTATGCTAATTATCCACATGTTCAACAATCTTGTACTATGTGTAGCTACTGGAACTATAGCTAGGTAAGCCGAATCAAATGACTACAGTCAAGAGAATATCTAAATTCGATATAACCTTTGAACTAAATAGCAACATGATATTCGAAACATCGAGACAACAAAGGCGGCAAGAGTTTTATTTAGCTTCGATTGTTCAAAGGTCTGCAGACTCTGTGGGGACATGCTCTCATGAAAATTGTTGAAATATGGAAATTTTTATGCGACATATTTCCCTGGTCATTGATCGAGCAGTCTGTCTCCGAATCTGTCACCTTTCAATGCCTTTCCTTTAAAGGAGGAGGGCGTGGTGAAAGGTCGGGTTAAACAAATACTGCTGAATGGGCGAGGATTTTTTGAACAGAGATATGCTTATTATAGTTACGAAATCATGCAGTGGTTATCGATGTAGTTGATAATCAGTGTTGGGGGAAACAGTATATTGATAAACGGTGCCACAGCAGTGCATGCTGCAGTGGGTTATACCACAGCTACCAATAATGTGATTCGTTTATTTTGCGCTTATATTGACTCGCCTCCGCACCCCTAACCCCGCACTTAAACTTGGCGTTGCAATAGAAATTAACAAGTATATTTATAATTTTTCTTACACGATCCGCGAGTGCTCTTTCTCTACCCACGTCGCACGATAATAAGCCACACTCCTAATTAATCTGCATGGTTTCTGAATGAACTGTTTAAGTGACCAAATTGAGTGCAACAGTATGAGAGCATTGTGCCAATAATAAAGAACAGATTTCCGGCTACCAGCGGAGTATGAAATGTCAGTAAAATCAAACGAGATATAGAGACCACAAATGACTAACGATTAAAAAATCCCAGCCAAACGAAGTGTCTTCCCTTTCACTTGCAAATCTATCCGGCGTATAAACCTTCCAGCATCAACCATTTGGCTGTGTTGTATCTTATAGATCTGGCTTGGTCAGTTAATTGTATATCCGTTTCAAGTTTACGAATGGCAAAGCGTTTAAATTTTGGAGTGGTTTATTTGACTTTGACATGTTGTCTCGTGCTCAAAGAATCGTCCCTTGGAGGTTTACTCGATGAAGATTGCGTTAAACGTGAGTACACGAGGGTAATCTTTTGCAATTGGCCATTATTTTCTGTATATTAACGTGTGTGAATGATGCTGCGTTTTAGAAGTTCTTTGTATCCGGCTTTGTTCTCTGAATATTATTATTATATATCTATACACTATGAATATATTGTTTTTGTGTGCAAAAAATGCTTTAACTCAAATTAAAGTGTATATAGTTTAGGCACTTTAGGGCATATAATATTCAATATTTTTCTTTTAATATGGACGCTGAATTACAATATCCGGCATGAATATATTATTTTAAAAATATTATTTTATTTATATGTCCACACTGTAGTATAGCACTATAGATGATATATTGTCTCGTATTCCCTTGATACATGACTCTGTTTCATGCGGTCATTTAGTTAGGCCGGGATGTTTTTGATATATTCGCGTAGCTATTTTAAAGGTGAAATAGTGGTGATTCTTCGATATTGATAATATTATCCAGTGGTCGGGTTTTAAATCTATCTTGAGTCGACTCATTATAGTATTTAGACTATCAGTTTTCTCGTAACATAGCCATATCGCATTCCTAGTGTATGATGTAATCCTGAAAGAGAATATAGGCTGCAGTGAAATTGTGAATTAATAGCTCATGTAATTCAGTGCCTTCAGTCGTGAAAAGGGTTTATATAGCTATGTATATACGTAGCTACTTATAAGCCATATTTAGTATATATAAAGTTAAAAATGTTAGGCTTTAAACATGTATACGGCAAAATAGATATACATGCATATTTGCCTTTTACAATTTCATTCCCGATTATTCCATTTGCAAATTCCATTCTCATAAATTATCGTCATTGGCATTAAGCTCCTTTTAAAACGGGTGCCAATATTTTTTGACATAATTTAAATCCTGGAAAATGTTCAAATTTGGTTAAAATAACAAGCGTATAATACGAAGTTCTACTGATTATTATTATCTATATATAACTGCACGCCGAGATCTGAGTTAGAATTGATATATAAACGCATTACGCCATATATATGTAAAGTATATTAGTTAGTCCGTAACCGATTGATTTCCATAAAATTCTACGAGGATAGTCTGGCACTTAGAGGTGACATACTGACATTCTATGATATATAGTCTTACATGAGAAATGCGTTTTATTTAATGGGCGATAAACTATATATGTAGGTACACCTAAATTCCGCAAATCTCATTTCAACCTTTATTTATATAGTTACATCGCGATTCATTAGCGATATTAATGGCGTTTCCACCATAGGCAATTTACTCGTGCGAACTGATAAAAATATAGGAAGCATTTCTACTTTATCACATCACCGGATTTCAGATAGCCCTTATATTAAGCTTCGCGTCACGCGAATAAATTCGCCTATAGTGCCAATAGTCATTAGTGGTAAACGGGCTTTAGGATGTATCGTCGGTGATCCATAAGGAAGGAACACATTTCTAAACCAGTCTCTATCGCTATATAGTAATTGCAACTGACTAGGCCGGCCCGTGAGTTCACAGTCTCAAAAAACGTATATCGCATGGACCAGGTGGTCACTTTAATCCCTATAATAGCCTATATATGGTCTAAAGATTTCTCTGTATCCGTTGTACCAAGATGGGTCATCATTAATTATCGTTTTGCAGTTGAAATGACATCCCTGCAAGCGTCGAAATATTTTGGTTTATTTCACAATTGAGTCGAATTTGCTTTGATGTACCGCGGATTGGCCGTAGTAATCGCATATAAAGCCCGCGAATACAAATTGGATATAGATTGGAAGAATAAGTTGACTATGCAGGAAAATAAAAAATGGAGGAAACGTCAAACGTCGGCGTGAAATAATTTAGATAATTTCCGCGAAAGCTTGGTTCATATATTTACGTTCATATTATATATATATATGCTTCACGTCTACGAACGCACCGCGCTGTTTTATTATATAGGCTTTATCTTTTGTTTTATCTTATTATGGTAGGTTCCTCTTTCATAATTGCTATGTGTAGATTTATGCAGATTATATAATGCGTGGCCCTACATAATACAACCATAACTAAGGCAGTAAATAGAAATTCTATACGACTGGCTATTGTGTTAAAAATGTCAATTAAGACCACACTTGCTGTGAATTCGGTCGATGACTTATTAACCTTGGCTTTCCACTGGCTTAACGTTGTCGACATAACTTGCTCACACCATGCATCAACGATGTGAATGCAGTCGATAGCTCCCTGGATAATTTCGCAGCATTTCGCAGCCTAATATGTAAATATAGTTATTATGAATACATCACGATGTGGAGAATTGAAACGGCGTCATAAGATAAACTAGAGGTGCCTTAAAAAAGTGCATAAGGTGAAGATGGCATATTTGAGGGTTCATCGTCTATTTTATTCATTCCAAGACACATTATATATATTGACGATATGCATACTGCTATTCATATTATAAAATTTTGATAGTGTATGCATAAACTTAATCGAGAATGTGGCCTTGATTCCATAAAAATATGGCTGTAGCTATACGACCGCATTCCTTATTTCTGCATTGTGTTTGTACAATGCATGCAGACATTGTTGCGTTCATGCAGACTGTATTTGCCAATATTTCAACGCCGCCTATTATACATACATGTTGTATTGTATATTCACAATATTCTTTGTTATCTACATTGACCTGATGTTATAAAGGAATACAATTCTAATAATCATACTGCAGTACACTTGTGCCTCGGACAAAGGCATATCTGGCAAAGCCACTTAAGAAAAAACAAACATCATTAAGGTGAAGTGTACAAATGCGTTTAGTCGAATTTAAAACCGCACGACATCAATGGGTTTTGGCTTGTATATTGATTTTGATTGAAGTTAAGACTGATGTTATCTTGATCCTGAACTTCAAATGCCTTATCATAAAATCTCGTTCCGCTATATATAAATCCAGTTTCACTATACCTATATCTCCACAAAAGCATTTTATTTATACTATAAAATTATGAGATCGTATATTTTCATATAGGGTAATTGGGTATATATATTTTCTTCGATGATTGCATGTATATATAGGGCTGTGATTAATATCCAGAGACAAAGAGTCTTTGCATGCAACAGGATGATACAAGATATCTTAACACAATCCCGAGTTAAGTAATATCATGTTATGGTTAAAAATAGTTTCTTATAGATAACAAGGTGAAAAATATATTTAGTCCACTTCACTTTGCAACATCATATATAGACATATATGTATACGCGATATATAGACCTATAGCTTAATTCTTTCATGCATGGTGTGAGAATGATAACCCATGCACAGAACTATCACACAGACACAGTGGATATAACAACCGTTACACGATATTTAATTGTTGATGTGAGTAAAAGGCTAAGCCCTATAAATTTCCGAGCAAAAAGCCGCGGTTATATTGTTGAGCTCGCGTGTGAAAAAATTCATGAAAATTTATCCCGATAATATCGCTCTCTTGCGACATTGTTTCTTTTGGTTGTCTACCTTGAGGTAAAGTATATGCTGCATTTTATTTGACGAGAATGCTCATCGTTGTATAAATCTGTTTGCCCAGTTAATCAATCTAGCAGAGTTTTACATGACTTCTCAACATGCATGTATTCTAATCGATTTTTGTGTGCATATTGGGAACCGGCCAACAGACGATTTTCGAAGTAACACGAGTTGAACGCGGGCCGCGTCAAGCTTAAAGGGTTTTTTTACTTCTATATGACTGATGGAGGGAATTAATCTCCTTCAACAGGCTATTCCATACATGCATGAATAAACTATATTTATCGTCAAAGGTGTTGGGGGTAATCCCGACCAGCGTTGAGCTGTGAAATATCTTCTTCCTTCAGCTGTATATGTTTGATATGTGTATACGCGACTGCATGCTGAAACTGACTTCTTCATGCATGTATTTTGCTTATTTCTTTTTGAGAAAACTCTGACTATTTCGACTAAAACAGTCAGGTAGATGCAGCATTCCGCGGAGAATGTGTGGAAAGAGTCGCAGATTAGCTAACCAGACGTGATGAGTGTTTTTGCCAAACATCCTAAGGTCATAGCTTTCAACGGGTTGTAATTTTCGTGTCAATTTTTTTTGGAATTTTGTTTAAACAATTTAGCTCACATATATAGCCTATACAGGATGTTGAAAGTTTAAAAACAAACTTGAATTGCTAAAATAATTGCTACATTCGGACATCATTAACTGCCAAGCTAATATAGGTAACGATTGCATGCAAAAGTTTTTTTATTTTCAAGCATCCAGTTTATAACATTGGCGATATATAATAGCTAATAGTTTATTATATAAATAACTGTAGTTACTGCACTTTTCGTTCAGTATAGAGACACGCATTGAATGCATGCATGGCTCTTGCATGATAGGACGCATTACGACAATAATATAACAAGGCTAAAGGCATTTGGAAGTTTGGATGTTTTTATTTCGGCCATATCTATATCATATATAGCAGTTTGAATTAATTCTTATATATACTATAGGTTCTTTACTCGTGGGTGTTTCAAATGTCGTAATTCATCCACCATACATGCACCTACACGCGTGACATTTCTCATTTAAAACACATGCATTCACATCCTCCTTGGATGACTGAAAAAAGTTTTATCAGATCGTTGAATATGTTATGGATTTATTGTTTCCTATTACCCGGTGGGGGGTATCCTAACCCCTGCAAAGTTAATAACCAAAGTGTGTGAATGAACGCCTAACGTAAATAAGAGAATGTTCTAGAAGTGTATGGGTGGATGTACGTCGAGAATGTTCTTCGCATGTTTGTTACGTAATTTAAGATTCATGAAGTTATAGCTGCGTTTGTCAGTTCTAAACGGTTCTCCCCAGAGGTCCGTGGTAAAGTCGATCTCTTTCATTGATTCAATTTAATGTCGCAGGTGGAAACCGCCGCATGTGTTTCATTAACACGAATGTCATATTATTTATACTTTAAGTTCCATTGCATGGGAGAAACAACAGCTCACATGCCGTCAAAATCATTTGGGGCGTTTAGATTAATGGAATGCAAGAATTTGGTGTAATTTTCGCAGCGTGATGGATATATAGCTATGCATTTACAATTTATTTAAAATTAGCGCATACATGCAAAGAACACCATTCTTCTATAGGTTTAGTTCAGCCCGGTTGCTGCATGGACTAAACTTTTATCATTTGTTGAAATGCGATGATACAATAGAGCTTGTATAACATGACAGACATATCGTTTGGCATGCTAACCGCTCTTCCTATCTACAGACTATTTATGCTAAAATTGTCATAGATGGCGTCAACACGATATAAAAACCGAAATTCGCCAAATTTGTTTCTATAAAAAAACAAGTTGTAGAGTCAAAGTGCATGCTTGAGGAGATTTGTTAATCAGCTTTATCGTATTTCCACGAGACGTAAAAGCATTTTGTAAAAAATTGAAAAACAGGAAATGACTACGTTAGATCTCGAGAGAAATGGCTGCATATATCTATGCATGGTAATGCATGTGTGTTTGATAAACGCGGAGGCGCTCGAACTGTAATATTATTTGACTTTATACATTTACAGCTGTCTATAGCCTGTGATGTGCCATGGAGATGCATTCGACGCATATATAGATATGGAAGCTTTAGTTCGTTTTGATATCCATAGAGACAACGGTTTAAAGTTCATAAATAAGAAAATTCCACCTTAATTAAACGACGCTTTATGGACCAAAAGGTGGATGGACCTCTTTTATATAAAAGTATATAGTCATGTAGCACTAGATTGGAGTGTATATATATAGCTATTTATAACACAAATAAGTAAGAAACGAAATTCTTGAAATATGCATTTTCCAGCTGGTAGACATACAGCAAGTAGCTATCAAGGTGTGTGTTTATCCGTAAGTCACGCAAAGTTATATTTAGCTGCATCTACTTGGAACTTTTCAGTCAACAACGTTTTTCAGTCGAGAATTCCACCCTTTTAATCCACACGGTTGATGTTGGAACTATATATACATTGCATGTAGATAATAAATATCTGCCAATATATATATATATATATATATATATATATATATATATATATATATATATATATATATATATTCATATATATTAGATATTTTCACATAACACAATTTCGCGTTTCCTAGCGGCAGTCTCACTGATAGAATTTCAATAACAGAGTCCAGGTTTAATCTGTTTTTCTTTCTCTAGTTAAGACTCATATATTAACGCTCGTCCACACGCGATTTTTGCTGCGATTTTCTTCTTTTCATAGATGTGAACGAGTAATTAGTTATTGAACATCAGTAACTAATTCATTCGTTCATCTGTCAAGAGAAGATATAATCGCACATATACGTGCAGCAAAAATTGCATGCAAGTGTAAACAGGCATTTAGATCAAGTCACTAAAAGTGAATTTAATTCTATTTCCGCTTGACGGCTGCGCAAGGAAGATTTCGCAAGAATTTTATGCCAGATATTCGGCCTACAATTTTTAGCACGATGATTTAGAGTGGTATTTCCGATTTCCGAAACATTTGTTTATTATTAGTGAAAAAGCCGATATATATAGTACTGCACGTTGTAAATTGAATTATATTTTGAAAATTATTATAAATGGTTCTTACTGTACAAGCGCTTTAATTAGTTAATAGCTGGCTAACAGATAATTTCGCAACACGTAACCACAAATAATTTAATTAGGTTTACCTGCACGCCTTAGATATCTGAGCTATCTGCATGTAGATAGACACAGCATAACGTTTTTTATCTACGACTAGATTACATTTTCGTCGATCGAAGTTTTTGGAATGTTATAAAACATTTTAAAGGCTCGTTAATGGTGATTTAGAATTGCTGCATGATATTACAATAATTGTCATCCTGTAGTTGTCTACTATCCGAAGAGAACCAGTTTTTTGCCAAACAAGACGCCATTTAATTCCGTTGCTATGGTAAAAATTGCGTCTTAATTTGACCTACTTTTTGATTTTCAACTGATACATGTAACGGATAATTTAGTTAATCTAATAAGCATTTTGCCACCAGATATAACACAAATGACTGAAAGTTTGTTATCCAAATATTTACATTGCCTACGTTTACCGTATAAATAGGATAGAGCGAGCCGTATTTACTGTATAAACACTGACTCAATTCGTGCCCCCTCCAGGCTCCATACTTAATCAGGGCTTTAATTAAACTCTTGTCCAAACACAAAGGGTGATCAGCAACCGATCAAGATCCTGCTGACATGTAGTCACAATAAAAAAGGGGGTCTCTCCCTGGCAATATTTTTCTCTTCTATAGAGAATGTTTATACCTTCGGGAACCCGAGATGAGTCAATTATGCATGTAAAAGTTCAGGACTACTCAAATCTGTTCATCGGCTAAAACATAGCTACCGCGAAGACTTTCGAAGTTTCAATCCATGTTGGGGCCTTCGTACCTGTCCCTAATAAAGCCCTCAGGTCCAAACGTCAAGAGCAAAAATAACAGAGTAGTTATTTGAGCAACAGATTTGATAAGACAATATTTGAAGAAGCGGAAACGTCGCTAGATAATTTTAGATAATTTTGAGAAGTAATAAAGTTAAGAAAAATTTGTAAACGAATTTTGGACACTTTCAAGAACTCTTTTTAAAGTAAAAACGATGATTTAGAGCCTTAAATAGTCGGTTAGGTCTTCGCAAAACGACATACCAAGTTCATAAAATGCATTCTTACAACAAACACAAAATAAACAAAGTAGACACCTATACCACTTGAAGGATTATAAACTACGAGCTGTTCCTTTTCACCGCTGTTAGTCTTGATATCGACGATTCGTAGGGATATTATCTTTTCCCAGTGTTTATATCATTTTATTTGATCCACATTGTGTTTATGAAACATTTAAAAAACATTAAAAATATAGTTCGCAAAATGACAGTTAAATTGCTGACATTTTTCATTGAAATACAAAAATGTTGTCTTAGCCAATCAACAAGTTGCTAATTACCAGTCTTTACTCGTTCAAATTTTGCGCGTGCGCACGAGTACCATGACCATTGAACGTCCATGTCCATGACATTGGACATGAATTTAGACAACTTTGGATTCCGCAATGTTCTGTCACAATACCCGGGTTTAATTCCTAATCTCCGGGCGGAATTAGTACCCTCACACAGCGCTCCGCACCGGCTCGGGATTATCAACGATACTCCTCAATATATAAATACTAACGTTTGATATTGTACAACGGACATTTTCAGCGATTGAGAAAACCACTATACGGTGGATAGCGCTATGTCCAGCTCCTGGCGCCAGCTGTTACATAATAAAACTTGACACTGAGAATCTTTACTGTATTTCAGGCTATTCTGCGTCCTACAAAAGAAATGCCTCTCAGGCCGGGAGCCAAAATAAAGATCACTACCGCGCAGCGCATGCGGTCGACGGTAAAGAAGAGACGTGCTCAAAAAGCCCGAAAACCAACGACAATAATCCATGGTGGCAAGTCGATTTGGACAAAAAAATGAACATTACCTTTATTCAAGTGAAGAATTCGGGACGAACCTCTACTTTGCTTCGCGTGTATATAAGATACAATCCTGGAGACGGTGGTCAAATATGTGGAAACCGTCATTTGTTGTCTGCAAATGAGACGAAGATAATAAAATGTGAGCCGAGATTTGGACAGTCAGTGAAAATTGTCGAGTTGAAGAATAAATATCTTTCCCTTTGTGAGGTGCACGTTTTTAGCAACACAGGTTAGTTTGAGCTTCAGTTATTTTGCATGGTGCTGTGGCATCAAGATATCAAGCGTATTAATATGGTATAAGAACATATTGATACATTTCTCAAGTCACGTTTGCTACTTTTCAATACACCTGATCGCCTTTGCTTCTCTGTAAGGCTTGTTGTTTTATTGGCATTTCCTTCTTTCAACATCATGTCAGAAAAGGGAATCAGATAAATAATCCATCTCCATTCCGGTGTGCGATAATTTTTGCACAGTGACATTCAAACAACTTAGCTTAAAACGACTTTACTGATGTTCATGTTTGTCGCGCTAAGCAAATTCATTCTTTTGCCTTTATTCAAATGGTTGTAGTCGAAATCCCCAATGACAATGCGAAATGAAAAATACCTCTATAGTGGAAAACCGGCTCAGGCAAATTATTAATGTTTGAATTTGAGTATCTTTTGTTGTTTTTTCTATTAGTAAAGGTCTTGCTTCCATGCTTCCAATTAGCCTTCCTCGCGAAGAAAAATATGCTACTATTCTTCAAACCAAGAGCGTGTATATTTATCAAAAGAGTTTATTAGGGCTCGCAAATGAATAAATTAACAAAATAAATTATATCACATTTGAATTTCAAAGTATAGCTCGGAAAACTCGGAATCTTGTTGTCAGAGACGTTCCCGACGGGAAGCGTATTCGGAGGATAAACATCAAAGACCAACTAAAGAAAAAATATATTTGATAGTGACGTTTCATTCGTCTCCTTTTCAATCATAATTACTGAAAACGGGTTTTGTTAAACTTGAACTATATTACGTTTGGCCACGATAGCGAAATAATGAATGAATATACCAAATTTTGATACAATTAATTTATAACTTCTTATTAACCGAGTGCGAGGTCTTTACCGAGAAATATCGGACCGAGGTCTTTTTGTACAGACCGAGATCGAAGAGCGAGGTTTGTACAAAAAGATCGAGGTCCGATATTTCTCAGTAAAGACCGAGCAAGCGAGGTTAATAAAAAGTTTATTACATGGCATGTATTTGCACTTGCAACAAACAAGAAATGCATGAATTCGTATTAGTAGCTTGATAGGCATATGATGAAAACAAAAAACAAAATATTGAATTATTTAGTTTACCTATACTGTCTGGAGACGTCTTATTAATTTCAAAATCAGTTAAATTTTTCTTTGAGCATTTATTTGTGCCTTTTTCATTCAGAATTTTTCTGTTTTTCATCTCGTAATGGATCGCCGCTAATGCCGGTCCCTTTCGGGAAAGTAATGGACCGCTGAAAATTCTTCTCTTTTTCGCTTATAAATATCTTCAAACGGTTTCTTTTTAATTTCAGTCAAGATGAACGAAGGAGTTATATGCGATGTGTGGTTAAACGCAAGCGACCATGGATACAATTTTCTTAACCATAAACAAGATAGTCATGCAATAATATCGGCATTCGAGGTTCCTAATACTATTTTTGGACACTATGCTGTTAGATTGAAAACATATTTCAATGTGAGTACACGTCATTACTTTGTCGAAATCAAAATTTGACGACGGGAGTTTTTGCTTGAATTCCTTACAAAGGGATCTCTGCTAAGAACAAAACGACTGAAACCAGAAATAAACAAACCAAAAAACCCCAAGTCAGTAAGTGCTTGCCCGTGCGTAAAAATTCAATGAATGCCTTTACATGATGTGATAATTTCAATAAATGGTTTTTGTATGGTCAAACCAATATAAGCTGACGCAAAATTTGAAAAGAAAATGTCAGTCGTCCGCGTATTTCATTTGAAATAGTCCTATGACTCCTGCAAGTCGTTCAATAGCTATATAAGCAAGATTTTAACGCATGCAGTATTGAACTTTTCAGTCGGATATATCATATATATACGCTCAAACTTGTTTGCCGTCGGAGACATTTTTTTTCCTATGGTGGACTTGGAGTGTGCTGCAATGATAATTTAGCGAACATAAGTTTCTAAAAGCTGGTGGAAGTTTCGATAAAGATGGAATATTTTCTTTAGAAACAACTATAACTATAAGCTTTCGACCTCGTACCGGTATAGGATAGATATATATAGATTACTTCATGGTTGGCGAGTGCATGCGTATACGATTTTTATGCACGGGTTGAGCGTCGAGATCGATTGTGTTTGCGATCCTTCACAACGAGTGCATCATAAAAATCGTACAAACGAGCCAAACATGAAGTAAATTGTTTAATAAATGTGTATAGAGATCAATTTGAGAACGACACGCTTTTAAAATACAAAAACACAGCGAGCAACAAAAATAAATTTTCATGCATCAAAACATATTTATTACCGTTCAGTTTCTTTGTAATTTTGTTCAATTGAAGTTAGATATTCTTTCTGAAAGATTTGAGAAAGTGCTGAATGTAAAAATATCTTGAATATGAGTATTATGTTTTGAATCTCACTCCTATATTTCAACACCATCTTGAAAGAAAATGTAAACAAATTGCCGCCAAAATGACAACGTCCAATCAAAAGCCGTGTATGGCATTTTTTCACACGTGAAAAACATCGTACGTCCAGTCAAATTGCATGGAATTTACACTGTGAAAATTTAATTTACACAGTGAAATACGTTTTTTATTCAATAATTCTGCTGTGCATTAGTCTCTATACACATGCATGCATATAATAAATATATGGGCATTGAAGACAAACACGAAATATTTTTGACCACAGTCTTCCTAAACTCCAGGCCCGACGGCGTAATAATTTGGCACCGGATTTACATATAAGAGAAATATTTTATATTTTTCTTAGGCGCCGCAAAGTGGTAGTTATAATTTTACCTGGTTTTGTGGTATCAAATGCACTTTGTACATCACAGACGTAGACAAGAAATTAGCGAATGCAGTTCGTTGTGGAATTTTCTCTGCAGAATATAAAAAGAATTGTGATTCATCGTACCAGTACGTATTCTGTTTATGTTGTTAAGTTGATGTTGTGAACGTATATACGTTTGCGTTCGCCGTTATAAGTTGATAAATGCGTCTTTAATATTGCACAAGATCACTGCCTCGTAGCTAGGCACATTGTACCCTGTTCTCTGTTACGTGGGTGCACGCGTGGAAAGCATTGTCGGTCCATATTCTGCCAATCAATGCATGGCTTATTTGCTTTACAAATTAACTGCTGATCTAAGCATATAGAAGCGCAAGTAAATAAAGACAGCTGGAAAAGGCACACTAATAGGAAAATTTGGTCGGGAAATGTTATAAAATATTAAAGCCGAACATTTGTATGCTCTAATTTTGTACTCTGTTCCAAAAATATTGGAAATTGTGTATTTATATTACTCTTTAGATTAACGATTTGATTATTGCAAATACTATTTTTTAGCTACATCGTATATATTTTTTTGTAAATCAGCTTCTATGCAGTTTATCTCCACGCGTGGACGATTTTGGACTGAATGTTAAGGTTGCTCAGGTTTTTAATTTTTTTTTTGGATTTAGTTTGAGTAAAGTACTTTTTTAACATTAGAGATAATAATAACATTACTACTAATTAAATAGAGGAGTTTTAAATTAGAAGAATTTTAATTTTTTTTAAATGATTGTATTTTACCGTATAATATCATATTTTATCACATACTTGTGCCTTTATCAGGGCGATAACAGGGTGACATAAAAACGATATCGTCACTGATATCGCTTTTTGTCACTGATATCGCTTTTTGTCACTGATATCGCTTTTTGTCCCGCTGCATTTGCCGCTGTCAAAACAAAGATGGCTGACTCGAGCAGTTCGAGGTTTGTTTCAGTCAATGTCGATTGCTTTATAGATCAAAAAGAAGTATGTGATAAACAGGTTATCACAATCGAGACGAGGTGATATCAGTTTTATCGCTTTCAGGACGATATCATAAATGTCCCTCGTTCGCTGCGCTCACTCGTGACATTTATGATATCGTCCCTCAAGCGATAAAACTGATATCACCTCGCCCCTCATGTGATAACCTATACATATATAATGTTTATTCCTACGTATATATACAGTCTTTATATAATCAGTAGTTTTCGTGAATATGTGAATAAAGATATGGTTAATTGTTATATTCACTTATATTTACTATATCATTATTTACCTTTTTGCATGTTCTCCTAAATAAATATAATAGACCTTAGGCATGCTTATATCTTACTGATATCTAGTTTGCTTAGAGGAGATATCGACAGGCGCTTTTTCTATTGAAATTGACACATTTTCTGCCAGGCTATCCCCCGTGCTTTTTCGCGAATCTGTCCACGCGCCGCATGCACAAAAACCCACGCGACCGAGAACAAAGCACAAAGCGCGTGGGTACGAAAAATTGCAATTTGTAGATATCATTTATGTAATGTGATTTATTTACGCATAGATATATTGCCAGCCATGAATTTTGCATTTTCCTATTCACTCTTAAAACAGCTTTCTTTATTTATAGATTAACGAAGGGCAAGGTATATGAACTTCAATTTGTTTCGCTCTTCAGCGAAGAAGAATATAATTCGCGAGTTGGTATTACGTTTCCAGATGGTGCTATTGTTAGCCCGTTAAACAGTGGAATCTTTTTATGTAAGTGGTAGTATTAATGTGTAAGATATTAGTGAACTAATGTGCAAGTAAGATTCACCAAAGCTGCAAATTAGGTGCACTCGAGCAGGTCTATATAAACAATTCTTTTTTAAATGATATATTTCTAAACAGATATTTATATAGTTAGATAGATAATTTTTTTAAATCAAAGCACTTAACTATATTTCAGTTTTTAATGAAGTAGTACAGCTAGGCCTAGAGATACAATTTAATATGCTGATTTACAGATATTCGTTTTTAAAGCATCACACTGCACAAATTACACGTGTTAAAAATCAAGTGCTATGAAGTAGTACAGCAAGAGAAACAATTTGATATGCTGACATACGTTTTTAAACAGAATGGCGTGAAATATTTACTATTGGGGAGTTAACGACACATGGGCGCCAATCGAACGTTAATAGAGGGGGGCCATATTCATATATTCTGTTATGCCAGGCTGATTTCTTTTGAAAGTGAAATTTTTGTCAAAAGAAATTCGTCAGGTATAGCAGAATATATAAATATGGTCCCCTCTATATTAACGTACGATTTGATACATAGCTTGAAATGTAAAGACTTATTTGTGACCTTATACTATTGGCCTGGATTTGACATTAAAGATAACAACTTCTTTTTTAAGCGATGGGAAAATCTAGTGTTCGAGTCAAGTTAATTTGCCCGAGCTTAGGCTTGTCAACATAATAATTGAAGCAAGCAAGCGATGAAAGTCGATCTCGTAGTGCATAAACAAGGCTTTTTACTATCGCATCCATGGGTTATATATTTGATGTAATACTTCGTTTGTTTCTTATAGCTGCGGAAGCTGCTCGTATTTTAGCAAAGGATCCTTGCTATCAACCAGGTATACTGTATTAACAACATTTTTCACAACTGATTTAATTAAGTTCTTTCAACGCCAGTTATATAGTTTCTTGCATGCCCACATGTTTGCCAGTTGAACTTCTGTTACTTGCTAATATTGAAATAATTTTAGCAGTAACAACATTTTAGATAGGCGAGGGAATTCTGCATTATTGTTTTTCTAGTTGTAAATATAATTTCTATATAATATATAATTTATTTTTGCAAATAGCCCGTTTTTCTTGCATATGTGACAAATTTACCAGAAAGCATGACGTCCTCGCAAAGGATATGACCGCGAAATATCCTCCAAACGGGGCCGAATTAGTTTATTAAGTTAATTATACCATTATATAGTTTTGGTAGATATATGCGTGCTCCAGTATAAAACCAGTGACAACGTGGCAGCCACTTCATAAAACATGTGGTATATAGACAAACACCCTGTTGACACTCTCCATTCCTCTGCATTAATGAAAGACTATCTTATCTGCCTCTTAGGTCATATCGCCCTCCTTCCCTATTTTAAGCAGTTGTTATAACTCATCTGCTGAGTAATCGTTGTAAATATATAGATTATGCTTGATCACGGCATTAAGAGGTGCATTCTATTTTTTGTTGTTTAGCTGGGGTGATATCTCCTTCTTCGCCACCAAGTAAACAAACAGAGCACGACACGGAGGTACGTTCACTCATTCAGTTCAGTGTCGTTCATTACCCCATTCAGAACTCCCGACAAATTGGTTCAAAACTGGTCAACTTGCATAGTTGATCACCGCTGACCCCTTCCTATAAGCAAGAAATAATTCTTCCTTCCGCTAAGATATATCTGCGAATTTATTTCTCTTGCGTTTTCCAAGAAACTTTGTTCATTTCAACTGCATCGTTTTCTGTTGCGGGGTATCCAAATTTTATAATTAAACGTGTGGAAACTTCTTTAAATTCTATACTGAATTAATTGGAATGCCTGCATGATCGCGGGGTATAAATGAAACTCGGTAATTGGAAAGATTATACCTTTGAAATATGATTTTACTCAGGCAGGTCGTAGGCTAGATCGCTTAATTGAGGGAGGTGCATGTATATTCATATGTTCATGTTTATATATTATTTTAGGAACAACAGCGTACAAACGAAATCAGTCGGCCATATGAATATACCCCCCACCCATATTTAGCTTCTAGCTACGCGGTCCTGATTTTACTAATATTTTGTGCTTCGTTTAGGTTGTAATCAGCAGTGCGGTTGATCGACTGTTGCATGATAAAACGTCTAACGAATCGAAGGTGGGAACCTCTGTGAATTATGATATCAAATTTTTGGGGCTTAACGGACTCTTTGATAAATTAAACAGTTTCAGACGTTGGACGAGTTGGAGAAACTTGGATTTGAGAAAGCAAAGAAGTTGCAGCTTGGGAAGAAGGCCTTTGCATCATATGTTGTTCAAGTCGAACGCTTTGGTACGAAGTTTGATATGTATTTACCCCTCTTAAGTTCGTGAACCACGCGCTTTCTGGTTTTCGAATCTTTTGTTTTTGTTGTTGTTGTTGTTACTGTTGTTCTTGTTGTTCTTGTTGTTGTTGTTGTCATCGTCGTTGTCGTTGTCGTTGTCGTTGTCGCTGTCGTTGTAAACACGTTGATTAACTTCACGCGTATGCGTGACAAAGGTGAACGTCAAGCAAAAAAAAATTGCGATATGATATTTTCAAAAATGCATTCAATGCAACAAAATTTTGTTGAGATAAGAATGAAAATTTGCGGCGATTGTCTACGTTAGGCAAAAATTGTAGCAAATAAGTTAAAATTGGCGCAAACGCACAGTTTAAACTCCTAAACATAGATTAGGTTTCTCATTTCAGGTTATAATTCGTCTTTAAAGCACGTTAATTAGTCGTTCACGCGCGTTCTTAAAATAAGAACTATATGATAGGTGTTTACATGACCATGCAAGGAGGACGTGTCCTACTTTGTATTTTATATATACGCGCATTTTCGCTCTTAGCTGTTCATCTGCGCTAGGCAAGCATAAATTCTTATGTGTAATTCCTACCCTATATATACTGAATACGAGCATCTGAATTTCTTTCCAGTTTTCGCTGCTGTTTCCATGAATTTGAACCTACGTCGTGGATTTAACTTTCCTAGAGATTTAGATAACTTCACATCTTTCGCTGATAAGGGTAGCATCAGTTTCCCGGAAAACGCATTTCCTCCAAATACAGGTAAGCAGCTATGAATAACGAGGTTGCCCTAAGGTGCTTTTTTGCCATTTTCCGAGAAAAATTGGGAACAATATCACATGTACATGATTTTGTGAACGGGTAAGCAGAAATTTTGAAAATGCAACCACAGTCGAGCCTGCATGTGGCAAATAATTTTTCGTGATCACTCGTTATAGTAGAGCATGAAAACACTCCCTCTCATCTCTTCAAACATTTTCGGAATGTGATCTTCTCAAAATTATCGGGCATATATATGCATGCATGCACTTCCACGGAGTTAAATTTTCGACAATTTGAGGATTATGGTTTACCCAGAATTTCTAGTAGATTCACTGACGCAATAAACGAATCGTGTTTTTACGGCAACACAGCATTTTGAGTCTTACTTAAAGCGTAGGTTCAATCCCAATGGTGGACCTTAGTTGCATTTATTCCCCTATTTTCTTGATTTGATCTTAATATTTATACATTAACTTTTATACGTTAACTTCGCTCTCCTTTGTATATCTGACTGACTGTCTCTATTTTTTTCTGCTTGCCTTCCTGCCTTCCTGACAGTTAATCTCTCTCTCTCTCTGAATTTCCTTTTTCCAATAAGGGCGTACGTCGGCTGTATTCATGATGTTCAAGCCCCTCGATGAAATGTTAAAACAAACTGGTTCCGAGAAGAATCATCTCGCTGACATCATTGTAAGCGCAAGTATGGAACGTGAAATATGGAATGATATGTACAAGCCTTTTACGCTGGTGTTTAAACATAATAAAGTAAGTCTCATTTTTTGCTTAGTGTTCGAATAATTTGATTTCACTTCTCGCAAACATAACCTATAAAAAGCTGTGACGTATTGAGATCAGTGACAATGCATGTCTCATAGTCATTGGGTTCGCTATGGTTATAAATTACGGGAATCAAATCAAATCACGCCAATTTTAAGCGAATTTTAAATTAGGGGCTCACATTGTTATGAGCAAAACTGATAAAGTGATAAATATATTACTTATAATATATATGATTAGCTATAAGTTTTTTTTTAAATAACTTTTTAGCTAAGATATAAAGTGTTTTTTTCTATTAATTTTACCCTGCAAAAAGCATTAAGAAACCTTCTCAATTTGTAGTGCGGCGTTTACAATTCCACCAAGGCCTTGATAATCTTTGATATCACAAATACCAATCTATATTTCAACTACTAACCTCAGTACTGGTGTACATTAATTTTTTCTCTCGCATCTGTTGAGGTTTCCATCAAAGGTAAAAGGCATTGTGTGTATTGGCTCGAAAATTCGGAGTAAGTTGCTGTTGTATTTGAGATGCATTTTTACGCCTCAGTGCTCGGTGTTTAGTAGTTTACTTGTATAAAACCTTAAACCCGAACTAATTCGTTTTTCTGTTTTCTAGATGCAGGAAAAATGTGAAGTTTGGGCGATGGTCAGACTATAGATGTTCACTTGTTCACCAAAATGACACGCACACAACATGTCAATGCGATCATTTGACCAAATTTTCAGTCTTGTTTCCTGTGCAGGACGTAAGTATTTGGGTGGAACTACTGCATGAAATAGAGTGTTTAATTTCCCGCTAGTCCACATAGTGCCTTTTTATACGCCTTTTGACGCCACTTTTTGAGTACACAAAGGAGGACGGGAAAAATGTTTTTTATTTGCGAAATCAAAAGGGCTGAGACAAATTTACTAATCAGATTCTAACTTGTATCTGGTCATGCAGTGTTAAGTAAATTTGCGACTGCATGATAGTGCACGAGAAATTAATTGAATTTAAAAATTATTTATTTAAGATTAATTTAAATTTTAAAATTGTGTACGACCTATCAAACGACAACAGCTTAAATTAAATTAAATTAAATTATACATTAATATATATATATATATATATATATATAATATATATATAATATATATATATATATAATATATATAATATATAATATATATATATATATAATATATATTATATATATAATATAATATATATATATATAAATTGATGGGGTCGGTTCCTACCTGTACTAGCATAATACCTTTGCTATATTGGTTGATGATAATAATAAGAAACAATTAACTACAGAAATGGATTTTTTAAAAGAACGCATTATGAGGCTTGATTCACACTTGCTCCTAAGAATCGGGGATCCATATTATTTTTCCAATGGACAAAGGTTTTTGCGCACCAGTAACCTTAAACAGAGGGAATCCAAGATTTTAAACACGACTTTATGTAAAAAAAGGCTTAACACTGTTCACTATTGTTACCGAAAAATCCAAACACGATCATTGATCATATTTGGTTGATACTTACTTGATTTTGATGTTATTTTGATCTTTGTATTTTGTAGGGTGCAGGTGAAGATGAGATGAAGCTGGAGCTGATTACATACGTTGGGTTATCGTTATCGTCCGTGGGCTGCATTGTTACATTTGCCGTTTATTTCATTTTGAGGTTTGTTGTATTGACATAGTATTCGTAATACGTACACCATATGGTTTACATAGTTCGCATCACTGATCTGAAAAACACTGAAAGTCGAAATAATTGCTTGGATTTTGAATCCTGTTGAATTTTTTACTTTACAAATCACAGTTTTTCAAACAAACATCTCCGTTTAGCGTGCATAGCTAAAAACCATTCCACATCTCTTCGAACAAGCACTCGTTTGTGTGCACTCAAGTACTGTGTAAACACTTCCCGAATTTGCTCGGCAGTTAGGGAGGTTTGGGAGGGAGTTGCCCCCTCCCCCCCCCTTCTGGGTGGCCCTGCATTGAGTGTCGAAACCAACAAAATGATATATTAATCAGTTTTGTTCAAAATCCTCTCTCCTTAAAAATCCATAGAATCACGAAAACGCTGAAGACAATTGTTCATCTGAACCTGGTCCTTGCATTGGGTCTTGCTGACTTAGTATTTCTCCTTGGAAACTTGGCTGAGAATAACAGGGTTTGTATGAATGTTGTTTTTTACGACCGTGCATGTGCCGGATGTAGGAAAATCACCATGAATGAACTTACTAAAATATTCTCCAAATGTCCGTGTATAAACAGTGTAATGATTTCGATTACTGATTTTTTCAGAATGCTTGTTTCTTCTTAACCGTCCTCGCATTCTATCTATACCTTGCCGTTTTCGCGTGGATGCTGATGGAGGGTGTACATCTGTATTTTTTGGTCATTCGAGTCTTTGGTAGCGATGACCATCGAAGAAAAAAATTTTACTATATCGTAGGATGGGGTAAGAAACGTAGCTATCATTCAGATAAATGCGTTAACAGTCTTGTCGTGATTTAACTATACCTTCAGCAGATTTTTGGGGTTGAACTATTGTTAGCATTTTACTGCATGTTGACGAATATGCATGGTCTACGGATCTTACAGGTGCTCCAGGAATTTTTGTATCCATAACAGCGGGAATACTTGGATATGATTTAATGTCTGAGAAGCAGTAAGTATCATTGAAGATCACGGTACCGAGTGGATTCACCAACTTAAACGATATTGGAGGTATCTCATCACTTATCTATGCTATCTCATATCTTATCTATGTTTAGTTGCTGGTTGTCAGCGGAGTCTGCTTCAATTTGGGTGTTTATTGGTCCAGCATTATTCGTAGTTGTTGTAAGTGTAAAATGACGTACTAAACAGAAAAACGAAACATCTGAGATTTGCTGAACTTAAGTACTCGAAGAATCACGCGATTCCCGGACTCCTTCCCCCGATGGATCGCGGACTCTGGATTCGAGATTGTCGAAGAATTTAAACCGGAAACAACTCGAAATTTGCTAAGCTGAACATAACTGTATATAAGAGGATGCTTTCCATGCAAGTTATTAATTTTACTGAGTATATCCTCCAATAATATACCTCTAATTTTCGACACCATGCATGCTTTCGAAACAAAAAAATAGTTTACACATACTGTATGAGGAAGCTGCAATGCTTTATAGAGTTAAGGATGCATGGGATATGAAAGCAACTGAAAATGAAAATGTTTAAATTTGTATCCTTCTTTAGGTGAATACACTTATCTTAGCGGCTGTTTTGAGAACGACGATGACGTTATTGAGAAATGATCCCGGACATCGAAAAGAAAAGTAAGACAATAAATTTATTATTAAGAAAATAATCAAAAATGATTTCTACAACCGTAAAGATTATCTAATTAATTTCAGATCAGCAATGCGTACAGTGGCAATGCTAGTGCCAATCCTAGGTACAACGTGGGTTTTTGGTGTCGTGGCATTTGCACACAAGTCTATCGTTTTTCAATATATATTTGCCGTCTGCAACGCTTTTCAGGTAATTTTTTCCTAATAAGCAAATTAGCTTGTAGGCACGCCACGTAAGTATTTTTAAAATACTGCAAAGCTTTCGGTCTGTTAAACTGAGCCTTCATCAGTGCAATTGAGGGCCCGGGTTAGCGGACCGAAAGCTTTGCAGTATTAAATACTTACGTGCTATACCTACAAGCTAATTTACTCATAATTGATGAGCAAATTTGCTAACCATTCCAAATTACAAGAATATAATTTTTCCTAATTTAAGATACCTAAACATGGAATAGTTTTTCAGTCAGGGTTCAGAACAGGAACCAGTAGATTTTTCTCTCCAGTAGATCTCACCGATATGACGCATATACAGTAGTTCACATATATTATATGTATCACTAATGACCATGACTGTTGTTTGCAAGAGAATACCTGCAAAGTATTCTATATATATTTATCAATTATTGGACGAGGTCGAGCAAAATATCGTGATTTGTCGGTGGCGAGCAGATCAATTATTTGCCGATGCCGAAGGCAGAGGCAAATAATTGATCTGCGAGCCACCGACAAATCACGATATTTTGCAAGAACCGAGTTCAATAATTGTTTTATCACCACTCAATTTTCAATTCATTCACCACTCAATTTTCAATTTTGAGTTCGTTTTATCGGACAGTTCGGCAAAGCGAGTCGCCATTGTTTATAAAATTGACATTAATGCGCATGCTCAGAGTATTATTTGCAGCTGAGTATTATTTGCACGCAGTTAACTGCAGGTAAATTAACCAATCAAAATTGAGAATACTATAAAGTGAATGATAAATAGTCTTAATAGTTAAATGATGTGAAACGTCAATAGCAAGATTTATTGACCATTCCCAAGTTGCAATAAAAGATAGATAGCGAGGTTGACAGTGCACATAGTCATATAGGAGTGTTTGGGGTTGGACACGAAAGGAATTTAGTCTTCCTCGAAACCACCATTGATGCAATACTATACTTGTAAGTCTTTTACTGCAACTGTTGATGGCTAATAAGATGCTGACCTTTCCTCCTATTATTTTTTAGGGCTTTTTCATTTTTATTCTATATTGTCTCTTCAACACCGAGGTAAGTGTTACTGAGTTTTAATTCGCTACTTGGGGCCAGTAGTACGAAAGCTAGATATAGCACTATCCACCGAATATAGTGGTTTTTACAATCGCTCTAAACTTGCCCGCTTTTTAGGTAACCTGCGGGATTAAACCTTTTGGGTTTTCTTTAAAGAACGCTATGCGCTCCAAGTCTGTAATCTTATTGCTTTCCAGTAAAGTTTTATATACAACGGTTGAAAAATCCAGCTTTGGCACAACCACACACTCTTGATATGTGTATACAAGATAACTGTTGGAATTTGGACGTTTTCCGCCGTTATTCTCCCCATATTAGTTTTCCTCCCTTAGAGTTCGGAGTGACATTGTTTTAAACTACGTTTAAGGTTCGCCACGAGTACCAAAGGCGGCGAAAGACGTGGAAGACCGAGAGAGAATTAGACTCTAAACGATCACCACAGAATAATTCATTCGATTTATGAAAGAATCTTGGCTGCGTAACCAGACGCGTGTACATTCGTATGTTATAATATTTTTACGTATCGTAAAAACAATCGCTTGGAAAAGATATTTGTTGGGCATAAACCAATATGATATATATATATACATATATATATACGCTACGATTAATTATGCCTCCATCTGCGGTCCGGAAGCTAGAATATATATATAGGTATTGTAGGTGCAACTATATAGCCCATATGCTTCGGATCATTTCACAGACCGCCAGAAAAAGGCACAAGCGCGGGACTGGTATATGTATAGACTTATCATTACCAGAAATTCAGGACATTAATTATCATAATGCCAGGATTTCGCAATCAAAGATGACTGCTTTGTTATAATAGAATCAGTATATAAGACACGAGACAAAATTTGAAAATAAAGCAACTTCTATCTTACATATTGCAGTTGCGGATTTCGATTTAAGACGAGCAGAAACTCAGTAGCTACTTTTATGAAAAATTTTTCATAATTTTATATTACCTTTAACAGGTTCCCCTGTAATGCTATTTCAGCAACTAGTACTAACCATTATATTGAAAGTATATATAACAGTTGTTGAAATAAAATTCCGCAACTGCCATATGTAAGATATAGAAATTGCTTTAATTTCAAATTTTGTTTCGTGCCTTGTATAATTCTATTATAACAAGACAGCCATCTTTGATTGCGAAATCCTGACATTATGAACTTTTATGGTAATTCATGTCCTGAATTTCTGGTTATGTGCCAATGCCGATCGTATGTCAGCAAGATGAAAATGTTCATATTATAGCTTCCACCTCCTAGAGGGTCGGACTATTCATGTGGTTGATTATACGCAATTTAGAGATTCTAGTAGGTACATTTAATACGGCATTCGTTTCATTATTCTTTGAGGCCTTTTTTAAAACTTTTTGTTGTGCCTCTCCCTTTTATCAAAACTGAAATTTGATCAATGCCACTTAGAATTAATTGGAATTCTCTGCTATAAACCGACATTATAAATTTTATTGTAAATTTAATTTAAAACAAACAAAGGTACTTTACAACATTTAAGTAATATGGAATAAAACCTCCCCGAGGGAGTTTGGTTAAAATCTACTAACGCGCGCGTGTCTGGATGAGCTTCAAAACCTAATGTTGTTCAGACCCGTGCATGCTTCTTCCGTTTTGTGCTGGCTGAACCCGAGCGCAATTTTCATAGCATTATGTAGATGCAAGAGATTCCCTGGCCCCTCTTGGTATTTTGCTCCACCCTCCCCACCTCTCGCTTCCATGCAATTATTATTCTTTATAAGGCAGTCTGATGTTGCTGTAGGTTGCTATATACTATATATATATTCGTGAATGTCTTTAGAAACGAACTTTCTCTAAGCCTCATTTAAATGTGATAATAGTTTTTAACAACGACCAGGGCCCGGTTGTATACAAAAACTAATTAACTTTTACTATAATTATTAGGACAGAAGTAGCTAATCACAGAGTTAACTAGGATTTAACTATGCAAAATTTAGTTAAAGAGTTTTATATACAACCGGCCCCAGAAGGCTTTCTTAATAACAATTTTTTATGAAATTGTAACAACGTTTTGGAGTTTACTCCATCGTCACATTTCACCTGATGTAATGTAACCTGATGATGGAGTAAACTCCGAAATGTTGTTACAATTTAATAAAAAAATGTTACTAAGAAAGCCTTTTGGTCGTTATTAAAAACTATTGTTGCTATATATATACTATTGTTTCATGTTTCTTGTTCTCATAGGTCACCCATGCATAGTAGGCTATCAGTATTGTTTGTGGCCAGTGAAAAAAAGGTTATTTCGACCGTCGGTGACATATATAAACCAGGCTTAAAACCTGATTCCCTTTGGTCACCGGCAATGATGACTTGAGAATAAAGTGATATCGATCGATGTTTTTTTTTGAGTAATTTTTTTCCACACTGCATGCCCATTAACAATACATCGCCGACTGCCATAACTTTCAAATTTCTCCATGGCACGAGAACGAACGAATATATGCAGGGATAGTAATTACTTGTATAGAAATTATGATGTAAAAATTCTAATGGGATATTTCTGTAATTTCGCAATCTTATTAGTAATATGAGACACTGTAATTTTTTTCGATATAAAAAATCGCATATTTCTCAATTGCATGGCTATAACATGCTTGTGCGGTTGTCTTTTTAAAACGACCTCATAAACTCGCCGGAAACTAGAGCTAGGCTATATCTTCTTTTGTCGAGGATATAAGTAGAAGAATGTTTGCGTACTTTGGTAACATATCTTTGGAACAATCTTTAGACTTTACGGAACGAGGATTTCACGAGACTTTTCGTCGCGTTAGCGATAATAATGAAGCTACATATATTCGTCCGTTGTCGTGCTACGGTGAAAATTAACTACTATGCTATAGTTTGTAGACCTGGTTCTCATATGTTACCGACAGTCGATGATGTATTGTTAATTAATGTCCAAAGGCAAAAAAAATTCGAAATAACAAAGCAGTTCATTCTTCGGTGATTGCTGACAATAGCCATCGCTGACTAGAGTGATATACGAGAGCCAGGCTTAAACGGCTTTTCTACAGGCATAGGACTAACGTTTTCGAATTAACATTTTTGAAAAATAATCGGATTACGCGACTTAAAATGGATCAATAGAGTTGAATTTGAGCCGGGTGACCGTGTTCCTCTCATGGATGTGACAAGCGCACTCAGCCTGCCGCGCGCATAAGCAATTAATAAACCGAATGAGCAAGCGTGTTGATAGCTAAGCTGACAACACATTATTTCTGCGGTATAGGTTTTTGCTGCGTGATTGGACACGCATGGCGAAAAAAATTTCCAATTATTCTCATATGTATAATACATGCATGGTTGTCTTCTTTGTCTTAATATTCAGTATTCATTTCTAAAGGCTTACCCTACCAATTTTGTTGATAAACGTTTTAAGACGTATTCTCAAACCTTATTCTCGAAGCGTTAAACAGTATTTTAACGCGACATGTAACGCCCATACACGTTGTGTTGTTTTTTTTAGGATTAATTTATTGTTTTGAATATAAAACGTTAGTTAGAGCTATAGAAAGTTCCACATACTAGTCGGTATACTGCGAATTTGACCATATCATATCTAAACCGGTAGTATATTCCTATAAGCCCATCACGAGGAAAATTTCTTTGACGTTTATACGGCAAAAGAAAGATCTATTGCATGCTGGGTTTTTAAACCAAAAGAAATTTTGCCGAAGGAAATTTACTCGTGTAAGTGCATGTGGCTTAACTTCATTATTATGTATTCTTTTATAAAACATCATTACGAAACGTTTCATTTAGCTACGAAGTCGAAATATCAGGACTAAATAGCAGGACTAAATCGTCCGGTTGGCTATATACGCCACTGGATTCGTGTCCAAAAATTACATTTACGAAAAGATTTGAGTTGAGCGCAAATTTGAATTGTCTCCTTTTTATATTAATATATATACACCCTGTTTTATGCATGTATGATATAGCTATAATTATACATATACGTAAAAACTAAAGGGGTCTCTTGCGAGCATGAATCAGTTAGACCAGCACATTAATCAATCTTATCATATAAACGACGTCAAGATAAATGTAATCTTTCTGTTTCGACTATTAAAAGTTAAACGCTGGAGCTATTTGAGCAAATTGTACATTTACATAAGCTCGCACATTCGGCGCCGATAAAGATGAATTAGCGCTCAAAACGCCACAGCAGACGGGCGCCGAGAAAATTGTTTACACTAGCGACTGAAATTTTGTTTTAAGCTCATATTTCCAGTTAGCCGTGGACAGTTGTTATTACAAAATAAGATTAAAATGAAAGCTTAAAGCTTTTATTGTGTCATGGAAAAACGAACTTTGATATTTCTTACAAAGTCCTTTTGCAAAATTTTAAAACCTCTCTTAAATTTCAAGAATAAGATGTTTGCTATCCGTAGTCCGTACCGCAGTGTTCAATAACAGTCCTATTTTATAGTCAATAACATAGCCTGCATATAGGAATAATTTCCGAGTTCTGATATTGAAAATGTTTACATTAAACATACCCGGGTTTTGACATAAGGTAAGTATGCATATATCCTGCAATGTGTCGGGTATTCGATGTCACAACTCCAAGGATAATTTCAATGAAAATTTTTGCAGTTTTTGAGAATATATACTCAAAAGAAGGCAAAGAAGAAGGCAAAAAAATCTTGATCCCCATCGGAACAGTCTGCCTCACAAACAAAATATGGGTTTTATCGAATACAAGGAAATTAATCGAGTTGATTGATGATTTCTGCATATATAAATTAAAACGTATATTTGAATATTATCAAGCATGCAAATAAACCGACCTATGATTAATTTAACTAACTGACCGTTTCCGCGTTTGGCGTAAGATTACAAAGTTGTACATGCAATTGCTGAGCATTATGTTCGACCCCCACAAATAACCTAAATTTCGCAGCTTCAAGCTAAGCGAATGAGTATTTTTGTTTCAGGTATACAGATGCATGATATTGAGTATAATGTTACCCAGTTCTTGTAACGTGCTGTACGTCGTCACTACGTTCACAGATTCCAAAACGTAATAATTGACTGAGATAAGTAAGGGATAGACAAATAATCTCGTTGGATCGATTATATTTACACATGTATCGGGCTCTAAATTGGACGGTGGTAGCCAGATTTAAACATCTTTTGATATTGCAAAGCATTTGTGAAAATATAATCATGTTTTGATATTGGCAAAGCATTTTGTGCATGAAAACAATCTTTCTTAAACAGAAAGACAAATATATGTACCAACTTGACATAAGTATTTGCCTATCAATTCCTTTCCTTTAGAATATGGGCTTTTTCATAAAAAGAAGATCAGTGAAAAATTCGAAATAAATATCCATTTGAAGCCATATGTTAAAAATATGTAAAAGGTATAACCATCTGTTCATCCATCTGTGTCATTTATTTTCTATATACTCTAGAGTTTTCTAATGTATTCAAGCATGCTTTCTCGCTGACTAATATCAATCATTGCGTTCGTGTAGGCGTTCAAAGAAGCATTGAAAAAGGGTCAAGGGGATTTCCTTTGGAAATTTATGTCGGCCAGCGTTGATGGTGTTTTCGAATTTAAATTTTCGAAAGCTCAGCTTCCTTATTTCTACGCAATATCATATTACGAAGTTGTAGGTGTCAAACTACTGGCACATTCATGAATTTCGCCTTTGTATCATCAGCAGTTGGCGTGAATGTTTATGTAAAACAGGCGTGATTCTTTCAAGACTACATATGGTCTGACCCCTACTGTTTATACAGAGCTATTAACATATACGATTCACGCTAAGTTTGCTAAGAAAAGGTCTGATATGCACGAGGAATAAAGGAACATGACATCAATGAACGAAGCTAGAAAAATCCGAATCGGATATTGTAAATAAAGCTCCACCGACGTTTCAATCCGACATTATACTTGGATCAACAGGACGTTTTGAACCGTTTATACTAATCAAAGAAGTATTGTACGTTTAATAAGGTACAAACGTCTAAAGATGTCTGGATTTAGTTGGTATATTATTGTTATAATTTGCATCATTCAAAGTCAGGTTTCTTTCACATATTCCCAAGGTACGTACTACGTAGGAGTAAATTTCCGAAGTATATATATATAGATATATGTATAGCTACTGCAATATGTAATATTCTGTTGACTCTGTTATGCAATATAATCGGTAAAAAGCCATGCATGTATTGTCAAGTTAGAACATGTTTAATTAGCTATACAATATATTATAGACTAAACTAGATATGCTTACGGGTTTATTTTGCTTTGTGACAAGCTACATAATATAACAATACGAGAGAACGTTTTGACACCTATATTTATTTAATAAGTACACTGTACTCTCAAAATAAATTCGAACTAGGTAAGCGACGGTAAGCACTGACGGCGAAAATTGTTTCATTATGGATGAGAGATGTCTATAGGCCATTGGAGATGAACATTATTCACGTACTATGAATTATCTGAAATTTCGACAGGAATTGTGAGATGTTTATATTTATGCTGGGGCAATTGTCCACGATTTATAAATTTTCAATTGAGAGTACTGTCAATAGTCCTGATGGTTTATTAAGATAGCCATCGTAGCCCTGTGGAGTTAAGCACATAGACCAGTCTGGTAAGAAACAGACGTTACCGAATGAGCGGCAGTAATATACATTCAAGATTCATACTTCATTTTCATAGCAAAACACAGTGTACGTAATATACAGCCTCATAGTCATACCAGACACTTAAGTTAGTGTCTCAAAGATGTCATAGTGTCATAGTAACTGGTACAGGATAATTATCGCATCTGCCGAATGCAAATTTAACAACTTTAGAAGTAACACGAGTATCCATTCAAAGATCAGCAGGAGTTAATAATTATAGCTTTAATTGCATGATAGTAATCTTCGCCCGCGATCTTATCTTGTTGCGTATGTTCTATGTTTCAAAGTATATGTGTGATTATAGTTGCAAAAATGAATGTAGCCTTCCCATATCTTTCGAAAATTGAGTTACCTCGCATACAATATGCTTTGATAATTCCTACTCGCGACACACGCAGGTGCACTAAAATTTTAAATATTTATATGTTCGTAAAAAGCCTAAATTTATCACGGACCTGTAATTACACCGTCACCGTGTGAATAATCGTGCTCTTAAATAACGCGGTTTTGATGAAAGATACATCAAATGCCAATCGTAGTACGTGCAGGTAGTATCGCATGGAGCCGAGTAGCATTTTCGCTAAAACATTTCAGTATTCCACCATAATATTTTGGCATATATATCTGAATTGATTGTTTTCACAGAAGTCCCAAATTTCTGCATTTCTGAATTGATTGTTTTCACAAATGACGGGCTGGCTTTGGTAATAAGTATATTTTCGTCTACTTCGACAACAGCCGTTGGGTGTTTGAGTGTTTTTAGCCGCGAGCGAGCTGTTGCGCTAAGCAAATAGAAATTCCTCCAATTGGGGTTGATTCGTAGAATCAGTGCCGTGTAATTTACCGTAAATGGCGTCTGACCGATTACATGGGAGCAAAATAATTTCCTTACTATTCACAAAATTCGCTCGTATCCCCAGCGAAAATTGAAAGAATCAAAACGATCCTTCGAGGGCGTCTCGAACCTTGAGTAATGAATAAACGCCAAACTCGTTGAATTTGCAGACGAATCGTTCCGCACAGTTTCAATTTTTCAGGATGACAGATGGCGTAAAAGGAAACAGATGTCATCGTAACTTTGCTTGCACTTTTGGTTTCAAACACGGAAATATTTAAAAATCGTCATCGTTCACACGCTGAAAATTTTTCTCCCCTTTAGCTATCTGTACACAAGCTAATTTTCTTTGTCATTTATTTTTAGTACGTAAAATTGACATTCGTTTTTTTCTGTAACCCTCCCTTTTTACACATGGAGAAAATATTTTATTTATCACATTACATGCATTTGTCAGAAAAAATGGTCCGTGGAAACCAGGCGTAAATATGCGATGAAGTTCATCAATTTCGTACAGTGGTTTTTGATTGCCATTATTTTCTTTTAGCTATTGCTATTAAATGCAAAACTTATATATTAAATATTCAACAATATTAAATATTTTATAAGTGTTCGAATAATTGTGTTTGTTATAATCGGGCTGCATCTGTATTAGATTGTGTAGTTGGTTGATAAAATAAAAACAATCGTCATAATTTATTGTCTTTCTCGAATTGAGCAAAAATTATCTAAATGATTAACTGAAAACTAGCTGAACCGCATGAGCCCACATACCTCATGCACTGCTTACCGGCCTGTATTTCTGGTCATACTGACTGGTGAGCAATTAGACTACTCGAACCTATTTTTTAATACTCAAAATTATATAAAACTAAATATACTTTTATGATTGAACTGACTGATAGTGACATAGCAGACAATATTATAGACTAAACAAAACTCAATATACGATCATAATTATAATAATTGTTATGCATTTCTTCAAAAATTGCAGAGAGCTCTGATGGCTGCAGGAAAAAGGAAAAATTTCACTTCAGCTACACTATAAAGAACTCGCAACAATCTAATTTGACCAATTTCAATGTCGAATGTAGTACTCAGACAGTTTATGAGATACGATTCACTGATGGGCAACTATGTTTTTGCGGTAGAATTACAAACTCCGGAGTGATTTCTTATCAAGACTGTAGGAAAACACTGCCTTTAAACGTAATGGTGAATATATCGGTGCCACAGTTTAGAGAACCGTGGGGAGAAAATTGCACATTTTTTTTTATCTTTAAAAATGGTGCTCAAGTGCAATTGGATATGAAAATTTTACCTCGGCGTATTGTGACCTCCCGTGCTGTCACCAAATCGTCCGTATTCACCCGGTTTTTCACTTCTTATGTCGCAAGTACAGTTCTCAGTTCGGCGATAAGCAATTCTATGACGGAATCAATTCAAATGAGGTTGGTAAATGTTTGCGCATGAAACCACGTAGTGGAACACGTGGAAATGTGCTGACGGTCGGACGTGGGGATATGTTGGCTACATTCCTTTAATACTGTTCCGGGCCGTATAACGAGAAGCTTAATTGGTTGGGAGGGGAGGGGGGTTGTTGTTCATATATTTGTCTTATGCCCAACTGCATGATTTCTTTTGTACGCCATTGTTCCTATGAGGCTATGTTATGTTAACATTAGGTTAGGAGGTCTAGCTACGGCTCCGCTTGCGAGTTTAGTGTAACTTTACTCAGAATATGAAAAATGCAAGGATTGCTAATGAATATCAGAGTCATGTGTCTGTTTTACTTTACTTTTTTAAATTATCGGCTGGTCATGGTTTTTAGGACGGCAGGTTTGCATTTGACGTTTCTTAGTATATTTAGTACTTACACGTTTCTTAAATAGCACAGTTTTTTAAGGCCGGTTCTCATATGACGTAATTTATCATATAATTCGTCGCAATTCACATGTCGTGATTTGTTTTAATTTGTGGCGATTCGGTTTTTATAAGTCGGATCTCGCATTTCAATGACAATAAAAAATGTGAATTATGACTAATTATTTAATGCTATCCAATGTCGATGTATTAAGACCCTTAGTCTTAGAGAACCAATGCAGTATATATCACCAACCATTTTGTCTGTATACTGATTTTTAGCACTACCTCTACCGTGATAAATCCTCAATTTACTCAAACATCAATCCCACACTACACTGCGATCATAATCGCACCAGGAGACTCTGTTTCGACAACGTCTAGCCTCGCAGCAGAACCAGCTCCGACGAGTTCGTCTAGCGTCGTAACCGAACCGACTTCGACGACGTCATCAATTAAACGAAGTAATGCTTCGAAGACGCCCAGTCTTGTAGCTGAGCCAGCTTTGACGACGTCATCAAAAAATGATGTTCTGAAGGCCTCTTCCTCAGCCTTTATAAAAGGGTCGCCAACTTCTGCATTTTTTCCCAGTAGCACACTTTCTCCCGATGGGGGAAACATCGATGAGGGAAACAACAAATTTAAAGAAGGTATAATAATGTTTGATTTATGGGATGCAACATGCGATCTGCATTTCTCAAATCAAAGGTGTATAATTTAAAAAATTGCAAAACTTTCAAACAAATAATCGTGGGTACAGATTCCAAAGCTATAAAGATTGTTTTTTATATAACACAATTCGTCAAAATTCGATCGCTATAATCCACATGCATTTATTAGTCAGTATATCAACAAATTATAACGAATTATATAACATGTGAATTACGACAAATTATCACAAATTATATCATATGAAAACCAGCCTTTGATATGCCTCAAAGAGAAACTTTTTTATTTATAGGGTCGATTGTTTGAAAGCCAGGGGATAAGCAAAAATTTAGTAGGAACTTCACGCATTTCTTAACTTCATGGGCTGAATAACAAATATCCAACGCATTTTCCTAGTGAAATTTTGATACCTAAGTTTTTTGGTAAATCCGTAAACGTGATCGATCTGATATCCACCGTTTTAAAACTGGTGCTTTTGAAAAATAATAGACCTTTTAATAATTACGTCACAATTAGACATTTCGATAATTATGTGCAAAGATGCAAAACATCGTTCTTCAACACATGCATGAAAAAGAACTTTTCATTTTAACAAATAAGCGTGGAAATAAGCCTTATTCGAGACCTAATTAAAGGTCGTAGCCTAATTAAAAATCATTTTTCACCATGCATGTGTTTTTTTTATCTTTGTGAGTGGTTCGTGAAAGTAAAACTTGAAATCCATCCTATTTTATTTTAAGGTGGTTCTAAATTTAAAACGATAATGTTCAGACGCAATTATCGAAATTGTCTATTACACCAAATGTAACACGAAATATATTTACACTGAGTCTCGGAAGAATAAACTGAAAACATAAGTCAATCTATATAATACTTGATTCTCTTCTTTTATAGATATTGATTTCATCAACAACCTTAACACGTCTAATGTGAAAATCAATGACAAGAGGACAATTAAGGTATTAGATAAATGAAAATTCCTGTGCCAGATACCCTCCACGAATTACCGTTATATAAAAACATTACGTCAAATTTAGCATCATGATGCAGTTCAAATTTGTAGCAATTATGCAGAAATGTTACTTCCAATTAGAGTTATTTTGGTGTACTTCTAGGAATCTAAGTGTTAGAATTTTTCGGAAAACATATATATACATTTTCTAATTCTTTTCCCAGCCAGTGCTTATAACAAACTAATATAGCTTAGAGGCTGGCCTGAACATCGTCTGTTTTACCAAACTGCATTTCATCCATATTCACGACGGCTTGTTCATCTGTTATGTCCAATTTTTATTTCATGCGGTCGCATATAGGGTAAATAAGTTCCCATTAGAAACGTAGCTATATAAAAGATGGCTGTAAGGACGATCAGGTTGTGGCAATATTGATATGAGCAGGGTTGAACCATCTTGTGCTGCCCATATTGCTCACAATTGTCATCAACAGCGAACAATTTTGTTCCACCCGATTAAGTTTCCCTTTGCATAAATTTCGCATAACGATTTTATATATGAAATATTTCTGGTCAGCAATATTGCTCAATGTTGTTGACAAGTGTGAACAATATGGCCAGCACAACATGTTTTAGCGCACTACCAAATTTGCGCTGTAAAAATTCTCCTATCATCTTTTCTACTCAGCGAGTGCTGGATGCTGCTGCAAATTTAATAAACACAAACCGAACAGCTGAAGACCAAAACGAGGTAAATAAGTGAACCTTTGTGAAAAGTGAAAGGAATTAAACTCCTACATGAAACATTTTTTAATCTTTCAATCAAATTTGTTAACACATATTAATATTAGCAAGCGTTTGTCATGAGCCGTTTTAAATATCTCTTTGCCTATTATCTATCATAATGAAATTATTAGCATTGAATGCCGAAGGGCATAAGGTCAAGTTAACCGAACAGTTCTAAAGTATTGAAGTTAATAAGTTCACGGCAACCATGTAGGTATATAACCAGGGTAGGTAATAATAAGTATAAACCATGCAGTAGCGATAATTGCATGCGATGCAGTTCTAAAGTATATGTATTTATGTGTCTACTTAACTTTTAGGATCCAGGTATGCAAGCAGTTAAAGTGTTGGAAGATCTTGGAAATTCCATTTCTCAACAGCTCGCCCTGCCTGAGAATGAGAGTTCTGTCACTTTTCAGGAAGTTACAGAAGATCTTAGTAAGAAAATAGTTTTTACATTCTGTGCTGTGTATATCCATAAGATAATCAACCCTTTAATTTTCCCCTTTTGTCCGGACCTTTTTGAACTTTGTCTGGAAGTTAGTGAATTGGAAAACTAGGCGAACGTTCGGAAATTCAGTGAATGTTTCGAACAAAATTGTTAATTTTATCTGAAGAAGCTTGGCCTATAACTAAAAGCACTAAAGTCGCTCATCCATGCAAGGGACGTGCCTGGGGGATTATTCAGAATCCAATTACATGTATTGTAATTATCCTTTAGTATTTGGTGTGGCAGTAATAAATTCAACGATATCCCAAGGATTTTCATTTCCCACTGATGCAAGTGAAGTTATTGAGAGTGAAAAGATTGATATTCCAAGCTCCGTTTTTGTCTCCGAATCAGGTAAGGAAAACAATTTGTCCATTTTTGATACAAGGCTTTCATTGCTAAACGAGGACATCAGTCGATTATGAGAATTATAAGTCTAAGAATATGTCTATAGCATATAAAGCCTGCGCATTTACACCATAAGTAAAATGAAATCAAAAACTACATACCTGATGAAACTTTAATTAGGCTTCAATCGCCAGACCTTGAGACCTCCTGAATATAGTGATACACAATTAACCACAAAATTACTTTTATGCAGTTAGCTGAGTGTGTTGTAATGTTATTTTAGGCTATGATAAGAAATCTGTCTAAACTCTTTTCAATCCGTATAGGCAAAGCATATTTTGTTGGTATAATTTTCAAGCCGTATCGTGAAATGAGAAACAAAACAGGGGATTTTACGGTGGGAACTAATGTTATAAATGCAGTGGTTTCGCCTCCACCACGCAAAACACTTGCTGACCCTGTGGAAATGACATTCAAGAAGAATATCGTGAGTTACTATTTGTTTGGAGCTAACTAATTAACAATTAGTCGCCGAAGGAGAGGTGATTACAAGTCTATACTCACTCAGCTTAAGGCGAAGTGAATATAGGCTTGTAATAACCGAGTCTTAGGCGACTAATTGCTTTAGTATACATTTGGAGGTGTTTAAAAACAAGAATTAACACAACTCATAAAAATTTATATAATTCTTCAAATTTTTTATTTGAAAAAATGCATCAAAAAGCTATAGTCACTATCACTTCAGAGACAATGAATTGTGACCAATCAGAATGAGAATGAAACCAATAGTCAAATCGAAATTTATGCTAAAACGTGATAGTTGGCAGGACGTACGCCTAAATGAATTCAAATGCATGGTAATTGAGAAAAAATCCAAAGACGAGAAATTTTTATGCAACAAAGAATCAGTGTAATTTCATGCCAATCTTTTGCCTATTCTTCGAGACCTGAAAGAACCTGAGTTTGTATTTCTTAACGATAGCCGTAAACATGCATTTTTTGTAGATAATTTTAAAAATCTTTATCAATTCCTAATATTCCATGTATTTTTTCAACTGGGGAAACAATTTTTCCGACAATTTCTATTCAATGCAGTTTCAAACTTGACTTTCACATCTATTTTTTGAAAGATTGGTGAAACGATTGCTTCAGAATGCTCGTTTTGGATAGAAAACGCCACGTAAGTTTACATAAACTATATGTACATGGACTTCAAACTGCGGAAAGATATACTCTTATATACTCAACCATACTGAAACATCTGTATACAAGAACAATATATAATTTCATGGTTTTAAAATGATCAAGACATTTTCAAATTATCTTTCCAGGTATGCAGGTGAACATGGTGGATGGTCAACAAAACAATGTGAAAGAACATTTGAAAACCACAGTCATATTCGATGTCAATGCTATCATTTCACTAACTTTGCTGTGTTATTTAAAATTTCGGATAACCAGGTAACGCATTTTTTATGTTTCTATGCCAAGAACTCACGACTTGTTGAACACAGTACAATACAGTACAATACAGCATTCTATGTAAATAAAAAACCAAGAATCTTGCTAAGATCTTGGTATGATCTTGCTAAGATCTTGGTGTGATCTTGCTAAGATCTTGGTATGATCTTGCTAAGATCTTGGTATGATCTTGCTAAGATCTTGGTATGATCTTGCTAAGATCTTGGTATGATCTTGCTAAGATCTTGGTATGATCTTGCTAAGATCTTGGTGTGATCTTGCTAAGATCTTAGTATGATCTTGCTAAGATCTTGGTATGATCTTGGTATTTTTTAGGATGTGTCAGATGAAGATACATTCCGTCTGGTTATCATAACTTATGTTGGGTTGAGTCTATCTATTTTGGGATGTTTTCTGACTTTCGTAATTTATGTCACTTTATCGTAAGTACATGCAGATGAATTTTGAGACGTAATTTTCTACTGCTTTGCATTTTCAATCATGATTAGTTATAAACTGCTTCAAAACTTCAGAAACATCAAAACAGACAGAGCAGTAATCCACACAAATTTGGTACTGGCACTTGGAATTGCTGACGTGATATTTTTGGTTACCGTGGTTGTCAAACCTGTTGGGGTAAATATACTTAGCTATTTATTTCCGTAATTATCTGATATTTATGGAAATTAATATTGTTACATTTAATTTCGCATTTCCAGGATTCATGTTTAGCTTTGGCGATGTTAGCGTTTTACTTTTACCTTGCTGTGTTTTTCTGGATGTTGGATGAAGGCGTTTACATTTATTTGATGGTTATTAAAGTTTTTCGTGGAAACGATGCTATGAGAAGAAGGATGGCTTACTTTGTGGGATGGGGTAAGCATTTTTTGAACTGTTAACAATCCGCAAATAATGCATAAAATAGTCAAGATCCGCCAATTAGGATGTTTTATAACGATATATTTATATAACTCGACTGCATTATTAATATTTATTGTGCAAGATCGATTAGTACTAGTTAAAATAGCATGTTAGGGCCTTATAGTTATGAATACTAAAGATTAGTTGTATCAAAATTAATATGTGAATTGCTAATTCATAAGAATTTTATGGAGAATTACAGATCTATACGTTGTACCAAAATACTGCGTAATGATTGAAGATTAGACTCATTAGTTATTCTCATGAATATTTCACAATCGGTGAACTCCTAAATTTGGCATATGCTTATTCTTCGATGCGTGTAGCTATATAACTTATGTTTCTTCTGTGTGTTATTTGTTTTTGTATATGTAAATATGTAATCGGAGGAATGCCTCGCATGGGGTCTCGTGTCCCGTTTGCATTTTCTCCGTTTGAACATTGTTCAATAAATTTGATATACATAAATCAAATCGATGTATGCGATTAAACCTATTAAATTGTGTCTTAGGATGTCCGGCGATAATCGCCATTATCACCTGGGTTGTTTTGAGAGATGATGTCGTGTCAAAATACCAGTAAGTTCAAACTATTGTAGTCATCCATGAAGTGCGGTAGTAGGAATTTAGTTTCTTGCTGAATGCTGAATAAAGTATAGGACCAATTCATTTTTTGTAGTCGGGGTTAGCTACATACAGTAAATACAAAGGTGACAGAAATTATAGCTAATTCATTATACTTTGTTGTAGTTGCTGGTTATCGGTTGAGTCCGGAGCAATATGGGCATTTGTTGGTCCTGGATTGTTGATTATCTTAGTGAGAACCTACGTTTATTTTTCCCTTCATTATTGCTGCTCCCTTCATTTTTACTTCTTCATTCGGCTCATTTCATTGCGCGTCCATTTGCTTACCCTAGTTCTAGATAATCCTTTTCCTGTTTCTTCATTTCCTGCCTTCTCTTCTAAAATTGATCATCCTTTTCTTTTTCTCGTTTAGCCAAATTCAGTGTTGTATGTCAGCTATTTTATTTTATTTTTTTAGGTAAATATTATTGTTCTGATGATAGTCATGAGAACAACATGGGCAACGTTTGTTGACGACAAAGAATATGGCGGTTTGAAGTAAGATTTATAATTTATAATAATTGTCTAAAGACTCTATTCCAATTAGTAATAACTTGATGTTATAGGCCGGATTCATAATATAGTTATTAACTGAATGTGAAGTCCGTAGGAAACGTCTTAAGAGCATACGTATAGACAGGGCACATATAAGAGAGTGTACATACGTTCCAATGTAACCAAGGAGCAGCGTGGCAGGGTCTTCAAGACAACTTCGCATCAAATGTGGTATAACAACTGGCTAAAATAGACAAAACTCTTCTTGTCGTTTTGACCCTTAGGGCCTTCGTCAGGATTCAGGAAGTAGTGGGTACACGAGAGATGGAGAGAGAGTATACCACATTTGAAATAAGAGACAGGCCTTTTTATTCAGTTCAATTTTTTATCCGTATCGAACGAAAAATTTAGTCAAAAAGTGTAAGACTATATAACAGAAAAGATTTATTTATCTACTATTCATCCTTGCCAGCCTTTACTCTAGCCAGACAAATATACCATAAATAGTATAATAACGACAAAACTGAAAATGAATCAAGGGAATATAAATACATGTATAGCACAAAGAAGTATTGCGGTTAAAGCGATAACGATTTCTATGAGCTAAATTCAATCTTAATCACAAAATTTAGGTCGGCAACGAAGACATTTGGCGCAGTTATTCCTATCTTAGGAATAACCTGGATTTTTGGTGTCATGGCATTCAATGAATCTTCTATTGTATTTCAGTATATTTTTGCTATCACTAATTCTTTACAGGTATGACTCTTCCTCCATATTCTTCCTTATCTAGTAAGCAGATAATAGTTTTGTGCCCCAAAAAATATTATACATTTGCGTCACCCACATTGCGAACTGCTAGGAAAGATAATTTAGCTTTACGTTTAGCTTTACTTTAATTTAGCTTTTTTTTTTCGAAAAAAATGAAATGCCTAACGAATTGCATTTCGCAATAATAACTTTAATGTGAATCAATCTTTTTTTTTCCCAATGCTTAAGTTAGCAGTTAGCAATGTTAGTTAGCTGACCAACAGACAAAAGATTTATCATACACCATGTACCTAATATTTCTCTCTCCTGTAGGGCGCTTTAATATTTATTCTTTACTGTTTGGTCAACAACGAGGTAAGCATTTATATCACTTTGTCTCGGACCTTATTCATCAATATTCACCTCGCCTTCGGCAAATAGCTATAAGACGCGGGCTGTTTAGTACCACGTATAATTGCTGCACAGTGCATGGTACAGCGTAAACCACTCTGCCTTATCGTGTTAGGTGCGAAACGAGCTACAACGAAAGCTAGCGATATGGCAAACCCGTCGTGAGTTATCCTCATCATCGGCGGGTGCTCGCCGTACGTATCCATATGTGGTATCTTCGGAAAAGAACACGACTTTCAATCGCACTACGACATCGGCACAGGCCACCCCAGATCTCTACCGGTATCCGATGGGGGAAATTAAAGATGGAACATCTCAGGGAAAAGTAGAACGAAAGTACTCGTTTGAAGATAGGAATAAAAAACCAGACTTTGAACTGGAATTAGGTAAGGAGGAAAAGAATGGCGGCGAGAAAGGTAAACATTGAAAGAGACAGCAGCTTAAGCATTCCAGTGGGGATGGGATAGAGACATGCATAGGAATGAATAATAAGCTTTAATTCAATTAATTGCCATGAAAAGAGAAGGGACATATAGGCATATTATACATGCAGTTAGTGACAATGATGAGGCAAGCACCTTACCAGTCAAAGAACTGGTCAAATGTGAAACATGCTACGTGCATGCATGCTCATAAAGGTGTCCGTCGGTTCCTAGTTGTGGGTTCTGTGGCGATTGATGCAAAACGGGCGTGAAGATGTGAAAGGTGAGGAGAAAATGGATGATGTCCAAATCGCTGATCGGTTGATACACTGGATATAGAAAGCATATACCTCCGAAAATCGAGGCAAGAATTAATTCGGAGAGCGATTAATTCATTTTAGGATGAGTTCATTTTATTAATTCTGACTTCGTTTTAGGCCTATTTCAGACGTCGAACAAATTTTCATGTCCGCGCCGAATCGAATGCAAATGTTATGAACTTAGACAAAGACTTTAGCTCATTAACATTAGGTTCGGCACGTGAAAAGTTCGACGTCTGAAACTTTATTCCGACGGCCTTATCTGGCGTATCATCAGATCACAAACAAATTTCGCCGCGGAACCTATTTCTTGGACGGAGGGATAAAGTGGGAAACATTTTGCTTATCATCATGAACTAGTTGAATTGATTTTAAATCGCGCATGTACAAACAGTTTTTATTTTTCTACAACACCAACCTGGTAAGCCGAATTTACTTTTTATGTGATAAAGAGTTAATTCTTAATAACAATAAGGACAACTGCATGTTGAAAGAGCAACGAATTTCCGTTGTGCCAGCTGTATACAGCTATATAGTGTGGTCATTTATTTGTATTGACTCAAATGATTTGTGTAAAAGACTATTTGAAAAAAGCACTATACATACGTAAATTGTAAAAATTAATGACAGATTTTAAAATCCCTTCTATAAAGCTTCGAGTTGTATGCCAATTTCATAGAGCAATCTCATAAGCATCTTACTAAAATTATATATAAAAGTGCGGTCCAACAGTGTAGAAATCAGAAGATATGAAATCGACACCGTATAGTATGCAAATTTCATACAATTGATAACAGAGACGCGCTCAATTTTCAACATTCTCAAAATTTCGTGAAAACCGGAAGTAATAGGCGGCAAACTTCATGTAATATATATATAATAGTTCACGATGTAAACAAAACACGCGTGTGCGCAAAACAAACTTGACTGCCACTTTAACACTTAATAACCACTATTAAGTGCTGGTGCTTTAAGCTTACTTTCAGGAAAAACAAGACTCGGATTAGAGTTTTTAAGTGAATTTAATATATTTCCGTATTGTTTATAATTGTAGCTCTTTGTTGGTGAAGGTTTATCAGATATTCATTTATGATTTACGTTGTAGTCTAGAAATTAGAGACATTATCTGAAATATAGCACTTGAAAAATACACCGAATTCAATAGACCTTTCTTACAATGGCATCAAACGCCGAAAGTCTGATGTTACACGAAATTTAATTGCCTCCGCATGCAAAACTATCAAGCGTATCAAACTTCGTGTAACATCAGACTTTCCGCGTTGACATCATTATGAAAAAGGTCTATTGAATTCGGTGCATTTTGCATGCTCTTCCAGACTCGTTCCTAAAGTTCCGGACCGTTTTGCATAGGCAGGGCTTTAATATATCTCTCATGACGTTGTTTGTCTTTTTTTGTGGGTAGCCGCTGCGCATGCGCGGCTAACCACTATGTGAGAGTTGAAAAATGTCTTAGCAAGGTAAATATCCAGATCTTCGGCGATGGTCGGATAAACGAACAGATGACGATAACACCGTTCGTTATGACTTCCGGAAAATATCGTAAAAAGTTCGGAAAATTTCGTAAGTTGTTATTTTGCCAAGATTAAAGATTTCGAGTTTCCACTGTGATTTCGTGGAGGCGTGGACTGCGTTGTTTCAGATTTTTAGCAAAGTTAAGGTGTAGTGCTTTTTGTGGGTTTTTGTTATTTCAATCGCTTATTTATCTACTGTGGTCGAGCAATTTCGACTACAATCAGATTTTACAAGCGTACATTTAATTGTATATTTAATTGTATACGGGGCAATCTTGCCTGCACTGACATCATCTTGTCAGGCGCTCCACGTGTCAGAGTGCACGTATCGAAAAACTCAAAAAAACCGGAGCCATTGTTGCTCGCACTGGTCGTCATCATAGACCAGGGTACTATTTACATGAAAGGCCACGTACCAAAAATGAACCTAGCCATTGTGCAGGTATTGAAATTGAAACCAGCCATTGTGCGGGTATTGAAAGTGAACCCAACCACTGTGCGGGTATTGAAATTTGAACCCAGCCATTGTGCGGGTATATAAAATAATTAACAGCCGCAACTGCTGCTATATTCAAACAAAATAACACTGCTGACTGTTTGCTGACTAGCAGGTACAGTACTGACGAGTATACTGAAAAATAAAAATCTTCAGTAATATTTTAATTAACTCGACAATTTTCTATATAATATAAAATAGACTATGATAAATTGCAGTGCTTTGCTTTACTGTAATCGCAGCTGATGTTTTCGAGGCTACCCACATGTACGCTATGCGTACCTCTCGTTGTAATATGTTCTAGATTATAATCAATACATCAAAATTATCCGACTATACAATTTCGTCCCAGCAAGTATGTAGAATCACATAAATAGACGTTTCAAACTTTAAATCACGCATATAAATCACTGTTTATATAATATAACTTGTCACTAATTTTTAACAAATGTCGTGCAACTCTCGTAACAAACGAGCAAAAACTCTCGCCGACTTCTATCAGCAATTGAGACAGTTCAACTTTGATGCGAGTTGACGCACGACTTGCAGGAACGCTGAGACGATTTGAGGGCGCAGGAGACAGATTTTATTTTCGTGTTAAAGGACAGCGTTTGCCTGCCCTTGCTCGACTTGCACGCAATGTGCAGTGATTCGATCACTTCTGCAGTTTAAGCTCTCTCTACAAGTTGAAAATCCGCTTTAAGGTTTCAGGAAGAGTTTCGCGTACTGGGATTTCTAACTGAATAAGCCGCTAAAAATCCCAAGATTTTAGGTCTTGCAATCATGTTGTTTGAAATATGTGCTGCACGGTAATTTGCATTCAAAATAATGTCTTGGTATTCAAAACCGGATGAATGACGGATTAAGATTTTCCTGCCACGAGAGGGGAAGTAGTTGCAATGCATTTGTTATCAACATTCATTCGTATGAGACCTAAAGCGAATTCACTGGCGAGTAGTTTTTATTTAGGTATACATATAGAGGACTGAAGGAAAGAAGAACCTGAAGAATCCAATTAATTTCTCAATTATCTAAGCATGTGTCTGGATAAATGTGTTGTTGTCGCTGCCTTGTTTATCGTCGCTTCACTCCACATCACTGTCGATTTCACCAGTGCTAGAGTTTCGCGTAAAGGTATGTAATAAATTAAATGTAAAGAGTTTTCAAAATCGAAAAGAGCAACGACAAACGAAAACAGGTTTATTGGTGAATTATTGTAATATGAACGTTTTTATTGAGCACTAGCTATATAATTATGATCCCAGTCGCATATGAATGCATGACCATATTACATGAAATTTCAGTTCATTTATGTGATTTAACAATGCTTCTGATAAGCTGTATAATCGCCCATATTTTTTCAAGCAGTATTAGGATTCAGACTGTAATGTATTAATGTATATAGCCATAAGAAGAAATAAACCTCACCTCATCTTACCAAGTTAACTACGTATAGCTTAGTACTACATAAGAAAGTTCTTTAATTAATGCATATATTCAAAGTATAAAAGAATATCAACCCTCATGCCACTGATGCCAGCAATATATACCATTTGCATGTCGAAATGACGCTGTGTCAGTTGAGATGGTCACCTAGGCCTGCATTTAGGTACATCAAACTGCTTTTCATAGCGTCAGTTATTGAATTTTAGGTAAGGTTGAGAAATTAAGCGATAAATGGTAATGATAATTTTTTATTTAACGATTCGATTGTTCTGGAACAATATTGCGTGTTTTCGACAGGATGTCTAAGCATACATATAATAAAGTCTGTTTGTATTATTTGGATATAAATTGAGCGTGGGCAGAACAGCTTCTCGAAAAAGAAAGGCGTCTCATTTACGTCAATGAATATTATGATTTAACCGTTTTAACGAAAATACAGGATATAGAGCACGAACTATACCAGGTGGAGAAAATGCGATATTGAATTTGGCCGGATATCATTTAATTTTGATGTGATTCTAAATGGAATATTGAATAGGAATGGGGCAATATTTATAATTCTAGGCGAAGTTAATGTTCACAGGGATATATATTGAAATGCATTTCAGCTTATCTGTGATATCATGACGTCATATGAGGCGCCTCACTAAAATTGAGTTATCATGCATCTGGAGTCATGTCTCCTCGTTCTTTCAACTAATGGTATATAAAGGGCGAAAAATTAAAATTCTAATTTACATTCGAGTGTTTCCGCATAAAAACAACAGAATTACTTCCATTGCCGAAGTCTTATCAAATTGAGGAAATGATAATTAAGTTTTGCTGCGGAACTGGAACTTTTTAATTAATTGGTTGATTTTTATACTCAGATCATCTGAATATTAAAACTATAGCTCCGTTTACACTACACTGAATTTATCGGCACGGCACGGCTAAAATTGGTACCCGTGCCCAATTTTATTAGTGTTCAGGCTACCAAAACAAAGGCCGAGCACAGATGAAATGGGCACGGGTACCCATCTCAGCCGTGCCGTGCCGTGCCAATAAATCGAGTGTAGTGTAAACGGGGCTTATATAACATCAGCTTCTTTCCAATGTCGTGGAACGACAAGCAATGATCATGGACTGTAAGAAAATACGCCTCATAAATACGCGTTTCTTTCATTCTATTAAAATTGTTAATTAAGAGAGCCACGTTTCACAAGACAACGTCATTATGAATGTATATACATTGACTATATAAGGTAGTATTATTATTCCTTTTCCGAACGAGAAACTTAATTGATTGATAGCATGATAAAGTAAATTAAACGTAAAGTAATTAAACGTAGCATGCGCATGCAGTATCGCACGGTGTTCGTGGATGTTGCATAAGTGTCAGTAATCGTCCAGGTTATAGTATACCACCTGAATACTTACTATTTTGCGCGAAGCCAAAAATTTAACAGGCCCAAATAAGTGAACTTAATTGTTTTCTTTCTTTTTAAAAACAGAAAACAACAATGACGATGTCTGTGTAAAACACAAAAGATTTAACAACGCGAAAAAAGATACGATAAACTCGAAGAATGAAGTATTGCGATATTTTAATATCTACTGCTCCAAACAAGCATTTTTTGAAGTTCGATACACAAATGGATCACTATGTGCATGTGGGCAAGTCAGTTCTAGAAGTCTTAGAAGGTTCTACTGCGAGAAAAAATTGCCTTCGAATTTTACCGTCTACATATCTGTCAAAGAACGTCTTGTTGAAAGTAGAATCTGCCGTTTTTCTTTTCTCTTAAATCATCCTGGTCACAAAGAAGAGCTAAAAATAGTTCCAAAAAACAGTTTCTATGAACCAAGTTCTTTGTCTGGAATGCCTGCTCGTTCCTCCGCTATGCATTTGGATGTATCAAAAAGTATTCTTACTACGTCTGTATTTGGTCAGTTGCGTAGTGGATCATCAGATATAAGTAAACAATTCGTAACTGGGAAATCGTTGGCGATTTCAAGGCAAATAAGGTAGGTAAAACGTATTCATAGTACTGATGGAGTGAAGGTTGGTCAAAGATATAGCAGCAATAGAATACACTTTGCACCCTATTAAAATTCGAACAAAAACTATGTCGTTTTCTGAATTACATGCATGCATTCAGCGAATTTGAACAGAATTCTAAACGTATTTCTTACTTATTTTTTTACAAATCAGCACCGGGCGGAATCCTAGGCTTTCCTGCAATCCTGAGTGATCAACTGTAGCAGCGGGCGGACCGCTGGCCAGACCTGCTAAAAAATGAGCTCATGCATATTTCTACATCCTTGCAGCAAATACAGACTCGGTCTCCCGCTGGCTATATCAGATATGACTCGATCTCGCGTGTATGGAATATAGTAGCAAAATATCTATTTAAATTTTTTTTTATTTAACACAAATTAATGCACATACTAAAATATGCAGAAAAACTAATTAGTTCTTGCAATTTACTCACTTCAGCCGGTTTTTTTAAGTAGGACATTTGTCAGTAAAGATTTAGGCTCGTGTATACGCGCGTGCTGTATGAAAAACGCGTAAATGGAAAGCATGCAGTCTTTAACCACTTTAATATTTAGGAAACTTGTTCAAATTCAATTTTTCCTATTTTAGCTCCACCGTGGCGAAACAAAAATTCTCGCAAAGTTTGGTCGCGTCCAACACTGGAATAGTATTTACTTCTACTACTCCAAAGGAAAATAGCCCCATTCAAAGCATGTCGTCTAGCTTTTTGATAGAAGCTACGCCAAGTTCTACCAGGGCAAAACAAAAATTCTCGCAAAGTTTGATCTCATCCAACACCGGAATAGTGCTTACTTCTACTCTTTCAATGGTAGATTCCCCAATTCAAAGCACTTCGTCTAGCTTTTTGATACAAGCTACGCCGACTACATCATCTAGCCCACTTTCCACTATTATATTGCCTTCTGATGAGGAAGAAAAGAAAAAACTGAAAGAAGGTAGGACTACACTTCAATACTAAGTTTATATACCTGAGAATATTTTTTTGTACTATTGTGATATGGTGCTACGCCGCGAGTCGCCAAAAATTAGCTTGACTGAAGTGGAAACCGAACCCCCAAGTGCAATTAGAGATTATTTTTGTGTCCTCAAATTTCCCCCAAATGTACACGTCATGCACACACCACGACACTTGCTGGAAACATGGTCGCCAGCGAATTTTTCACTATTTCTACCATTTTGTAGTAATTTGTTGGCTTTTAAGCCGTATAAATATATAAATTAATTGTTAAATTAAATTTTTTCTCCGCAAATGCCAAAAAAGTAGTGAAATAAGTCACATGGACGAGAGCATAAAAACAATGACGTATATAATATCACGCAATAAACACTTGCTATATAGCAAGATGGCTGCCGTGGGACACTTTTCACCACTGAGATGGACACCTGTCCATCTTTTATCTATGCCGTGGTCAAGCTAATTTCAATTTCAGTTTGCTTAGTTGGTCACTCAGAGTAGTCATCACAATGTTAATTTTTACAAGAGTCAGACACACGATCGTTGGGGAGTTTAAACCAAACGTAATGTTTTATAGATTCAAACTCAAGAGATTTTGTCCGAGATTCTAACTATATTACTGTATAGTATATATAGAGACAGTCCGAGATTCTTTTCTATGCATATAGATATCAAGTTCGTCAACAACTTTAACGCGTCCAATGTAAATATCAATGACAAAAAGACAATTGAGGTAAAAAAATGATACTCTATACAGTTATTACTCCGCCACCCCCGTATACAGATAGTTTTACTTTGTCTACAGGGTGTCCCAAAAAAAAGTCCCCTCTATTGAAATCAAGCCTTTGTTAGAATCTGATTGCCTTAATATTATGATAAACCCAATTGAAAGCAAGACGCTTTATTTGAATGCCTCAACCTAATAACTATGCTATTTACACACTACTGCGTTGATCATGCATTCAAATTCCAACAAAAGCTTCATTTCAATAGCGGGGACTTTTTTTTGGGACACCCTGTATATAAACAAAGGTCGCGTCTAAATGTACCCAGCGTTTTCGCTAACTGAAAACGGAAGCTGGATACTAAAACACAACTGATTTAAGTGGATATAGCTACGCGTGGGCGACTTTCTGAATGAATTGAGAAACAATGAGTAAATGGTATACGCAGCACATGCTTATACGACAGACGACGATCACGTTTTTTTTTCGCCGGCTTCCAAGCCAGTTATCCGCCTAAAACGAAAACGTCAGGCCAAAACTCGACGTTTTTGACAAGACCTGCGTTACTTAATTTACTCGCTCAGCAAGCGATTCATGTATAGTAGTGATTGAATGTCTACCCACAGGACCCTCGGGTATTATAATATACGTATTTCAGGTATTTTATTGATGTTTTATACTGGTCGAATAGTCTCATATGTCACGCTGAATCGCCGATGTTCTTAGGCTCTTCGCCTATATATACCGTAAATAGCTTTGTGCAAATGTGTACCAATGTGATGTAGAGAACTCCCGTAAAAATTAATTATTCTTTTTTCACACAGCGAGTGTTGGATGCTGCTGCGAATTTGATAAACACAAACCTAACAGCTGAAGATCAAAACGAGGTAAAAATAATTGAACATTTGTGGAAAAATAAAAGAAATAGGATGCCTTAAAGATCACAATTATAGCATTCCATGCTCAAATATATTTTGTTGCCACATATAAATGAAATTAGGTATGTAATATTAATAAAATTTTTGTAGCAAACTTGATGTACCCGAACTGAATGATTCCCACAATGCACTTTTATAGGACCCAGGAATGCAAGCAGTTGAAGTGTTGGAAGATCTTGGAAATTCTATTTCTCAACAACTTGCTCTGCCCGAAAATGAGAGTTCTGTGATTTTTCAGGAAGTGACAGACGATCTTGGTAAGAAAATAGTTTCTATATATTTAGCTGTATATATGCTTGCATAAGGTGTGTAGAAACACTACAAGTGATACTATATATAGTGTTCATTACAATGGACAATAAACATGGACAAATATTGTACTAGTCACTAGAGACAGTATAGGATGTTAGCATCAATCTATAACGTTTGCATGATAACAGAAAAGCACTTATTTATATCAGTCTATTAAATTTACGTTCATATTCGCGATGGCATTCGGCCCAGAGGAAACATGCAATATCATAGTGTAGGCGAGTTTTTGGATCTTAATATTTAATTTAAAAATATTTTATAAAAAAATTTAATAGTTTCGTAATTATTTTTAGTGTTCGGTGTGGCTGTAGTAAATGCAACGACAACGCCAGGATTTTCATTTCCTTCCGATGAAAGTAGAACAACCGGAGATGAAAAGATCAATATCCCAAGCTCTGTTTTCGTTTCTGATTCAGGTAATGAAAAACGGTTGCTAGAACCTAAAGCCTTTGCTAAATGAAAAAGAAACAGTGATGGTAAGACCTTATGAGCCATAATGCGATGAATATAGCTATATATAGCTGATAGTATATCTAATATGCATGTAACCATAGTATACCTAACACCCGATGCGCCTGCTTTATTGTTTTGGTTCACAGTTATAAAAAATTACCATTACCATGCATAAAGCATGAATTAATGCAGAGCGACCCTAGAAACACGCAATTTGATCGGTTCGTAGGCGTGCAGTATGAGACAATCCAGCACGGAAAGTTTACAATGCCGGTTTGCGCGGGAAATTTGACCGTCGTTTCATTGTAGTTATTTTATAAAGAAAATACTAAATGGTTTTCCGTGCAGGATTGCACTTGGGAAATTGCTCGACTGCATGTATTCCTTTATGCATGCATGTTTTTCCATGTCAAAATCATGTCAATCTGCCAAAGCCACCTGGTCCGTTAATTTTGTCTAACGTGGTATATATTGGCGCAAGAAACACATGCAACTTCACCAAACTGACCAAAGCAACAGCAGCAGGCAACTTTACCGAACTTCATATGAGAGGAAATGACATGATTTTTTCCTTATTCATAGGCAAGGCGTATTTTGTTGGCATTATCTTCAAGGCGTATCGTGAAATGAGAAACAAAACGGGGAATTTCAAGATGGGAACTAAAGTTATTAATGCAGTTGTTTCGCCTCCCCCACGCAAAACACTCGCCGACCCTGTTGAAATGACATTTAAGAAAAATATTGTGAGTCATTATTTTGAATGGAAATTATACTTTAAATCAATTAACAGTTTAGAAAAATAAGTTGACATACGCGTGACATAGTTATTACCCATGGAACCCTCCCGGGCTTGAATTTATTGATCGACAACAATTTCCAATCATTTTTATTTAATGCAGTTTTACTATATAATTTTATTTCACATTTATATTTTGAAAGATTGGTGAAACGATTGCTTCCGAATGTTCATTTTGGATAGAAAACGCCACGTAAGTTCACATGCAATAACTGTCCAATTGCCGAGAAATAGAATAAGCTGTCACTAAATTCGACAGAATATTTAGGAAGCGAACTATTTTTTTGCAATAAAAATAGATTTATACTTACTACAGAAACAATGTTTTACAGTTACTATATATATAGATAATAACTATATATCAATATTCTTACATTCATTCATGGTGAAACATCTCCAGGCATTTAGGCGAACATGGTAGATGGTCGACGAAACAATGTGAAAAAACATTTGAAAATCGCAGTCATATTCAATGTCAATGCTATCATTTCACTAACTTTGCTGTCTTATTCAAAGTCTCGGATAATCAGGTATCACATCCTTTTATTTTCCATGCCAAGAAGTTCTTTTTTTGCATTGAGTCTCTGGTGTTTTGAGAGGTCTCTTGCATTTTGTGGTGCTAAACTCTATCATGTTCACCTCAATTTCAAGAATCTTATTTAGGAGAAAAGCTGTTCCCAGTTTAATTGCTAGAAAGAAATATACAACGTAACCACAAATACATTGCATGCACATGTCCCCGACAAGATATATACGTATAAAATTCTCACTGTATAAAATACAACAGATCTTTGTTTCTCTATAAAGGATGTGTCAGATGAGGACTCGTTCCGTCTGGTTATCATAACTTATGTTGGGTTGAGTCTATCTATTTTGGGATGTTTTCTGACTTTCGTCATTTATGTCACTTTATCGTAAGTACACACAAAGGTATAATAAATTTTAGAGGATCATTTCCTAAACTGGGGCCGGTTGTATAAAAAGGTACTTAATTTATCTATAGTCAGTGGCAGAATTGGCCAATCAGAATAATGTATTTTCCAGTTAACTACGATTTAACTGTAGTTAAGAGTTTTATACAACCTCTGGTTGACATTTTAAGTAATTGGAAACATTGTTAAATGAAGTTTTTTAGAGGCTGCATGTAAACTGCTTACAAATTTTAGAAACATCAAAACAGACAGAGCAGTAATCCACACAAATTTGGTACTGGCACTTGGAATTGCTGACGTGATATTTTTGGTTACCGTGGTTGTCAAACCTGTTGGGGTAAGAATACTTCTTCGTTGTTGTACTTTCACGACTGTGTGACATATGTATTAAAATTGTTTCATTTTCTTTTGCATTTCCAGGATTCATGTTTAGCTCTGGCGATGTTGGCCTTTTTCTTTTATCTTGCTGTGTTTTTCTGGATGTTGGATGAAGGTGTTTATATTTATTTCATGGTTATAAAGGTTTTTCGTGGTAATGATGCTATGAGACGGCGGATGGCTTACCTTGTGGGATGGGGTAAGTATTTTTATACATTATATATAAATATATATATATATATATATATATATATATATATATATATATATATATATATATATATATATATATATTTATCACATACTTGTGCCTTTATCAGGGCGATAACAGGGTGACATAAAAACGATATCGTCACTGATATCGCTTTTTGTCACTGATATCGCTTTTTGTCACTGATATCGCTTTTTGTCCCGCTGCATTTGCCGCTGTCAAAACAAAGATGGCTGACTCGAGCAGTTCGAGGTTTGTTTCAGTCAATGTCGATTGCTTTATAGATCAAAAAGAAGTATGTGATAAACAGGTTATCACAATCGGGACGAGGTGATATCAGTTTTATCGCTTTCAGGACGATATCATAAATGTCTCTCGTTCGCTGCGCTCACTCGTGACATTTATGATATCGTCCCTCAAGCGATAAAACTGATATCACCTCGCCCCTCATGTGATAACCTATACATATAGACTTCGAGTATCTATCTATCTATTCTAGCTTTATATATTTAAGTTTCGCGCTGTTCTTTAAGACTCTGTATACGTTGAGAGTGTCTGATTGGTTGTTTTGAAGTTGATCTGATATCAGTGGTAGTTGAGGGATGCGTTGTCATGGTTGACTGCATTTCGTTGTCAGGGATGGTCGCTGTGGTGATTAGATTGTTGTGTATCAGATGCGGGTGGATTTAAGTTATTATTAGTTATATTAATGCGATTATTGATAGAGTCCTTACGTTTTGTCTTAAGTTGCAGATAGACTGCAGGAATGTCGATATGTCTGTTAATAGTATTGTCGTCTGTACTAAACCAAGCTTCTTTGAATTGACGTGCGTGTTTTGTTCGTGCTCGTCCCAGTAGTTCAGTTTTTGTCCAGGCGAAGGTGTGAAAGTTGTCGTATGTGTGTATTGCGGGTAGGGATTTAATGAACGGTGAAATGAAATCTATATGTTTATATATGATTTAATTTATTAAAATGTGTCTTATAGGATGTCCAGCGATTATCGCAATTATCACCTGGGTTGTTTTAAGAGATGATGTCGTGTCAAAATACCAGTAAGCATTTAAGTTTCTTAATTGCTAAATAATGAGCAAGTTATTATGTATATATAATAAAACTAATAAAACTAATATAGCCGGGGAGCAGCGTGGCAGCTAGCGTCTTCAAATAAAAAACTGAAAAAGATCAGTATGACAAAATTATTCCTATAATGCAGTGTTTAATCGAATTCAGGAACACAACTAAAATATGTAGACTACTAAAAAATCTTAGCACCAAATGTGATATAACAACCGCTTAAAATACCACTTCTCGACCTGGGGCCTTCGACAGGAGAGTTAGTGCCCTCAAGTCTTTCCTCAGGTCGAAACGTCGAGAAGTGCTTTTGTCTATTTTAGGTATAGTTAATTCTTATACCACATGTGATGCTAATAAAACTAATGTATTCATTTACTGTAGTTGCTGGTTATCGGTTGAATCCGGAGCAATATGGGCATTTGTGGGTCCTGGATTGTTGATTATTTTGGTAAAAATCTTGTTTATTTTTCCTTCATTCCTGTTTTTAGCCCAGCTCATTTCATCGCGCGTCCATCTGATTACCCTGATTATTTTGTTTCATCAAATTTTTCTTTTTTTCCTTCTGCATGAGGGTTAATCTTTTTCTATTTTCTTCATTGGCTATTCATCGATCGCTCCTCTTTTTTTCTCGTTTAGCCAATTTGGTGCTGTTATGTTAGTTTTTTTTTCATTTTTCCAGGTAAATTTTATTATTCTGATGGTTGTCATGAGAACAACATGGGCAATGTTTGTTGGCGACAAAGAATATAGTGGCTTGAAGTAAGATATTTAATTGATAATAATTTTCTCCTGCATGTGCAAAGAATTATTTCAACTTATAATAACTTGGTCGTGAGCCTATATGATTCATACTAATTGTATTAACCGAATGTAACACCGTACTAGAAAAATATATATCCGATTAAAGTCTTGATAGTACGCGTACATGAACTAGGGGATATTTCGTTTTAGACCAATCAGAACGTTTGTTTACATTATCAGTAACGCAATGAGCACGCATAAATTTTTACTACTTCTGGTAAAAAGGTAGATTATTACTATTTTACAAGAAGTAATAAAAATTATGGCGATTAATAAAATTCCAACTCGTCGTGTACATGTCAAATTTTTTTTCCGTACAGTTCAACGAACAATCCACTTAAAACAGGTGTATACCTATATGCCAGACAAGATTTATTTATATATTGACTATCAATTATTGTCATTACATGCATAAGTAGCTTTTAAACTGATTTTAACGAAGTTTGCATGAAGATAAATTAAGGAAATGAAAATATTTGTATAGGTTATATAGCGCATTTAAGTTGTACGTGATTGGGATATTAAAAGATTTCTGCGAGGTAAATTTGATCTTATTTACAAAATTTAGGTCGGCAACGAAGACATTTGGCGCAGTCGTTCCTATTTTAGGGATAACCTGGGTTTTTGGTGTCATGGCATTCAATGAATCTTCTATTGTATTTCAGTATATATTCGCTATCACCAATTCCATACAGGTATGAACGTGCATGCGCATACAAAAATATAATTAAGCACTGCTAGTGATATAGTTTTGCTATGTCTTCTTTTATTTCGTTTCATTTAACATTTCAAGAGGCAATTTCTGCTAAAAATTTTCCTTGAAAACGTCTAAAATTACAAATTAAAATTAACTATGAATCGTTATAAATTGCCTCTCATAATTTCGCATTTGCTAAATTCGTTAAAAGATTAAAATAACATTTCATAACTGATCAACTAGGCGAAGAATTTTACTGATTCATTATAACGTTATATTTCTCTCTCATGTAGGGCGCTTTAATATTTATTCTTTACTGCTTGGTTAACAGCGAGGTAAGAAGTATATCACTTTGTCTATATAAGAATCGTCTGTTCAGCGACATTCACAACGTCTTCGACGAATTTGTAACTATTAATACGGGATTATTCATGGTACGTATAATAGATAGTTATAATGCTATACAACCCTCGCATTCCACAAATTCATTATATAGGTGCGAAGCGAGCTTCGACGAAAGCTAACGATATGGCAGACTCGTCGTGAGTTCTCTTCATCATCGGGAGGCAGTCGCCGTACGTATCCATATTCGGTCTCTTCGAACACGACTTTAAATCGTGCTACGATTGCCGTACAGGCCACCCCAGACTTTTACCGGTGTCCGATGGTGGAAATTAAAGACGAAAAATCACAGGGGAAAGTAGAACGCAGGTACTCGTTTGAAGATGGTAGTACGACATCAGAGAAGGAATTGGTATTAGGTAAGCAGGAAAAGAATGGCGGCGAGGAAGGTTGAAAGCATTCCAGTGGTGGTGGGAAAGGAATCTTGCATGGGAACGAATAGTAGTTTTTAAATTTAATGGCAAGAGTATACGGAGATGTAGGAATATTACGAAATAACCGATAAGTGACAATAATGAAACAGAAACCTTACCGGTCAAAGAACTGGGGAAAGGCAGAGCATGCTATGTGCCTGACAGCCTGAGGTGCAACCAGCACTATAGCGCACTAATTTGCGTGACACAAGAAAACCGTGGTAAAAATAACCACTTGTAATGCAAATTAGTGCACTAAGCGCTGGATCCACACATGCTACGTGCATGCATGTCTGGAAAGATGTTTATCGGTCCGTACGTAGTTGTGAATTCAGGAGCGATTGTCGCAAAGTTAACCGGGTAGCGCTCCATTTCAATTGTAAAGACAGGTTCTAAAATTTCGGATTATTGGCGTATTTGTTCAAACGTGAGTAGAAAATATATGTCCAAATCGCTGAATCGCCGTCATCGTCAGGTCGGTTGTTTCCATACCAAAACAAATTTAGCTGCAGGGCCTATTTCTAGGACATGTCATTGGATAATGCTTTTCTATGATTTCAAAAAAACGAAGCTATGTTATTGGTTGAAACAGAAATGTATTGTAAAGTTCAGCCAATGAAAATCATTCTTCCGAGGAGCTGCGACACTACCCCTATTTTTTGTGGTGGGGAGAATAATCTGGTGAATATTTTCGTCTCAATCATAAACAAGTTCAAAGCATACTTGCGCATACGTAAGACTCGTCGTATACGTCGTATACGTAAGAAATCTACGTATACATGACATATTGGGGGCAAACTTTTATTTCTATTTTATTTATTCTATACTTTATATTTTTATTTTTGTCAACAACATGACCCCGGCACGGTGCGATGAAGAATTAACTTTTGATAACTGTGTCGACAACAATTGAAGGAGGAATTTTGTATCAGCTAAATCATTCTATTATCAGCTTTCAAATGTTGAAAGAATAACGGAAAATCGTTTAGAATATATTACGATTACGTCTTTGCAATACTCCTCATACTGCACTTTAAGCCCCGTTTACACTACACGCGATATTTGGTACGGCACGGATAAATGTTCCGGCCGTGCCACTTTTACAAGTACTTGGACTACCAAAATAGGTAGTCCAAGCACGGATAAAAATGATACGAATGCCAGTTTTATCCGCGCCGTAGCAAATATCACGCGTATTGTAACCGGGGCGTAAATCTCTTGTTGCAGTACAACCAACGACCAGGGGCCAGTTGTATGAAAACCGGATAGCACTATCCACCGGTCTAGTGATTTTCTAGAAATTCTGGAAAAGCGATAAAATACCAGTCTAGAAATGCCTGAAAAGCGATAAAATTTCAGCTTTGGAACGAAAAATTATTAAAGAGTATCTCCGATATAGGAATACTAAGATTTAATCAAAGTTATACCACAAAACGGCTTTCATTATTCGGCTTTCATTATCCGAGTTCGACTGATGTTGTATGAAGGGGATGCGTGAGATCGACTGATGTTGTATGAAGGGGATGCGTGAGTTCGACTGATGTTGTATGAAGGGGATGCGTGAGATCGACTGATGTTGTATGAAGGGGATGAGTTAGACTGACTGATGTTGTATGAAGGGGATGAGTGAGATCGACTGATATTGGTCAAAGGGGATGGATGAGACTGACTGATGTTGTATGAAGAGGATGAGTGAGATCGACTGATATTGGTCAAAGGGGATGGATGAGACTTACTGATGTTGTATGAAGGGAATGAGTGAGTTCGACTGATGTTGTATGAAGGGGATGAGTGAGATCGACTGATATTGGTCAAAGGGGATGAGTGAGACTGTCTGATATTGTATAAGGGGATGAGTGAGACTGACTGATGTTGTATAAAGGGGATGAATGATTGAGGCTAATCAAGGGGATGAATGAGAAAGACGGGTTGAAAATTGAATGATTAATCATCAACAAACATGCTCGGCCTCCTGCGGAGTCACAAGTCACAAAAAACTGTTAGAATTAGGAAAATTTGTGCTCATTTCATCTTATACTACAGAAAATTAACCACAATTACAAGAAATATCTGCGTGCCATTTTAACAAGGCTACCTGTTACCCAAACAGTTTTCTTTGCTTTAATATTCATCCAGGTTTTGGACCAGGAACTGGTCCCTAACCGCTGCTAATCTTGTTGTTGTTGTTGTTGTTGTTGTTGTTGTTGTTGTTGTTGTTGTTGTTTTGTTGTTGTTGTTGTTGTTGTTGTTGTTGTTGTTGTTGTTGTTGTTGTTGTTGTTGTTGTTGTTAGGGGGCGACGCTCTTTAAAAATACCCTAAGGCTTTAGCATTACTTGTTTGATCGGAATGAAACATGGCACAATTATTCTAAGCAGTATTCTGCATTGATTGACGGAGTTCGAATTTTTACTTTTGACCTTTGAAGCAAATTACCAGCAATTCTTGATATATTTGCAGCAAATAACATATACATATCATATAATATTCAGCCTATATATAAGTAAACGCAAACGATTAGAAATACATTGTCCTCTCCATTGTTATAAATACAATGCAGTTCAGAAATTAAACTCGGTTACGCAGTTCCTGGTCCACTATAGTAAAATCGTACTTGTTTGGGGGGTTGTTGAGATTGGGGAGAACTGAGACCGCCGTGCTACGTGCTCAGTTATCCCCCTAGACTGCACATGCGCACTTGTTACAAGGGGAGTACTCAGAACGGGGGAGGACTGAGATCGTGACACCGGCCTCAAATACGTAAACGAGGCTTGCATCGCTTTTCCTTTGGGCCGTATGCAATTCAAAATGTAATAATAAGCAGTTCCTACATGATTGTGCAAAAGAATGGTCTAGGAAAATGTTCTAGCTAGCCATAAAAACAAAAATACAAAAAATATAATTAAAGATATTGGCAGGAGAGATTCTGACCAAGGGCAAGTTGTTTAAAAGGCGTTTTAGTTTAGCTTCAGTTAGACGGTGGATAAACCAAAGATTAAAAATGCTCTCATACATCTTGTGAATGGTTGAACCTTTATCTTATACATCAAATACGCACTTCCACCGAAAATTAAACTATATAAGTCGAAATATTTCCTGTCAGTTGTTCAGGAACTGATTATTTTTCTTTCTCGAACTAATCCACCGTTTAAGCTAAACGTCTTTTGAACAACGGCCCCACTGCCCATGACTGCAGCCTTGCTTTCGCGTGACTCGCCACAGGCCTAGGCTCCCTACTGTTTTTCGCATAAATCAACAGAATTTAATGTTCCGTATAGTGTGATCATATAGGCCAAATCTTTCGGAAAAATAATTTGAAGATTTAAGTGCTTGCTTAAAGATTAAAGGGATCTGTTTGCGTGATCCCATTGTCAGGACATACTGCTGAAATTTAATGACAATGTCATAAGAGACTGCTTATATTGTGAAAAGACAAACAGTGTCATAAGACGCTTTTCATTATGTTAAGGCCCTGCTCAAACGAGTTGCTGCAAGTTAATTGGTAAACAAAGTTTGCATGAACTTACATGAGAATTTTTTGAAAACTCTAAATGCTCTGTTAAACGAGAACAAGTTGCATGTGAGTCTATTGGATTTTACCAAAAATGCTGGCATGACCAAAATCAACCGGGTGTAACCGCTTAGCTCAGCCTGTGAAGTTCGTCGTGATTCGCATGAAAATATGAAGGTGTCCTATATTTCCTATTGCAAAAGGACACAGCTGGCGCTAACAGTGGGATTAAAAGCTCTTAAGTCTTAACTATAATTCGTGTCTTTTCGATAGGCCTCATTTGTCGCTTTGTAAATAGTTCCACAATTCATAATACATATCACCATTGACGTTATTTTCCCTCTCTTCTCCTTCTCCCGCATTGATAAAAATCAAGTCGTTCGAAATTTGTCAACATCTTTCAAAAACTGTCAGGACAAACAAGCCAGGACTTTTGTCGATTCAGCGCAAGCGCGTTCTGCAACCTGCATCAACTTGCACATTGCAATTTATGATTTGAATATAAACATCTCGTAAACTTACATGACCATTGAGACTGGATTTCCACTTTATAGTTACAGATTTAAAGTTCAGTTGCGAAATACTTGCATGTGCATTGGTTCTGTTTTGAACTGTGAGCAGTCAAGTTGAACTAATTTATTTTTGCTGTTAAATTTAAAAGAATTAAAATATGCCGTTTGCTGCGCGACTTTTTCTATGCATGTGAGAATTCACTTTCAGGTTTTGCAGAAATTTTCCTACCTGAATTTACTAATCAGTGAATAAGCCGGTTGCGGTTTTAAAAATAATCCATTGGGATTCGTGATTAAAAGACATGGATTTAAAGTATGGTAATTTGCATTCTAAATAATCCTTGTTATTGGTTACCGGATGAAAGAGAAATCAGTCTTATTTTTCTTTGTTGAGAGGGTAAGACGCCAGTTGCAATGGCAGATGTATTATTAACATTCGTATTTGATTGTTGAGACCGGATCGAGTGAATTGAATGACGAGTAGTGTTTGCAAAGGACTAAAGGGTACTGAAGAGCCAGGGAAATCAAATTTCTTAATTGGTCAAACATGTCTGTGGATAAATGTGATATTGTCTCTGTATTGTTAATCATCAGTTTACTCCAAATTACTGTTAGTTTAACTGGCGCCAAAGGTAACCATAAAGGTATGTTATTAACGTAGATTGTTCAAACACAGAACACGGCTATTGTAAAGAATAAATTGGTAAATAATTGCGATATGACTGAGTAAAGTTGGCCTGTTGTCGCAAGGGAAAAAGCAATACCAGTTTAACTAAATGGTTTGTTATAATAATTATGATATATGTACAATTAAAATACCTTTCAATCAAGTTTTTAAGACATTAAGATAAGGTGGAGAAATTAAACCTTGGAAATTTTATCCCATCTATAGTTCCGGAATGAAGATTGAAGGATAAAGTCTTGTTTGTGTTCACTGGGGTTTATATTTAAGTAACTAAAATAACTAGTAACATAAGGGCTAAGGCAGAATGGCCCCTCGACAAAGTAAGATGTCTCGTTTTAAAAGATATATAATTTGATTTCGACAACGGATTATAATTAAAAGTGTGTTTCATGACTGGAAACGGTCAACGGTGATCTTGAAACTTTCAAGTCGAGCGGGTTGCGCTTTGCATATTTAATGTGGGAAACTTGGAGAAATAAAAAGTGCAAGCTATAGGATCACGAACGTCTATGCCAAAAAATAATCGCGCCAATATTCAAAGTTCGAGGGCAAAGTTCATTTGTGTCAGAGAGGTAAAATGAAAGTGGTAGTGACAAGCATGCAATCACCATATGTATTGAAATTGTTCTCAAAGAGTTTTCATTTTGTTTGAAAAATGTTATTATTGGCATTCCGAGGAATATTATTGAGCTTTATTGCCAAGTTTTCTATATATATGACAAGTTTTTATATGACAAGTTTTAATTGGCAATTGCATGTGTGTATGTACAACAAAATTTCTATGACCAAGTTTTTCTTTGACAAGTTTTATTTGCTCGTGTGAACGTGTCAACAAGTTTACTTTGACAATTTAGTTTGCAGCCATGCAGCGATGTAATCGTGCAGGTGTACAGCGGACAACGTGAGCGCGCCATTGCAAAATGCTATAGTCCGCTGGCCTGCCGCATGCAAGTGCTCACATTATGTGATAAGTTTGAAAAATTTGTACTTTGACATTTTTCTATGACAAATACACGTGTTGGGCGTACAGACGAACAATTAAAACTCTGTAGAGGCTTATATATAGTGCCGTATTGAGAAGGACCAGGATGAATACCCACCAACTGAAGCTTCGACAGATTGAAAGTTGCCATGTGGTTGCAGTAGAAATATGTCCTGGACTTAAAAAATCCTCATTTTAAAACAGTCGACGACAATATGGATTTTTTAATACACAGCGAGAGACTTCATGCTGAGCACTCGCAAAGTAATAGACATGCAATTACAAACGATAATATGACCGAAGCGATATTTGAAACCTTACCCACAATTCCCTAGCTCCGGACATAATTTATATAAACTGGCAATTCAATAAATTTAATAATTACCATTCTTTTGGGTACAGGAAATTGCAAACGTGGCCACCGCGTGAACAACGCGAATAAAGCTATGATCAACCCAGGACAAAAGAAATTGACAAGTTTTAGGGTCTCCTGTTCCACGCAATGTTAGTTAGCTGACCAACAGACAAAGATTTATCATACACCATATACCTAATATTTCTCTCTCCTGTAGGGCGCTTTAATATTTATTCTTTACTGTTTGGTTAATAACGAGGTAAGCATTTATATCACTTTGTCTCGGACCTTATTCATCAATATTCACCTCGCCTTCGGCAAATAGCTATAAGTACCGGGCTGTTTAGTACCACGTATAATTGCTGCACAGTGCATGGTACAGCTTAAACAACTCTGCCTTACCGTGTTAGGTGCGAAACGAGCTACAACAAAAGCTAGCGATATGGCAAACCCGTCGTGAGTTATCCTCATCCTCGGCGGGTGCTCGCCGTACGTATCCATATGTGGTATCTTCGGAAAAGAACACGACTTTCAATCGCACTACGACATCGGCACACGCCACCCCAGATCTCTACCGGTATCCGATGGGGGAAATTAAAGATGGAACATCTCAGGGAAAAGTAGAACGAAAGTACTCGTTTGAAGATAGGAATAAAAAAACAGACTTTGAACTAGAATTAGGTAAGGAGGAAAAGAATGGCGGCGAGAAAGGTAAACATTGAAAGAGACAGCAGCTTAAGCATTCCAGTGGGGGTGGGATAGGGACACGCATAGGAATGAATAATAAGCTTTAATTGCAATGACTTGAGGAGGGACCTATATAGGCATATTATACATGCAGTTAGTGGCAATGATGAGGCAAGCACCTTACCGGTCAAAGAGTTGGTCAAATTTGAAAAATGCTGCGTGCATGCATGCTCATAAAGGTGTCCGTCGGTTCCTAGTTGTGGGTTCTGTGGCGATTGATGCAAAACGGGCGTGAAGATGTGAAAGGTGAGAAGAAAATGGATGATGTTCAAATCGCTGATCGGTTGATACACTGGATATAGAAAGCATACCTCCAAAAATCGAGGCAAGAACTAATTCGGAGAGCGATTAATTCATTTTAGGATGAGTTCATTTTATTAATTCTGACTTCGTTTTAGGCCTATTTCAGACCTCGAACAAATTTTCATGTCCGCGCCAAATCGAATGCATGGGTTATAAACTTAAACAAAGACTTTAAAAGCTCATTAACATTAGGTTCGGCACATGAAAAGTCCGACGTCTGAAACGTTATTCCGACGGTCTTATCTGGTCGTATCATCAGATCACAAACAAATTTAGCCACGGAACCTATTTCTTGGACGGAGGGATAAAGTGTGAAACATTTTGCTTCAGTATCATCATGCACTAGTTCAATTGATTTTAAATCGCGCATGTACAAACAGCTTTTATTTTTCTACAACACCAGCATGGCAAGCCGAATTTACTTTTTATGTGATGAAGAGTTAATTCTTAATAACAATAAGGACAACTGTTAATGAAAGAGCAACGAATTTCAGTTGTGCCAGCTGCTTACAGCTATATAGTGTGGTCATTTATTTGTATTGGCTCAAATGATTTGTGTAAAAAACTATTTGAAAAAAGCACTATACATACGTAAATTGTAAAAATTAATGACAGATTTTAAATTCCCTTTTATAAAGCTTCGAGTTGTATGCCAATTTCATAGAGCAATCTCATAAGCATCTTACTAAAATTATATATAAAGGTTAACACTTAATAACTGTGTTTATCTATTAGTATCAAATAATTTTTAAATAATTTTAAAATTTATTTAGAGTACACGTCTATTTCTTAGAGGCTTAGACCACTATTACGTGCCGGTGCTTTAAGCTTACTTTCAGGAAAAACAAGAGATAAGAGTTTTTAAGTGAATTTAATATATTTCCGTTTATAATTATAGCTCTTTTTTGGCGAAGGATTGTCAGATTCATTTTTTCACAGATTCATGATTTTACGTTGTCGTCTAGAGATTAGAGATATTATCTGAAATATAGCACTTGAAAAATGCACCGAATTCAATAGAATTATGACGTCATTAATTGGCTCCACACAACTATCGAGCCAATCAAACCTCGTGTAACATCAGACTTTCTGCGTTTGACGTCATTATGAAAAAGGTCTATTGAATTCGGTGCATCTTCCAGATTCGTTCCTAAGTTCCGGACCGTTTTGCGCATGTATGTTCCTAAGTTTCAGACCGTTTTGCATAGGCCGGGCTTTAATATATCTCTCATGACGTTGTTTGTCTTTTTTTTGTAATATGTCCTAGATTATATGATCAATACATCAAAATTTTCCGACTACAATTTCGTCCCAGCAAGTATATAGAATCACATAAATAGACGTTTCAAACTTTAAATCACGCATATAAATCACTATTTATATAATATAACTTGTTACTAATTTCTAACAACTGTCGTGTAACTCTCGTGACAAACGAGCAAAAACTCTCGCCGACTTCTTTCAGCAATTGAGACAGTTCAACTTTGATGCGAGTTGACGCACGAATTGCAGGAACTCTGAGACGATCTGAGGGCGCAGAAGACAGATTTATTTTCGTGTGAAAGGACAGCGTTTGCCTGCCCCTGCTCGCTCGCCTGTTCCGGCATTTCTGGCGACTTGCACGCAATGTGCAGTGATTCGATCACTTCTGCAGTTAAAGCTCTCTTTACAAGTTGAAAATCCGCTTTAAGGTTTCAGGAAGAGTTTCATTCTGGGATTTCTAACTGAATAAGCTGGTAAAATTCCCAAGATTTTTACCGGCAATCATATTTTTTGAAATACGTGCTGCACATGGTAATTTGCATTCAAAATATTGTCTTGGTATTCATAACCGGATGAAGGACGGATTACGATTTTCCTGCCTCGAGTTATGGGAAGGAGTTGCTATGCATTTGTTATCAACATTCTTTCGTATGAGACCGAAAGCGAATTCAACTGGCGAGTAGTTTTTATTTAGGTATACATATAGAGGACTGAAGGAAAGAAGACCTTGAAGAATCCAATTAGTTCTCAATTATCTAAGCATGTGTCTGGATAAACGTGTTGTTGTCGCTGCCTTGTTTATCGTCGCTTCACTCCACATCACTGTCGATTTCACCAGTGCTAGAGTTTCGCGTAAAGGTATGTAATAAATTAAATGTAAAGAGTTCTCAAAATCGAAAACAGCAACGGCAAACGAAAACCGGTTTATTTGTGAATTATTGTAATATGAACGTTTATAATTATGATCCTAGTCGCATATGCATGCATGACCAATAGATATGACATAAAATTCCAATAAATTTATGTGATTTAACAATGCTTAAGATAAGCTGCACAGTTGTCCATAATTTTTCAAGCATTATTAGGATTCAGACAATAATTAATATAGCCATAAGAAGAAATAAATCTCATCTTATCAAGTTAACTACGTATAGCTACTAAATAAGAAAGTTTTTTAATTAATGCATATATTCAAAGTATAAAAGAATATCAACCCTCATGCCAGCAATATATACCGTTTGCATTTCGAAATGACGCTGTGTCAGTTGAAATGGTCACCTAGGCCTACATTTAGGTATATCAAACTTCTTTTTATAGCGTCAGTTATTGAATTTTAGGTAAGGTTGAGAAATTAAGCGATGGTAATTTTTTATTTATTGATAATATTGCGTGTTTTCGACAGGATGTCTATGTATAATAAGGTCTATTTGTATTATTGTCTATTTGGATAAAAATTAAGCGTGGGCAGAACGGCTTCTCGGAAAAGAAAGCTGTGTCATTTACGTCAGTGAATATTGAATTTGGGCCGGTGTTACAGCGGATAGTGTCCCCCCGCGGATAGTGTCCCATAATAATCCGCTAGCGGATAGTGTCCGGGGGGACACTTTCTGCGGGGGACACTATCCGCTAGGACACCAGTATCATTTTGATGATTGTCAAAGATATGGAAATGGGCCAATATTTATAATTCTTGGCGAAGTTAATGCTCACAGGGAATGTCAGGGATATATACAGGGTGAGTAAAAAAAACTGACACCTTTAAAAGTCAATTTAACCGCGAACTTATGGCTAGAATTTGACAATTCCCATGTGTACAATCAACAGGACGCGGTTTATTAATGCGAAAGTGTTTCAACCAATTGGCGACTTGGCGCGTGTGCTAGAAAGACAATTTGATAAAACTGTTCTTTTTTATTTACAGATCTTAGAATGCATTTTAACTCCCAAAGGGAACAAACTTTATGTTTTAGGTTAATTAATGATTCACTTATTTGATATGCTTCGTATACCTATGAAATATTTTAGGCAACTTCTGTCACATTACAGCCGCTAGGCGGTTAATTTGAATTTCAAAGGTGTCAGGTTTTTTTTACTCACCCTGTGGATTGAAACGCTGCTCAGCTTATCATGTGATATCATGACGTCATATGAGGTGCCTCACTAAAATTTAGTTATTGGCATGCGTCTGTAGTCATGTCTCCTCGTTCTTTCAACTAATGGTATATAAAGGGCGTAAAATTGAAATTCTAATTTACAGTTGAGAGAAAATCAAAAGTGTTTCCGCATAAAAACAACAAAATTATTTCCATTGCCGAAATCTTATCAAATTGAGGAAATGATAATTCAGTTTTGCTGCGGAACTGGTTTTTAATCAGTGGTTGATTTTTATAGTCAGATCATCTGAATATTGTCAAAAACACGCGCACGCGCTCGTGCAAGTCGGGCACGCGCGGCTGATCTCTGTAAAAATCCAAGGATTTTGCACCTTTTTAATTGCATTTTTCTTGTTGACGAATCAAAAAGTTGTGGTTAAAGTCAACCAGTCTAAAGATATACGATAATCTGGAAATTAATTGAAGCTTTTGTTGACAAAATTGTTGGATATCTGCTGTCTGTTAACGGAAAGTTTTGAAATTTTTCTGTTGGAACCGTTAACCGTTATATCGCAAGCATACGGCGCACGCGACAGCTACGTACGTCAGTGCAAGAACACTCAAATTAAAATTAGAACTTTATTTAGAAATTTGGAAGCTAATTAACTTTTATAATTGGAGTTTGGATTATTTCTAACGAGATAAAAGATGCTTAAAAGTCGTCAAACATTATTCACCAGATCAGCGTCATTATTCCTTGTGTTTCTCGCAGTATTTCTTTGGTTGTTAACAAGATCGAAACCTGTGTCTCTTACCTTCAGCGACAAAATATTTGAACTAAAACGTACAAGGGTTTTCGTAATTCCACCAATTCGGCAACATTTTAAAGTCAATATACATTCTGTTGGTACTTATGCCTCGCCAAGATTTAAATGGGTAAAACATGGTTATGTCAATTTCGCCACCGGATTATCATCCTATTATTGATATTACCATTTACATGGATGTCGCTTCAAATCCTGGCCCTGCGCCAAACTGCAACACTCAATCCATGACCAAGACAAAAGGAATGAAGGTACTGTACTTAAATGCACGAAGTCTGAAAGCGTTTGTATCACTTGATGGAGGTGCCACCAAAGTGTGCAAGGTTACTCTATTTCAACAACTGGTACATAGTGGTATATATGATGTGATTTGTGTATGTGAAACATGGCTTAATGATTCCATGATAGACAGCGAGGTGTTATCTGATTATTGTATCTTTCGGAAGGACAGATTAGATCGAGTTGGGGGAGGGGTCATGGTTGCTTCAAAACCAAACATACGAACAATTCGTCGCCACGATCTTGAAAAACAGGACGCTGAAGTTGAATTCGTCGTGATTGAACTAATTAAGCCAAATAGCAAGCCAGTATTACTTTATACTTTTTATCGTCCTCCTGATTCAACACTAGAACCTCTTCAACTTCTTAACACATCTCTTCAGAGTATCAGTGAATCAAGTTGCTGCATTGTCGTCGGTGATTTTAATCTCCCAAATATAGACTGGTCATATGATAATGCATCGCCAATTGACAATGGAGGCCAAAGATTTGGTGACATCTTTTGTAATCTTGTTGGTGATAATTTTCTATACCAGTTCATAGACGGCCCTACACACAAAGCAGGGAACAAACTAGATCTAGTTCTATGTAACTATCCTGATGTTATCGATGATGTAAATGTTAGAAGTCCAAAAGAATGTGATTTCCCAACAGATCACTTCATAATCGATTTTACCATCAACCTGGACTTTCAAAGGATTAAGCCTGTAAGACGTAAGATGTATGACACGAAGAAAGCTGATTTTGAAGGTCTAAACATAAGTCTCGGTGAAATGCGTCTGGAAGTTAACGTTGAAAGCACTGGTGATATTGATCAACTGTGGTCCTCCTGGAAAGATGAATTCTTTGCAGCTGTAAAGGATCATATTCCAATTAGAACAGTAAAAGATACAAATTCCCCTCCCTGGATTGACAACGAAGTTCGCAACTTTATTCGCAAGAAATACTTGGCGTTGAAAAGGTACCGTCAAAACAAGTCTGAAACAAGAAAACAAAAGTTGAGAAAATTCAGTAAGATCGTCAAGTCGATCGTAAAAATAAAACACAAAGAATATCTATCTAAAATAGAGAAGTCTTTCTCAACAAATCCAAAAGTTTTCTGGACTTACCATAAATCAATATTACATCATCGATCGAAACAGAGCACCAATATCACGTACAATGGCATTACAGCAAAATCACCGGCTCAGAAAGCTGATCTTCTTAATCAATACTTTACTTCCGTTTTTACAAAACCCAACATTGATATTAATGCTGATAAGGATGAATATGACGAAATCACAAATATTACGAACATTGGTGAAATGCAAGTGACTGTGGAGGAAGTTGAGTACTACCTCAGAAATTTAGATGTGACAAAAGCCTGCGGCCCGGACGGAATACCAGCACGAATTCTTAAAGAATGTAGTCGTAGTATTGCACCAAGTCTTTGTGAATTGTTTAATTTATCTTTACGTGTTGGACGACTGCCCATTGAGTGGAAAGCAGCTAACTTGACACCAGTTCACAAGAAAGGCTTGAAAGAACCAGCAGAAAATTACCGGCCAATATCCCTTTTACCAATTATCGCTAAAGTACTGGAACGTTTTGTATGCCAACAACTTTACGGACATGTAATCACCCATATTTCCCTCATTCAACACGGATTCCTACGCAACCGATCATGTATAACACAAATGCTACAGGTTTTGCACAAGATTGGAGAAAATCTTGATAAGAACATACAAACTGACATAATTTATTTAGATTTTGCAAAAGCCTTTGACTCAGTTGACCATGGTATAATTTTGGCAAAACTCATGCAATATGGTGTCTGTGGACGTATTCTTGAATGGTTCAAAGACTATTTAACTGACAGGACACAAAGAGTCGTCATTGATGGTGTTGCCTCAAGTTGGTCTTCTGTTACATCAGGCGTGCCTCAAGAAAGCATACTCGGCCCTCTGTTGTTCGTCGTATTTATAAACGATTTGCCGAATATTATTCCCGAAAACTCAGACGCTGCCTTGTATGCCGACGACGCGAAGACTTTTCAAAAAATAACATCAGAGGCCGATGCTCAACATCTACAACTAATATTAACAAACCTAATCACCTGGAGCAATACCAATAACATCAAATTCAACGAATCTAAATGCAAAGTGTTGACTGTGTCCCGCAAAAAGAAACCCATTACCTTTGCTTACCACCTTGGCTCAACCAATCTCCATCACGTCCAAGAAGAAAAAGATCTTGGGGTAATAATGACTGGAAATCTGTCATGGAATTCCCATGTTCACACCATAACATCAAAAGCCAACAAGCTGTTGGGCTTACTTCGAAGAACATGCCCCCTCTTAACTAATGTCCGAGTTCGTCGCACCCTGTATCTGTCTCTCGTTAAATCACAGCTATGTTATGCCAGCGAGGTTTGGTCACCACACATCCATGCCCAAAAGATCAAGCTCGAACAAGTACAGAGGCGAGCGACCAGATGGATATTGAGGCAACGTAAAGGGGATTCCAGCTACAGTGAACGTTTAGCAAAGCTGAAATTATTGCCATTGTGTTATGACCGAGAGATGAGAGATCTGATTTTTTTCTACAAAGCCCTATATGGTATCACTGACCTTGATGTTCACAATTATGTTTCCTTTGTTCCCCACAACCGAACCCGTCACAGCAACAATCCAAACCTCACTCTCAGGACTCCCTGCTGTAATACATCCACCTACCAGGCTTCATACTTCTATCGAATTGTGAAACTGTGGAACAGTGTTTGCCGTTCATCTACTCCAGATACATTCTCTTGTTTAAGGACATTTAAAAACTATCTTTATGATCATTACTCTAAGTTAACATGTTCCGTTTTTGATGTTAATTTGTTATGTACCTGGTCTATGTCACGTGAATGTCCATGTCATAAAAATTAACTGTATTACGTTTTGTATGTGTATTGTGATTTATTGTTTTGTATTTTGTTAAACTTGTTCTGTTGTTTGTATGAATATTCTCACTCTGTTATCATGTATATTTTCGGAGAGGTGCCTCGCATGGGTAGTTTTTTTATTATAAACATCTCGTTCGCACCTCGTCCATTTGGGATGATTTTTTTTTTTGTTCGTTTTGTTTTAATATTGTAATTGATGTTGTTAAATTTGTATTCATACCCAATAAATAATTAATTAAATAATATTAAAACTATATAACATTAGCTTCTTTCCAATGTCGTGGAGCGACAAGGAATGATCATGGACAGTAAGAAAATACGCCTCATAAATAAGCGTTTCTTTCATTCTATTAAAATTGTTAATTAAGAGAGCCACGTTTCACAAGACAATGTCATTATGAATGTATACATTGACTATATAAGGTAGTATTATTATTCCTCTTCAAAAAAGGGAAACATAATTGATTGCATGCATGCGACGAAGTAAATTAAACGTAGCATGCGCATGCGGTATCGTACGGTGTTCGTGAAATGTATAAGTGTCAGCAATCGTCCAGGTTATAGTATACCACCTGAATAGTTACTATTTTGCGCGAAGCCAAAAATTTAACAGGCCCAAATAAGTGAACTTAATCGTTTTCTTTTTTTTTAAAAACAGGAAACAACAATGGCGATGTCTGCGTAAAACACAAAAGATTCAACAACGCGAAAAAAGATATAATAAACTCAAGGAAAGAAGTATTGCGAGATTTTATTATCTTCTGTTCCAAACAAACATTTTTTGAAGTTCGATACACAAATGGATCACTATGTGCATGTGGGCAAACCAGCTCTAAAACACTTATGAGCAGGTTACACTGCAGGGAAAATTTGCTTTCCAATTTTACCGTCTACATATCTGTCAAAGAACGTCTCGTTGAAAGTAGAACCTGCCATTTCTTATTTTTCTTAAATCATCCTGGTCACAAAGAAGAGCTAATCAAAATAGTTCTAAAAAACAGTTTCTATGAGCCAAGTTCTTTGTCTGGAATGTCTGCTCGTTCCTCCGCTATGCATTTGGATGTATCAAAAAGTATTCTTACTACGTCTGTATTTGGTCAGATGCGTAGTAGATCATCAGATATAAGTAATCAATTCACAACTGGGAAATTGTCGGCGATTTCAAGGCAAATAAGGTAGGTAAAACGTATTCATTGTACTGATGGAGTGAAGCTTGGTACAAGATATAGCAGCATAGAATAAACTTTGCATGCACCCTATTAAAATCCGAACAACAACTATGTCGTTTTCTTAATCACATGCATGATGATTGATTACGATATATAACCACGGTCCGGAATCCTATATTTTATGCTCGAGCGAAAGCGTATTTGTTTTGTTTTTCTAAAGATTTATTGCAAACTTTTCACTTTTTTATTTTAAAATATATGGATTAAATGATTATCACGATAAATTGAAGTGAATTTTAGTAAATTAAATAAATGAGGTTTTGTTTAGCGTTTTGGTCGGTCCGGATAGAAAAAGAATATGTATATTGTTAACTTTCAAACCATGCGCAATAAAAAAGGTAGAAGAACTACGGACGTCTTCAACAAAACACCAGGTCTTGGGCCCTTGATTTTTACATTAAGGTATATACACTGGCGGTCAAAAAGAACTGCTCAAATGTTGCTATTGTCGTATGTAACAGGAATCGTAACAATCAATCTTTTATTGTACACTAGCAGTCAAAAAGAACTGTTTAGATACAAATTCATAAAAAAGAAGCGAATATAGGAGAGAGCTTCATAGGCATTTTAGATAATTCTCCTATTTCAAGCGATATTTCAATAATGTAATGCAACCTGCCACACTTCCAAGATATAGTCAAACAATGGTTTCAGGAAGAGGTAGTGACAGAAATAGATTGGCCTGCACAGTCAAAAGACCTTAACCCTTTTGAAAATCTGTGGGACCATGTCAAAGGGATAGTGCAAGAAAGGAATTCATTCATAAAGCGTCCATGCATGATTTATGCGTTGCTGTAAAGACTGTCCATAGGATGAATTTCTTTTGACCGTTAGATTACCACCTTAACAGAAAGTATGCCACGCCGGTGTAAGGCCGTTATCAATATAAGGCCAAAGGAGGGCCAACAAAATATTAATATTTCATATAGCTTAGCATGTAATCTAGTCTATATTTACTCGTATATATTGTTAGAGGGACAGTTACGTTCATTTGAGAGCATTTTAACTTGTTTTGCTGTAAAGACTGTCCATAGGATGAATTTCTTTTGACCGCCAGTGTACATGGAACGTTATGGTATACATATGACTGGAATTAATGCATGCATGCAGCAACCACTCGCCATTTCAAACCAATTAAAAAGACAATTCTGGCCTGCACAAGCTTGCTGGCCAGACCTGTTTAAAAAATGAGGTCATGGATATTTCTACATCCTTGCAGCAAATACAGACTCGGTCTCCCGCTGGCTATATCATATATGACTCGATCTCGTGTAGATGGTATATAATTGCAAAATATCTCCTTAAACTTATAATCACCTAAATAGCTAATAGTTTGTTATTGCACTTTAAAGTTATGATACATAAACTGAGCAAGACATATATGTCTCAAGAACGTCGCTAATTAGCTTTTTAAGCGTATAATGGTTTATTATTTTTGCAAACGTGGCATATGTAAACTTCGAGAAGTTAGAAGGTTGATTAACACAAATTCATGCACATACTAAAATATGCAGGACTGAAACTAAGTTCTTTCAATTTATTCACTTAAGTTTTTTTAAATATGACATTTGTCGGTAAAATGTAGGCTTTCACGTGCGTGTACGTGTGTAAATGGAAAGCATGTAGTCTTAAATCACTTTAATATTTATGAAACTTGTTCAAATTCAATTTTTCCAATTTTAGGTCCACCGTGGCGAAACAAAAATTTTCGCAAAGTTTGGTCGCATCCAACACTGGAATAGTATTTACTTCTACTACTTCAAAGGAAAATAGCCCCATTCAAAGCATGTCGTCTAGCTTTTTGATACAAGCTACGCCAAGTATATCTAGCGTACTTTCTACCAGGGCGAGACAAAAATTCTCGCGAAGTTTGGTCGCATCCAACACCGGAATAGTATTTACTTCTACTACTTCAAAGGAAAATAGCCCCATTCAAAGCATGTCGTCTAGCTTTTTGGTACGAGCTACGCCAAGTATATCTAGCGTACTTTCTACCAGGGCGAAACAAAAATTCTCGCAAAGTTTGGTCGCATCCAACACTGGAATAGTATTTACTTCTGCTATTTCAATGGAAGATTCCCCAATTCAAAGCACTTCGTCCAGCTTTTTGATACAAGCTACGCCAAGTACATCATCTAGCCCACTTTCCACCATTATATTGCCTTCTGATGAAGAAAAAAAGGAAAAACTGAAAGAAGGTAGGGCTCTACTTCAATACATATTTGAGAATAATTTTTTTGTACTATTGCATGTGATATGATAATACGCCACGAGTGACCAACCGGGGAAGCTGAAAAATTAGTTTGACTGAAGTGGAGATCGAACCCCCATTTCCACCTTGGTCAAAGAATACGTATTATAAGAAGTGTATATAACTAGAGATTATTTCTGTATCCTCAAATTTCCCCCAAATGTACACGTCTTGCACACGCCACTGGAAACATGGTCGCAGTGAATTTTTCACTATTTCTACCGTTTTGTAGTAATTTGTTGGGTTTTAATTGGTATAAATTAATAAACTTATTTTTAAATTAATTTTTAAATAATTTTTAATTAATATCTCTGCAAATGCCAAAAAAATAGTGAAATTGGTCACAGGAACGAGAGCATAAAAACAATGCATGACGTAATGACAAATGACGAATATATCACATCACGCAAACACTTGCTAGCAAGATGGCTTCTGTGGGACACTTTTATATACCACTGAGATGGACATCTGTCTATCTTTTATCTATGCCGTGGTCAAGCTAATTTCAATTTCAGTTTGCTTAGTTCGTCACTCAGGGTAGGCTAACACTATCACAATGTTAATTTTTACACGAGTCACACACACGATCGTTGGGGAGTTTAAGCCAAAGTTAATGTTTTATACATTCAAACTCAAGAGATTTTATCCGAGATTCTAACTATATAGTATATGTGCATGGAGACAATCCGAGTTTTTTTTCTATGCATAGATATCAAGTTCGTCAACAACTTTAATGCGTCCAATGTGAATATCAATGACAAAAAGACAATTGAGGTAAAAAAATGATACTCTATACTGTTATTACTCCGCCATTCCTGTATACAGATAGTTTTACTTTCTCTAAACAAAGGTCGCGTCTAAATGTACCCGCGGCGTTTTCGCTAACTGAAAACGGAAGTGGATACTAAAACACAACTTACGTGGATATAGCTATACGCGTGGGCGACTTTCTGGATGAATTGAGAAACAATGAGAAAATGGTATATACGCAGCACGTGCCTACGACCGACGACGATCATTTTTTTTTCGTTCCTTCCAAGCAAGCTATCCGTTTAAACCGAAAACGTCTGGCCATAACTCGACGTTTTTGACAAGACCTGTGTTACTTAATTTACTCCTCAGCAAGTGATGCATGTATAGTGATTGAAGGTCTACCCACAGGACCCTCGGGTAGTCGGGTTTTATAATAACTAAGTATTCTAGGTATTTTATTGATGTTTTATAACGGTCCCGTAAGAATTATTTATTCTTTTTTTACTCAGCGAGTGTTGGATGCTGCTGCGAATTTGATAAACACAAACCTAACAGCTGAGAATCAAAACGAGGTAAATATACTTGAACATTTGTGGAAAAATAAAAGAAATAGGATGCCTGAAAGATCACAATTATAACATTCCATACTTATAAATGAAATTAGGTATGTAATATTAATAAAATTTTTGTAGCAAACTTGATGACAATTATTAAAAGCCGGTATATGAGTTCATGTTACCCGAACTGAATGATTCCCACAATGCACTTTATAGGACCCAGGAATGCAAGCAGTTGAAGTGTTGGAAGATCTTGGAAATTCTATTTCTCAACAACTTGCTCTGCCCGAAAATGAGAGTTCTGTGATTTTTCAGGAAGTAACAGACGATCTTGGTAAGAAAATTTAATTTGCGTTCATATTCGCGATGGCATTCGGCCCAGAGGAAACATGCAATATCATAGTGTAGGCGAGTTTTTGGATTTTAATATTTAATTAAAATATGTTTTATAAAAAAATTTAATAGTTTCGAAATTATTTTTAGTGTTCGGTGTGGCTGTAGTAAATGCAACGACAACGCCAGGATTTTCATTTCCTACCGATGAAAGTAGAACAACCGGAGATGAAAAGATCAATATCCCAAGCTCTGTTTTCGTTTCAGATTCAGGTAATGAAAAACTGTTGCTAGAACCTCTTTGAAGAAAGTCTTTGCTTAATGAGAGAAAAAACAGTGATGGCAAACCTTATGAGCCATAACGAGATGAATATAGCTCGTATATATAGCTGATATTATAACTAACATGTAACCATAGTATACCTAACACCCGATGCGCCTGCTTTATTGTTTGGTTCACAGTAATGAAATATTATGAAACTATTACCCATGCATGCATAAAGCATGAATTAATGCAGAACGACCTTCGTAGCTGTAGGTTAATATTCGTCTATATAAGCCTATAAATTATTATGAAACATCATGCAGTACAACCTGCCAAATTTGCCAAAGCCACCTGGTCCGTTAATTTTGTCGTAATGTATAGTATTGTTGAAAGTAACACACGCGATTTCAGCAGAGCAACAGCAACAGGCAATTTTACCGAACTTCATATGAGAGGAAATGACATGATTTTTTCCTTATTCTTAGGCAAAGCATATTTTGTTGGCATTATCTTCAAGCCGTATCGCGAAATGAGAAACAAAACGGGGAATTTCAGGATGGGAACTAAAGTTATAAATGCAGTTGTTTCGCCTCCACCACGCAAAACACTCGCTGACCCTGTTGAAATGACATTTAAGAAAAACATTGTGAGTCATTATTTTGAATGGAAATTATACTTTAAATCAATTAACAGTTTAGAAAAATAAGCTGACATACGCGTGACATAGCTATTAGCCATGCATGCAACCCTCCCGAGCTTGAAATTATTGATCGACAACAATTTCCAATCTTTTTTATTTAATGCAGTTTTACTATATAATTTCATTTCACATCTATATTTTGAAAGATTGGTGAAACGATTGCTTCCGATTGTTCATTTTGGATAGAAAACGCCACGTAAGTTCACATGCAATAACTGTCCAATTGCCGAAAAATAGAATAAGCTGTAACTAAATTCGACAGAATATTTAGCAAGCAAACTTTTTTTTTGCAATCAAAATAGATTTATACTTACTACAGAAGGGGACGAACGTTTACAGTTACTGTATAGATAATAACTGTATCAATATTCCTACATTCATTCATGGTGATCGAACATCTCCATATAGACGAACAGAGTACATTTTTGAAGTTATAAATGAATTTGAAATTAGGATTATAAAGTTATTATTAAATTTAAAGTTATAAATTAATAAAGAAATTCACATTATGTTTTCCAGGCATTTAGGCGAACATGGTAGATGGTCGACGAAACAATGTGAAAAAACATTTGAAAATCGCAGCCATGTTCAATGTCAATGCTATCATTTCACTAACTTTGCTGTCTTATTCAAAGTCTCGGATAATCAGGTATCACATTCTTTTATTTTTCATGCCAAGAAGTTTTTTTTTGCATTGAGTCTCTGGTGTTTTGAGAGGTCTCTTGCATTTTGGGGGTGCTAAACTCTATCATGTTCACCTCAATTTCAAGAATCTTATTTAGGAGAAAAGCTGTTCCGAGTTTAATTGCTAGAAAGAAATACAACGCAACCACAAATACGTTGCATGCACATGTCCCCGACAAGATATACTTATAAACATTCTCACTGAATAAAATACAACAGATCTTTGTTCTCTATAAAGGATGTGTCAGATGAGGACTCGTTCCGTCTGGTTATCATAACTTATGTTGGGTTGAGTCTATCTATTTTGGGATGTTTTCTGACTTTCGTCATTTATGTCACTTTATCGTAAGTACATACAGAGGAATAATAAATTTTAGGGCCGGTTGTATAAAAAGGTACTTAATTTACCTATAGTCAGTGTGGCAGAATTGGCCAATCAGAATAACGTGTTTTCCAGTTAACTACGATTTAACTGTAGTTAAGAGTTTTATACAACCTCTGGTTGACATTTTAAGTAATTGGAAACATTGTTAAACGAAGTTTTTTAGAGGCTGTAAACTGCTTACAAATTTTAGAAACATCAAAACAGACAGAGCAGTAATCCACACAAATTTGGTACTGGCACTTGGAGTTGCTGACGTGATATTTTTGGTTACCGTGGTGGTCAAACCTGTTGGAGTAAGAATACTTCTTCGCTGTTGTACTTTCACGACTGTGTGACATTTATTAAGATTGTTACATTTTCCTTTACATTTTCCAGGATTCATGTTTAACTCTGGCGATGTTGGCCTTTTTCTTTTATCTTGCTGTGTTTTTCTGGATGTTGAACGAAGGTGTTTATATTTATTTCATGGTTATAAAAGTTTTTCGTGGTAATGATGCTATGAGACGGCGGATGGCTTACCTTGTGGGATGGGGTAAGTATTTTTAAAACTAGAAGTCAAGACAAGATACTTAAACAAGGATGCTTTGTCTTTTGTTTTTCTTTGTTCTAACAAACCGTTTCGTTCAAAATACGTACAGAAAGTAACGAATATACATTTGTCGATTAGTTAATTAATTAATTATTAAGACATTAGTTAATTGGACGTTTTCCCAGCTATGCCACCAGAATATATATATATATATATTAATATATATTATATATAATATATATAATATATATATTTAAATATGTATATATATATATATATATATATATATATATATATATATATATATATATATATATATATATATATATATATATATATATATATATATATGGGCGGTGAAATGAAATCTATATGTTTATATATGATTTAATTTATTAAAATGTGTCTTATAGGATGTCCAGCGATTATCGCGACTGTCACCTGGGTTGTTTTAAGAGATGATGTCGTGTCAAAATACCAGTAAGCATTTAAGTTTCTTAATTCAGTGCTAAATAATGAGCAAGTTATTATGTATATATAATAAAACTAGTAAAACTAATATAGCCGGGGAGCAGCGTGGCAGCTAGCGTCTTCAAATAAAAAAACCCCAGATAAAGATCAGTATGACAAATTTAATCCTATAATGCAGTGTTTAATCGAATCCAGGAACACAACTAAATTATGTAGACTACTAAAAAAATCTTAGCATCAAATGTGATATAACAACTGCTTAAAATACCACTTCTCGACCTGGGGATCTTCGACAGGAGAGTTAGTACCCTCAAGTCTTTCTTCAGGTCGAAACGTCGAGAAGTGCTTTTGTGTATTTTAGGTATATAGTTAATTCTTATACCACATGTGATGCTAATAAAGCTAATGTATTCATTTACTGTAGTTGCTGGTTATCGGTTGAATCCGGAGCAATATGGGCATTTGTGGGTCCCGGATTGTTGATTATTTTGGTAAGAATCTTGGTTTTTTTTCCTTCATTCCTGTTTTTAGCCTAGCTCATTTCATCGCGCGTCCATCTGATTGCCCTAATTATTTTGTTTTATCAAATTTTTCTTTTTTTTCCTTCTGAATGAGGGTTAATCTTTTTCTATTTTCTTCATTGGCTATTCATCGATCTCGTTTAGCCAATTCGGTGCTGTTGTGTTAGTTTTTTTTTTCATTTTTCCAGGTAAATTTTATTATTCTGATGGTTGTCATGAGAACAACATGGGCAATGTTTGTTGGCGACAAAGAATATAGTGGCTTGAAGTAAGATATTTAATTGATAATAATTTTCTCCTGCATATGCAAAGAATTATTTCAACTTATATTATAACTTGGTCGTGAGCCTATATGATTCATACTAATTATATTAACCGAATGTAACACCGTCCTAAAAAAATATATATCCGATTAAAGTCTTGATAGTACGCGTACATGAACTAGGGGATATTTCGTTTTAGACCAATCAGAAGGTTTGTTTTCATTATCAGTAACGCAATGAGCATGCATAAATTTTTACTACTTCTGGTAAAAAGGTAGATTATTACTTTTTTACAAGAAGTAATAAAAATTATGGCGATTTATGAAATTCCCACTCGTCGTGTACATGCATGTCAATTTTTTTTTTTCGTACAGTTGGATGAACAATTCACTTAAAACAGGTGTATACCTATATGCCAGACAAGATTTATTTATATATTGACTATCAATTATTGTCATTACATGCATAAGTAGCTTTTAAACTGATTTTAACGAAGTTTGCATGAAGATAAATTAAGGAAATGAAAATATTTGTATAGGTTATATAGCGCATTTAAGTTGTACGTGATTGGGATATTAAAAGATTTCTGCGAGGTAAATTTGATCTTATTTACAAAATTTAGGTCGGCAACGAAGACATTTGGCGCAGTCGTTCCTATTTTAGGGATAACCTGGGTTTTTGGTGTAATGGCATTCAATGAATCTTCTATTGTATTTCAGTATATATTCGCTATCACCAATTCCATACAGGTATGAACGTTAGTTGTGTGCATACAAAAATATATATAAGCACTAGCTAGTCATATAGTTTTGTAATGTCTCCTTTTATTTCGTTTCATTTAACATTTCACGAGGCAATTTCTGCTAAAACTTTTCCTTGAAAACGTCTGAAATTACAAATTAAAATTAACTATGAATCGTTATGAATTGCCTCTCATAATTTCGCATTTGCTAAATTCGTTAAAGATTAAAATAACATTTAATAACTGATCAAATAGGCGAAGAATTTTACTGATTCATTATAACGTTATATTTCTCTCTCATGTAGGGCGCTTTAATATTTATTCTTTACTGCTTGGTTAACAGCGAGGTAAGAAATATATCACTTTGCCTATATAAAGGCCCACACAGACAGGACGCAAATTGGCAACGCGGCGCGAATTTTCAACGTTTTATATTTTTCAAAAGCAAATAAATTTTAACTTATCAAAATTTTCTTGTAGATTGCATTAAAATAATAAATTTTGATTGGTCTAACGTCCATAGATTCCAAATTTTGATCACAGAATTAAATTTATATGCTTCTGAAAACTGAAAATTCGCGCCCCGTTGCCGCTTCGCATCCGGTCTGTGTCGGCCTTAAGAATCGTCTATTCAGCGACATTCACAACGTCTTCGACGAATTTGTAACTATTAATACGGGATTATTCATGGTACGTATAATAGATAGCTATCATGCTATACAACCCTCGCATTCCACACATTCATTATAGGTGCGAAGCGAGCTTCGACGAAAGCTAACGATATGGCAGACTCGTCGTGAGTTCTCTTCATCTTCGGGAGGCAGCCGCCGTACGTATCCATATTCGGTCTCTTCGAACACGACTTTAAATCGTGCTACGATTGCCGTACAGGCCACCCCAGACTTTTACCGGTGTCCGATGGTGGAAATTAAAGACGAAAAATCGCAGGGGGAAGTAGAACGCAGGTACTCGTTTGAAGATGGTAGTACGACATCAGAGAAGGAATTGGTATTAGGTAAGCAGGAAAAGAACGGCGGCGAGGAAGGTTGAAAGCATTCCAGTGGTGGTAGGAAAGGAAACTTGCATGCATGGGAACGAATAGTAGTTTTTAAATTTAATGGCAAGAGTATACGGAGATGTAGGAATATTACGAAATAACCGATAAGTGACAATGATGAAGCAGAAACCTTACTGGTCGAAGAACTGGGGAAAGGCGAAGCATATGCTATGTGCCAGAGATGTATCCACCACTATAGCGCACTAATTTGCATGACAAAAAAAAACTGGTAAAAATAACCATGCGCGCACTTGTAATGCAAATTAGTGCACCAGCGCTGGATCCAAACATGCTACGTGCATGTGTGGAAGAATATTTATCGGTCCGTATATAGTTGTGAATTCTGGGGCGATTGTTGCAAAGTTAGCCGGATAGCGCTCCGTTTCACTTGTAAAGACAGGTTAATCTAAAATTTCAGATTATTGGCGTATTTGTTCAAACGTGAATAGAAAATACATGTCCAAATTACTGAATCGCCGTCATCGCCAGGTCGTGTTTCCTTACCAAAACAAATTTGACCGCAGGGCTTATTTCTTGTGAAGAGGAGAATAATTTAGTGAATATCATAGTCTCAATCATAAACAAGTTCAATGCATACTCGCGCATACGTAAAACTCGAAAAAAATCTAACGACATAACATATTTAGGGCAAACTTTTATTTCGCAAATTTTTGTCAACAACATGACCTCGACACGGTGCGATGAAGAATTAACTTTTGGTAACTGTGTCGACAATAATTGAAGGAGGAATTTTGTATCAGCTAAATCATTCTATTATCAGTTTTCAATTGTTGAAAGAATAACGGAAAATCGTTTAGAATATACTACGACTACGTCCTTGCAATACTCCTCATACTGCACTTTAAGCCCCGTTTTCACTACACACGATATTTGGTAGGGCACGGATAAAAGTTCCGACCGTGCCACTTTTACAAGTACTTGGACTACCAAAATAGGTAGTCCAAGCACGGATAAAAATGGTACGGGTGCCAGTTTTATCCGTGCCGTACCAAATATCGCCCGTAGTGTAAACAGGGCTTAAATCCCTTGTTGCAGTACAACCAACGACCAGGGGCCAGTTGTATGAAAGCCAGATAGCGCTAGCAACCGGATAGTGATTTTTTCAAACGTTCTAGATATGCTTGAAAAGCGATAAAGTTTCAGCTTTGGATTTAATCAAAGTTATATACCACAAAACGGCTTTAATTAGCGTAAACGAGGCGTAAACGAGGCTTGCATCACTTTTCCTTTAGGCCGTATGCAATTCAAAATGTAATAATAAGCAGTTCCTACATGATTGTGCAAAAGAATGGTCTAGGAAAATGTTCTAGCTAGCCATAAAAACAAAAACACAAAAAATATATTTAAAGATATTGGCATGCAGGAGAGATTCTGACCAGGGGCCAGTTGTTCGAAAGGCGTTTTAGTTTAGCTTCAGTTAGACGGTGGATAAACCAAAGATTAAAAATGCTCTCAAACATGCATCTTGTGAATGATTGTACCTTTATCTTATACATTAAATACGTACTTCCACCGAAAATTAAACCATATAAATCGAAATATTTCAGTTCAGTTGTTCAACAACTGATTTTGTTTTCTTTCTCGAACTAATCCGCCGTTTAAGCTAAACGCCTTTTGAACAACGGCCCCACTGCCATGCAGCCTTGCTTTCGCGTGGCCACAGGCTTAAGGCGGATTCCCACTTACAGCGAAATTGTTCGCTAGCGAAATATTTTCATGTTTTCTTTTGAATTGAGAACAGTCAAGTCGAACTAATTTATTTATGCTGTTAAACTTCAAAAGAAAACATGCAAACATTTCGCTGGCGAACGATTTCGCTGTAAGTGGAAATCCGCCTTTAGGCTCCCTACTGTTTTTCGCATAAATCAACAGAATTTAATGTTTCGTATAGTGTGATCATATAGGTCAAATCTTTCGGAAAAATAATTTGAAGATTTAAGTGCGTGCATGCTTAAAGATTAAAGGGATCTGTTCGCGTGATCCCATTGTCAGGACATACTGCTGAAATTTAATGACAATGTCATAAGAGACTGCTTATATTGTGAAAGGACAAACAGTGTCATAAGACGCTTTTTATTATGTTAAAGCCCTGCTCAAACGAGTTGCTGCAAGTTAATCGGTAAACAAAGTTTGCATGAACTTACATGAGAATTTTTTGAAAACTCCAAATGCTCTGTTAAACGAGAACAAGTTGCATGTGAGTCTATTGGATTTGACCAAAAATGCCGGCATGACCAAAATCAACCTGGTGTAACCGCTTAGCTGAGCCTGTGAAGTTCGTCGTGATTCGCATTAAAATATGAAGGTGTCCTATATTTCCTATTGCAAAAGGACACAGCTGGCGCTAACAGTGGGATTAAAAGCCCTTAACTATAATTCGTGTCTTTTCGATAGGCCTCATTTGTCGCTTTGTAAATAGTTCCACAATTCATAATACATATCACCATTGACGTTATTTTCCCTCTCTTCTCCTTTTCCCGCACCGATAAAAATCAAGTCATTCGAAATTTGTCAACGTCTTTTAAAACTGTCAAGACAAACTCTATTAAAACTGTCAAGACAAACAAGCCAAGACTTTCGTCGACTCAGCGCAAGCGCGTTCTGCAACCTCCATCAACTTGCGCCTTGCAATTGAATGTAAACATTTCGTATAAACTTACATGACCATTGGGACTGGGTTTCCACTTTAAGGTCGACACAGACCGGACGCGAATTGGCAACGCGGCGCGAATTTTCAACGTTTTTAATTTTTCAAAATCAAATAAATTTTAAACTATCATAATATTCTTGTAGATTACATAACAATAAAACATTTTGACTGCTCTAGCGTCCATAATTTCCAAATTTTACTTCCAGAATTTAATTTATATGCTTCTGAAAACTGAAAATTCGCGTCGCGTTGCCGCATCGCGTCCGGTCTGTGTCGGCCTTAAGTTACAGATTTAAAGTTCAGTTGCGAAATATTTGCATTTGCGTTGGTTCTGTTTTGAACTGTGAGCAGTCAAGTTGAACTAATTTATTTTCGCTGTTAAATTTAAAAGATTTAAAATATGCCGTTTGCTGTGCAACTTTTTTTATGCATGTGAAAATTCACTTTTAGGTTTTGCAGAATAGTTTCATACCTGAATTTACTAATCAGTGAATAAGCCGGTTGCGCTTTTAAAAATAAGACATTGGTAATCGTGACTAAAAGACATAGATTTAAAGTATGGTAATTTGCATTCTAAATAATCCTTGGTATTGGTTACCGGATGAAAGAGAAATCAGTCATATTTTTCTTTGTCGAGAGGGTAAGACGCCAGTTGCAATGGCAGATGTATTATTAACATTCGTATTTGATTGTTGAGACCGGATCGAGTGAATTGAATGACGAGTAGTGTTTGCAAAGGACGAAAGGATACTGAAGAGCCAGGGAAATCAAATTTCGTAATTGGTCAAACATGTCTGTGGATAAATGCGATATTGTCGCTGTATTGTTAATCATCAGTTTGCTCCAAATTACTGTGAGTTTCACTGGCGTCAAAGGTAACCATAAAGGTATGTCATTAATGTAGATTGTTCAAACACAGAACACGGCTATATTGTGAAAAATAAATTGGTAAATAATTGCGATATGACTGAGTAAAGTTGGTGTTGTCGCAAGGGAAAAAGCAATACCAATTTAACTAAATGGTTTGTTATATGATATATGTACAATTATATATGATATGATATGATATATGTTTTTGAGACATTAAGATAAGGCCGTTGAGAAATTAAACCTTGGAAATTTTATCTCATCTATAGTTCCGGAATGAAGCATGAAGCATAAAGTCTTGTTTGTGTTCACCGGGGTTTATATTTAAATAACTAAAATAGCTAGTAACATAAGGCAAAAGAGCCCCTCGACAAAGTAAGATATCTCGTTTTAATAGATACATAATTTAATTTCAACAATAATTATAATTAAAAATTTGTTTCATGACTGGAAACGATGATCTTGAAACTTTCAAGTCGAGCGAGTTGCTCTTTGCATATTTAATGTGGGAAACTTGGAGAAATAAAAAGTGCAAGCTATAGGATCACGAACATCTAAGCCAAGAAATAATCGCGCCAATATTCAAAGTTCGAGGGCAAAGTTCATTTGTGTCAGAGAGATAAAATGAAAGTGGTAATGACAACCATGCAATGACCATATATATATATATATATATATATATATATATATATATATATATATATATATATATATATATATATATATATATATATATATATATATATATATATATATATATATATATATAAGAGTTTTCATTTTGTTTGAAAAATGTTATTATTGGCATTCGGTGGAATATTATTGAGCTTTATATTGCCAAGTTTCTATATGACAAGTTTTAATTGGCCATTGCACGTGTGTATGTACAACAAAATTTCCATGACCAAGTTTTTCTTCGACAACTGTTTTATTTGCTAGTTTGACTCATACAGACGAGGAAAATTTGTACTTTGACAATTTTTTCTATGACAAGTACACTTGTTCAAAATCAAGTATACTTGATTTTGAATAAGTGTAGTTGTCATAGGAAAAAATGTCAAAGTTGGGCGTACAGACGAACAATTAAAACCTGTCACCGTGTTCGTCTGTAAGAGGCTTATATATAGTGTCGTGTTGAGAAGGGCCAGGATTAGGATGAATACCCACCAACTGAAGCTTCGACAGGTTGAAAGTTGCCATGTGGTTGCTGTAGAAACATGTCCTGGACTTAAAAATTCCGTATTTTAAAACGGTAGTATCTGTCGACGACACTATGTTTTAAAATATGGATTTTTTAATACACAGCGAGAAACTTCATACTGAGCACTCGCAAAGCAATAGACAATTACAAACGATAATATGCATGACCAAAGCGATATTTGAGACCTTACCCGGAATTCCCTCTTTAGTAACCGCCGGAGACATATATAAACTGGCAAATCAATAAATTTAATACTTTCCATTCTTTTGGGTACAGGAAATTCCAAAGGCGGCCAGTGCGTGAGACACGATAGATTTAACAACGCGAACAAAACTATGATCAACCCAGAAAAAAATGAATTGAAACGTTTTAGGCTTCTCTGTTCTGCGCCACCATTTGAACTAGCATTTGAAGTACGATACACAAATGGAAAACTATGTAGCTGTGGGCGATATGAAGCCATCAAAGGGAGATTTGTCCAATGTACGAAAAAATTGACTTTGAATTTCACCACCTACATATTTGCCGAAAAAGAACTTAAGAGGACGTGGAGGTGCCACTTTAAATTTTATGAGCAAGGTAACGAGTATTTTTCTCAAGTTGAACTCACAATTGGTCAAAAAAATGTTCCTAATGAACCAAGTTCAATAGCTGGAATGCCTGCTCATCCAACATGGCTCACAAAAGCAAATTTTACCACTCGGCTTTCTACGTCTGTAATTGGTCATTTATGTGGTGGATCTTCACAGATAACTAGTCAAAATGTACTTGGAAATTCTGCGACGTATTCAAGTCAAATAAGGTATGTAGCTAAACAAATTAGTTAAAACTGATGAGGTAAAGGCCGGCGCACACTAGAGCTAAAAAGTCATTCGTGGCCATTGGCGTAAGCCACTTTTCCGGTGACTTTGGTCATTCGTGCCCAAAAACATTTTTTCCTATTTTAGTTTATTTCCGTCCATAACATTCACCTCTGAAATTTCCTCATCAATGCCTAAGTCTTCAACTCCAACCATCGAGCCGACACCCCTGGATTCAAGCGTAGTTACGATTAGTCTTTCCATCTCGCCAGTGCTGCTGATAACACCCTCAATGAAGGATATTCAAAGAAGTTCCTTTATACGAGTTACGCCAAGTAAAACCAACGTATTTTCCACCAGCATATTGTCTCCGGATGAAGAAGAGAAGAAAAAACTGAAAGAAGGCAGGGCTTCAATATATTATCTTTATATATTTCAAAATGATTTTTGAACCTCTTTATCTACTCCTAAACCAAGTTTGAATCGCCTCAATCTTACCTAAATGGACCTTTTCAGCTTGTATGCAAGCTAACCTATTTCAAATCACATGGTCTGAAATGGTTAAGTTTTATTGGCTATTCCATGGTCACAACATCAAAAATTGTTTAATTTGCATGCAAGATGACAGTCGTGCTCTATTGGTATCATGACACTAATTTTTATTCCTCTGTATACTACATATACCCGTTTTCCGCTCATGTTTTTGTGGTTATAAATATACTACACTGGAGTAAGACGTACGGGAAAGTCACTGGTGTGACTGACGTGCCCCCTCAAATTTTCAATTGATGATAATTAATTTTCAATGAGAGAAAGATTGAGAGAAAAGTGCACTGAAACGTTTAGCTATACTTTTAAAATGTTCAAATTGAAGGGTTTTTTGTCTAAGGTTGTGGTACAAAGACAATTATTATGTTCTCTATGCCCAGATATCGAGTTCGTCAACAATTTAAACACATCCAATGTGAATATCAATGATGAAAAGACAATTAAGGTAGCTAAAGATATAGTACATGTTATTTATAGGCTGCATTGTTGCGAGGTCCGGATTCAAAAAACTGTGCCCGAAGTCTCTCGCATGCATGCAGGCCAAATTTTATAAAGTATAAGGGAAGTGATGAACACAAAAACAGTCTTAACGTCTTATCTTTTATAGCAGGCTGGTTGCATTATACAGCGGGACCGGTTGAAGAGTGAAACGCTTCTCATGCAGCCAATCAGATTGCATAGCTAAAAAATAAAAAATGATATCATTCGTGGAAATGTTGCATGGTTGCCGGCATTCTTGAGTAAAGAAACGAAAGAAAGTTTAACGAAAATATAATTAAATTTACCTGAGAAGATGCAATAACTTACAAAAACAAAACATAAAACGTCACCGTGAACAACCGAGATTGTGCTTGCAATACTAATAATCGGATTTTATGAGTTTGCATACGTAGTAATGCTTTAAGCGCATGCATGTGCCTCATGCAATAGGACGATTTAGCATGTGAAGTTAATATAGACGACGTGAAAATGGCGAATAAATGGCTTGGCATGCCCATATATGGGGGCGCATCACGCCATTTTTTTGCCATTTACATGTCCACTTTGACGTTCACGTTCTCAAGCCAAACCTGCCTAATGTCAAATCGAAAAGGACGTGAAAATAGAGAATGAATGGTTCGATGCACCTATACATGGAAACGCCTCGCTGTTTGTTCGTCATTTTCACGTCGTATGTGACGTTTACGTTTTTGTGCTAAGCTAGCTAGCCTACCTGAAAAAATACGGAGAAAACCAGTAAAAATGAATCGCTAAACGATATTCCTTTTTCACACAGCGAGTGTTGGATGCTGCTGCGAATTTGATAAACACAAACCTAACAGCTGAAGACCAAAACGAGGTAAATATTATTGAACATTTGTGAAAAAAGTAGAAATAATTAAAATTGGATATAGAATGTTGTGCTTGCAAGAAATTTTACCACCAAGGGTATGAACTCATTTTTCCCGAACGGTTCTAGGACCCAGGAATGCAAGCAGTTAAGGTGTTGGAAGATCTTGGAAAGTCCATTTCTCGACAACTTGCTCTACCCAAAAACGAGAGTTCTGTTACTTTTCAAAAAGTAACAGACGATCTTGGTAAGAAAATAGATTTTACATATATCTGTATATGCTTGTATGAGGTATATCCTCTTCCCCAGCAATGAATCTATTGTGTATACCAGAAAATCCATCTGGCAAATTTTCCTTCGAGCATTTCTTATGATGGTATCATTTGAAGAGGAATGCTTGGGGCTTAATTCGTTGGGCTTGCGGCTATACGTTGCTTTAAGAAAACATTCAAAACAAACCTTCCTTTCTCTGAGGTGAAAAATATTACATAGTTAAATTTCAGTATATAGAGACTATCGCATCAATCGACATAATATTTGCATGATAAACAAAACAAGCTCCTTAACTAATTTACGCCCATATGACACTATAGTCATGAGCGATCTTTCATGGGTTTTTGAAATATTTTTCCAATTATTCTTTAGTGTTCGGCGTGGCTTTGGTGAATGCAACGACAACACCAGACTTTTCATTTCCTTCCGATGAAAGTAAAGCAACGGGAAGTGAAAAGATCAATATTCCAAGCTCTGTTTTTGTTTCAGACTCAGGTAAAGAGAAACGGTTAATTTATTTATTCTCATATAGTCCGCAATTAGCGAAGACAACAGTCGTACATGGTCAGAGCAATAATTCGATGAATATGGATAAGAGTATATCTACTGAAAGCCTTAGAAAGGAGTCTGCTTTATATTTCCGTTCACATTTATAGAAATTTGATGAAAGCATTACCTAATCATTTCCTAAACGACTTTCATAACTATGTTATTTCATCATCATTGTCTCCTGATTATGTCTACAGTACCGCTAACAGCTAGAAGACGCGTTCCGAACGCGTTCGATAAACGCGTTCATAAATGTGTTCCAATTGCGTTCCAGTTAGTTCCAATTTCCGTTCCATTAACGCGTTCCAAATCCACTGTAGAACGCGTTCCAGCATTACTCGTAATAAATTGACGTCGTATATTCTTGGTTTTCCCGACACTGGCTGAGAACGTTAATTAACCGCGTGACATGTCACACTTGCATGTTTCTATTTACCACGCGAAAGTCGCATAAGTTGAGTTTCGGATACAAGCCACAAACTCTAAACAGTCGCGGAAAGTGCAGATCACTGAATGATGTAATGTGTAAGGCTAATACATTTTATACTCGTGTCATGTTATGAGTCACGCGAATCAAAATAACCGCCGTGATCCATTCCGTAAATAAAATATTGCTAATGGACTTATAATTACATGCCGTTGATCCCGTTAATCCCGTGTTGAATAGTTTATTGCAATTTTTTTCCGAAGAAATACTTTGTAACATCTTGTGTGAATTAATTTGTAATTAGTTTCTACTTTTAAATACCCAACAAATTTGTAGTTGTTTATTATAGTATTATTTGATCACGTTTTATGCAGTCATTGTTAGTTCTAAAAACTTTGCTAATGGGCTGTCGTGACATGCAATAATTCCTGTGTTGGGATATCCCTGTGTTGAATATAGGCACATTAAGAATTTGTTTACTAAGACAAGCCGGCACGAACCTATCAGTATGAATCCAGATGAACTTGGATTCCTAGATTTAGGCTTATGTCGGAATTTTCTGATGGGAGGATCGACATGGTTTTAATGGAGGTGAACAATGTGTTCCTGTGGGACGCGTTCTTCTTTGGAACGCGTTCGGAACGGTGTGGAATGCATTCGAACGCATTTTTCTGAGCGGAACTGTATTATATAGTTTAGTCGAAACGTAGAAATTAAATTTTCACGGTTTTCTTTTTACGGAGTATCTATTTTTCATGAGTTATATCTCTTGAAATTGGAATTTTAAGTTCAACAATTATTGAGGAACCTTTGGTTTGCATCGTTTACCTTCATTGTCAAATCTACTAAAATGACATGCATGCAACTTTAACGTATAGTATTGTTTAGAAATTTACGTATATATACTGGTAAACTTCACTTAGGTAGCCGCAGTATACAGTTTTACTGAATTGACGTGGATGATATCACTTCTTTTCTTTATTCTTAGGCAAAGCATATTTTGTTGGTATAATTTTCAAGGCGTATCGCGAAATGAGAAACAAAACTGGGAATTTCACCATGGGAACTAAAGTTATAAATGCAGCAGTTTCGCCTCCGCTACGCAAAACACTTGCCGACCCCGTTGAAATGACATTCAAGAAAAATATTGTGAGTTGCTATATGTTTATGATTATTGACTATTTAACAATTAGTCGCCGAAGGCGAGGTGAATGTAGGCTTGTAATTATCGAACCTGCATGAGGCAATCACCGAATTGTTTTAGTATAAATTTCGAGGTGTTTACAAATAAGAATCAAAACAATTTCATAAAAAATTATAAATACTTCAAATTTCCTATTTTAAAAAAAGCATAAAAAACACTGACCAGTGACTATCAGTACAGAGGCAGCGAATTTTGACCAATCAGAATGCAGAAAAATCAATTTATACCAAAACGGAGTCAAATTTATACTAAAACGGGAGAGTTGGCTGCATGCACATTTTACAAGAATGAGAAATGTTAAACAAGAAAAAATAACTTCCATTCAGAAAGGTACAGACGTCAAATTGCATTTTAATATTCATGTCTATGTTTTAAAGATTAGTGAAACGGTTGCTTCAGATTGTTCGTTTTGGATAGAAAACGCCACGTAAGTTCATAGTGGACTTCTACTTGCTGAAAAATAGTCCGTCAACAGGGCCGTCGCTAGAAGCTTAATTGGGGGTGTATATTCATATATTCATGTTCGCACAACCGTAGAAACAATAGAAAACAAAAGAAATCAGTCAGGCATAAGACGAATATATGAATATCCCCCCCCCCCCAATTAAGCCTCTAGCCACGGCCCTGTCTGTCGGAGAATATTGCCATGAATGTTTCATTAATTGCATAAATAAATTTAAATCAGTTAATGTTAACAAAATGTGAATGGATCAGACTGTAGTGGACGATATATTGTATAATATATATTAATATAGGCATCCAGGTGAACATGGTGGATGGTCAACGAAACAATGTCAAAGAACATTTGAAAATCGCAGTCATATTCAATGTCAATGCTATCATTTCACTAACTTTGCTGTTTTGTTCAAAGTCTCGGATAACCAGGTTAATTTGAAAACGTATTAGAATGCGCATCGTTCAAGTATCTGAACTCTTCTCTAAATAGTTTCTTGCATTTAGAATTTACTTTTAATCGAGTAGCTTCATGTCATATTTAATCCACCTCGAGAGTTGCTTATCTTTGATAAGAAGTATCAGTATTTTATGCATGTAAACCACCAACTTTTGTTTCTAGGATGTGTCAAACGAAGACACGTTCCGTCTCGTTATCATAACTCACATTGGCTTGGGTCTATCTATCTTGGGTTGTTTTCTCACCTTCGTTGTTTATGTCACTTTATCGTAAGTAAAGATAAATTGGATAATAAAATTTCTTACTTCTTTGCATTTTCAGTCGTGATTAAACTTTTACTTATAAACTGCTTGGAAATTTCAGAAACGTCAAAACCGATAGAGCAGTGATCCACACGAACTTAGTTCTGGCACTTGGGATTGCTGACGTGATATTTTTGGTAACTGTGATTGTCAAACCAGTTGGGGTAATACTTTTGTATTGAAGTTGTTTCTAGTCTTTTACCACTGTGTGATGATATTTATGGAAATTAAAATTGTTACATTTGATTTTGCTTTTCCAGGATTCATGTTTAGCTTTGGCGATGTTGGCGTTTTTCTTTTATCTTGCTGTGTTTTTCTGGATGTTGGACGAAGGTGTTTACATTTATTTGATGGTTATTAAAGTTTTTCGTGGCAACGATGCTATGAGACGAACACTGCAAAAAATGCATTTTCTCATTTGAGTAAATGTTACTCAATTTTTGAGTAATTGTACCGATTACTCAATAATTTGAGTAAATTTTACTCCTCATTCGGTAAAGAGAAACTTTACTCTCTCTTGCGAGTAAACGAAAACTCAAAATGTTGAGTAAAGTGTTAGAGTAATTTTTACTCCAATTTTTGCGCACTCTTTACTCAACTATGAGTAAATTGATGAGTAAAATTTACTCAAGCTAACGCAGGAGATTTAAATACTCACAAATTTGAGTAAATGTAAAGTTTTACTCTTTTCCTGAGTAAACGCAGCATTTACTCAAATCATGAGTTATGTACAATGTGTAAAATTTACTCAAAATTTTGAGTAAATACAACGTGTATCAGTTACTAAAAAAAACACGTATTCAAAAAAAGAGTAAACTTTACTTTTACTACAAAACTATGCCGGCCACATATATCTTTCCAGTATTTGGGGCTTATTTTGACGGCTAAGTTATTAACAAGGCCAAGAACATTATTGGTTCATATATTAATATCACATAATACCACAAATTAAATATATACAATATATATATTATAATGAGCCAATCATGTTTTGCGTTTCCTTCGGTATGCTAATACAAGCGTACGGATATAATTAATTATAATGCGCCAATCATGTTTTGCGTTTTCTTTGGAGGTAAATGCTAATACAAGCGGACGGATATAATTAATTATAATGAGCCAATCATGTTTTGCGTTTCCTTTGGCGCGACGATTCAAATGACTCCAATTTCATTGTCAGTTTCAAATCACCGTGAGCTTCAACGTGCGGTAAAAGCTTGTCTTTGTGTCTTGGTATATTCAAATATTTCTTTGCTCTATAATTCCGCTGAACTGAGAAAAAATGTTCACAGTGGAGGACGTTCACTCATGGCTTATTGCAGTTGGCTTTGGCGAGTATTGCCAGACGTTTAAGGTATGTTTTTGAGCTTGTTGTTAGCGGGAGATGTGGCGCGCAAATACTCTGTAATTTACTCTTGTGTCAATCCAAAGTACAATCGCGCACAAAATGTAGATATTTCAAATTTCATCACTATATAAAAGATAGCATATGCATACACTACCTTTAATTGTAAATCCCCGAAAAATCGCCGTGACATTGGCGGGATTTAGCCTTTAGGGGCATTGCATATAGATACGGCAGAACGTCGATGTTGGACACCATTGTTTAATGGTTTATATGAGAATTTCGAGTGCGGCTTATTTGGGGCAAACTCTGGAGCCTTGTCTTATTTTCGCTCGTATAAATGGCCCTTATGCTTATATGAAACTTAGGCAGCTTATATACTGTTTATATACTGTAAAAATGATATTTTGATTGTAAGCAGTCTCCTTGTTTGATCTTGCATGAATTTGTATTGAATAATTCATATCAAAAATTCAATTTCAATTGAGAGGCCACTAAAAATTGTGTTCAGTTAATAATATAAAATTATGTATTTTGGAGCACTAATAGTAATTTACTTATGGTTTTCAAAACACCAATTCACAAAAGATTATTTATACCTTTGACCAATAGATCATTCAAGTAATCAGGTTGCACATAAAGTGTCAGTTTATATATATTGGCTTCATGAAAGGTCTTATACATAGAACCTATTACTTTATTTACTTAATGACCTCAGAACAAAGGTCTCACAGCAAGTATAATATATTGATTTTTTGAGCACACATGCTCTTAGATATGTAATAGCTTTGGTCTTTCATTTTCATTGGACAACATAAGCAATAAAGGTATATAAAAAGAGCATCAAACATTAGAGTCAAATTACTGTCACATTTAAAGGTAAAAATAATTTTACTAAAAATTGTGTTTGGCAAATTATGAATTAAGTGAAATTGCAGTTTATTGTTTTGAATATTGGCCCTGGCATTGCTGTTTAACAGCTTTTGTGTAAGGTGGCTTAGACCGCCTTTAACCATCAGCTCACTTGGGCAGCACATCTTGTATTGCCCATCAGTGAGAATTGCAAAGACAATATTCAAGACATGTATACATTTATGTTGATGCAGTTCTGCTGCTGTGTAAGGTGGATTCCGCCTTTTACCAGTACCTCTTTTGAGTGGCTTGTCCGCTCATGAAAGAGGAGATATATAAATGAATACACTCTGTAATGTAATTTAATACAAGGTTTTCTTTTAGACTGAGGTGAAATGACAGTTTTATATGGGGCTTATACATATTTTTTATCAAATTTGTATTTAATTAATAATTTAACTAAAAATTGTGTTTGGCAAATTAGGAATTAAAGTGACATTGCAGTTTATTGTTTTGAATATTGGCCCTGGCATTGCTGTTTTACAGCTTTTGTGTAAGGTGGCTTAGACCGCCTTTAACCATCAGCTCACTTGGGCAGCACATCTTGTATTGCCCATCAGTGAGAATTGCAAAGACAATATTCAAGACATGTATATATTTATGTTGATGCAGTTCTGCTGCTGTGTAAGGTGGATTCCGCCTTTTACCAGTACCTCTTTTGAGTGGCTTGTCCGCTCATGAAAGAGGAGATATATAAATGAATACACTCTGTAATGTAATTTAATACAAGGTTTTCTTTTAGACTGAGGTGAAATGACAGTTTTATATGGGGCTTATACATATTTTTTATCAAATTTGTATTTAATTAATAATTTAACTAAAAATTGTGTTTGGCAAATTAGGAATTAAAGTGACATTGCAGTTTATTGTTTTGAATATTGGCCCTGGCATTGCTGTTTTACAGCTTTTGTGTAAGGTGGCTTAGACCGCCTTTAACCATCAGCTCACTTGGGCAGCACATTTTGTATTGCCCATCAGTGAGAATTGCAAAGACAATATTCAAGACATGTATACATTTATGTTGATGCAGTTCTGCTGCTGTGTAAGGTGGATTCCGCCTTTTACCAGTACCTCTTTTGAGTGGCTTGTCCGCTCATGAAAGAGGAGATATATAAATGAATACACTCTGTAATGTAATTTAATACAAGGTTTTCTTTTAGACTAAGGTGAAATGACAGTTTTATATGGGGCTTATACATATTTTTATCAAATTTGTATTTAATTGCACAAAAAATTCAGCAACTAACACTCAACAGTACTAAACATCTTATAAAATACAAGATTACATTTAAGTAATATATTTATCTTTTTTACATGACACTTACTCTTTGATATGTGATATGGTCTAATGTGTTTGAGAGAACACAAGCTGCACCATCGCAAAAATAAACATGTGGCAAAATGAAAACTATAACTTGTTTTATTATTTATGACTAAATAGGTTACGTACCATGCTAAATGATTTAACTAAAAGTTGTGTTACTCAATATAAGTTGGACAGAGACATCGGCGATGAATGATAAAGAAATGGCGAGTTCACTAAGTAAGATCAAATACATGTCTTCTCCGAATCAAAAGAGAGAAAAAAGACAGGAAGAAGACAAAGAAAACAAGAAAAAGAACGAAGAAAAAAGTGACTTAATTGGTACTGTTTTTTGAGGCGAGTTTCTTTTTACTTGTGTCATTAACATTATAGGCCAGGCTTGATCCTGGCTGCTAAGTAACAAAGCAATTACGAGGTCTTTATTTGCCTTACCGAGTACAGTACCCATTTGAGACAAACACCAGAGCGTTGGGTGAAAGGTTGCTTAACGCTCAAGTCTTCTGTCAATATAAGTCTATCTGAACGATGTTTTATCTATCTTTTTTATAGGACGGAAGTTTCGAGAATGCAGCAAAAGAATGTTATGCAAGCGGTAAAGCTTCATTTTGCAAACAAGAACAATTATACATTATACATAGCAAAGTCTCTAGGTTATCTTTCTTCATTTTTACCGAAATGTACGTTATTTGCAAAATAAAATTTGTCCTCCAGATGCCAACTGTGACATCATGAGTTTTGCATTAATGACTGCATGTCATTTTACTATATTATTGACAATGTATATACCACTTTAACGAAACTTAAGGCTGTGATTGATTGTATATTCTGATTGTGTAACTGCGATTCGTGTGCTGCAAAATAGCAGGCCTGTTGTAAATTAATTTTTAAAATAGACAATTTCATTGAACAAGTTGTTTGTGTGCATTTTTTGTCTCGATCTACATTATTATGTAGTGCGGTGTATTCTTGTTATTCTCCTTGTTTCAAGTTTTCACTTTTTTTTTACTCAGAATTGCAAGTAGCTGTCATCACAGTAGCTGAGCAATTTGGAAATCCAATTGGAAGTCAAATTACGCAAACGTTCGAGTAGCTTTACTCGTCTTTTGAGTAATTCCCGCGTTTACTCAAAATAAGGAGTCACTGTGGAAGCAATTTGTCCGAGTAACTGGTACTCGTTTTTTGAGTAGAAACTACTCTTATACTCGAGTAAATTTACCAAAATAATGAGTAGTTTCTACTCAAAAAATGAGTTCTAGTTACTCAAACAAATTGCTTCCACAGTGACTCCTTATTTTGAGTAAACGAGCGAATTACTCAAAATTGCGAGTATTTAACTGGGTTTACTCATTTAATGAGTAAATAAGTGTACATAGCTTTTGAGTACTTTGTACTCTTTTATTTGAGTAATATTTACTCAAAACAAGCGAGTAATTTTTACTCAAATATTTTGAGTATGTTTTACTCAGTATAATGTGTCACTGTGGAAGCAACATTTTACTCAATAATTTGAGTACAATTTACTCAGGATTTTTTGCAGTGAAGGATGGCTTACCTTGTGGGATGGGGTAAGTATTTTTTTAACTATAGTTGAGACCCATAGCCAAGTGTTCAGGGTTTTTAGTGTTGAGTTGTTCTCTTCGTCTCGACATATCATGGTATTTTTATAATATTAAATCACTAATATTACTTATTTTTAAAAATAAGGGCTATCCCGAATGAAGTAGGAGCATGTGGTTAATTGCCGAATATTTTTGGAGGGATTTACAACGAGAAACGTTTAATATGGTTGTATCATACAACGCTTTGCGAGGATATACTCAGGATATACAATGCTTTGCGAGGATTTACAACGCTTTGCGAGGATTGCATTCGTTGTAATTTACTGGCTTAAAATTGGGGTTACAGTTGCTTCAGTCATGCATGGGTTCTGCTCCTACCATTAGAAGGATAAACACCCTCACACAATGATACAGTTATACCATATTTTTTTTGAAGAATATAAAGTAAGCGAATTAAGCTAAAATAGCTGCCATTAAGCCCATAAAGCTCGGTTGTAACTAGGGAAATTTAGCAAACGCAACATAATGCCTTGGAAATCGTGAAAATGGCGTGCATATGACGTGATTATGTCCACCTATGGTCGTGATTCCGCCACATCCACGCCATTTTCACGGCGTCAGGCAGTGGCGTAGCTACTGCGGGGCCTATATTCATATATTCATCTTAACAGACTGTAAAGACGATTGATTTGAAGAGAAATTAATCCTACGTATCACGAATATATGAATATGCCCCCCCCCCAATTATCGTGCTAGCTACGCCACTGGTCTCACGTAGTATTTGCTAAGTTTCTCTAAAATCTTTCAGAAGACTTAGCAGGAAGTATAACGAAGCAGGCCCAGATACAGGCACAGTATATTTATACATGGATATCATGCATTTAATTTATTACATATAGCTAATCGTGTCTTATATAGTGTGTCCAACAATCATCGCGATTATCACCTGGGTTCTTTTAAGAGATGAAGTCGTTTCAAAATACCAGTAAGTTAGAGTTTATTCATTACAGAATATAGCCACGGCAAGCAAACAATTTCAAAACATGCATGCAAAATAAAACCGATTCCGAAAATAGACATCTCTCGTTCTTGATGGTCAAGATAAAACAGGAGTGTATATCAGGGCAAGTTTTGTTTCACACATGCAGTGTCTTTATACTCTTGTATGACTTATCTTGAATACTGCATGATAAAACCGCCAAATGTCTATTTTTTAATCAGTTTTACGCAAAATAGAAACACTTACTTTTGCAAACATAAATAATATATCAAGCTACATTGTGATGAACATTGTATTATATTAACTTTTTGCAGTTGCTGGTTATCGGTTAAGTCGGGAGCTATATGGGCATTTGTGGGTCCCGGATTGCTGATTATTTTGGTAAGAATCCTGTGTCTATTATTCCAGATCGAGGTTGTATTATTCCATTTCCGTTTATTTCACTTCATTGCACATTACCTATATGTTTATCCTAATAGATTTGTTTCATTTAGATCCTTAATTTTTCATTATATTTTTCTCTTCCTCTAACGCCCGTCCTTTCCTTTTTGTCGTTTAAATTAACTATTTCACTTTTTAACGTCGTTTGTTTTGTTCCACTTTTTCAGATTAACTTTATTATTCTTGTTGTTGTCATGAGAACGACCTGGGTAAGATTTGGTGATGACAAAGAATACGGCAGATTAAAGTAAGAAATACAAATAATGCGTCAATAGAAATACATTCATGCATGCACATCGAATCTTCTAGACATTTCAAATAATTTCCTTAACAAGCTAGAGCTATTAAGCAACACTGATAATTCATATATATATATATATATTCTGAAATGAAACAAGTGTCTACAGCCAATATCTATCATTCGGTACAAGAAGAGTCTGTAAATCATGTGAAATCATTCACGATTTGTCACTGAGATGGTTATTTATCAAAAACATTTTCAAAATATTTTCTGCTTGGTAAATCTGCCTTGTTTACAAAATTTAGGTCGGCAACGAAGACATTTGGCGCAGTCATTCCTATCTTGGGAATAACCTGGATTTTTGGTGTCATGGCATTCAATGAATCTTCCATTGTATTTCAATATTTATTTGCTATCACCAATTCTTTGCAGGTATGAATCTTTTCCCATATTTCATTGTTTCGTAAAAGGAATACTTTGCATGTGTTTTTTCTAAAATATTGGCATTTCCGTCCTCGGTCAACCTAATAATTTAACGTCCCAAGAGGAGGACGTAGTCGAAAAAAATTAAACGAACGAAGTGATATTAATTATAAGGATAGTTTTAAAATACGTGCGCGATACGACATATTTTTCTTCTTACCATTTGTATAGGGGGCTTTAATATTCATTCTTTACTGCTTGGTTAACAAAGAGGTACGTAAGCATTTACGAATAATAAGCTTGATCTATTTTTAATTTCCCAAGATTTAAAAGCTCTTGTAGATGAGGAAAATTGATGCCTTTTTTAGCGAAGTATATAGAGCGAAGAATGTGTGGTAACTGACATAGTTGTGTCTACTGTTTCGCTCGCTTAAACCGTTAAATTCGGTGATGTTAGTTCAATAATCACTTGTAGCTGTGGAAAGTTCTATTTTTTTGTCAATAACCGCACCAACAAAGTCGCTACGGCTTTCATTGATTGAGATATTCTCTGAAAAAAGGACTGCAAGAGCTCTTTTTTTTCAATGTACATCATATTTAGATATGCAAAATCATTTGAAAAAATATTGAAAACCGTTTCCCACTGATTAGCCTTTTTTTAAGAAATTTCATTCGGGCAAGTACACCACTCTTTGTCTACACGGCTAAAAACGATCAGGTTGATGCAAGTTGAAATAAACAGGATGCAGTAATGTTGTGCTGCCCACATTGTTCAGAGTTGTTATCAGTATTGAACAATATCGTTACACCCGATTCAGTTTCAACAATATTGTTCAATGTTGATAACAACTCTAAACAATGTTGGCAGCACAACATTGCTCCATCCTGTTTGTATCAACTTGCATCAACCTGAGCGTTTTTAGGCGTGTATGACGTTTCCTGATTTTTTTTAAGAGAAGAATTAATGTTATGAATAACAGTAATATTATGGAAAAGTATATATGCGATTATCGCGATGCATTGCAAAGAAAAATGAATAAGTTAACTTTTTTATTTTTCCAGTATATATAGTTGTACTTTATCTCGACGCAGAACCCTCATTTTATAAATGCATGCGCACATATACAACCAATTAATAATATACTCCGAAATTGTTTATTAGGAATGTACCACGCTGATTATGTACTTTTGAAATCAATCAATAATTTATGCAATGGAAATTTTACCGTGTTAGGTGCGAAACGAGCTTCGACGGAAGCTAACGGTATGGCAGACTCGTCGTGAGTTCTCTTCATCCTCGGCGAACACTCGCCGTACCTATGTGATCTCTTCGGAAAAAAACACGACGTTCAATCTCACTACAGCTTCGATGCAGGCCACCCCGGACCTTTACCGGCGTCCCATGGAGGTAATTGAAGGCGTACCACCCCAGGGGAAGGTAGATCTCGGGTATACCTCTGAAGATGACAATAAAACAAAAGAGAAAGAATTCGAATTGGGTGGGGAAGAATGGAGTGGTGGCAAGAAAGGCAAAAGTTGAATCAGGCACCGGGGCTAAGCATTTTATCGAATTGAAAAAAAGGACTTGCATGGCGATGGGATAGTCAGCGTTACTTGCGTTACCGATAGATTGGTCGACATGTAGAGGTACACAATAAGGTTTTCTGTCAAGTTTTCTGTCAGGTATATAGTTAATTAATTGTCTCTCCATTGACAAAGTTTTTATCAGGTTTTCATCCTAAGGTACCCGTTGTGACTAATGCAAAACTAATATGACCAATTGCTACACAAATGTGTTTAGGAATTAAACTAGATGAAAATGGTAACTAGGATAGTTATATTGAGATGATATGTAAGAAGGCATTGCCAAGTGAAGGTTTGGCGTTATAAAACGTACACAGCTCTTTGTTCTATACCTTATAATACCTAAAACAACGTTATAATAATCTTCCTAGGCCGAAACGCGAATATCTCAAAAGGTAGATATAGCGGCGCTATGCTCTGAAATCAGCTTCCAAATTAACGAAGAAAAATTAGTCACTTCGTTTCCAAAGCTTCGTTTGAATTTTGTTGAATAATGACACGTTTCCTATACCTACATCTATGTAATTTGTGTATGTGCATGTGTAAACTGTCTAGTATTGTAGTTTTAATTGTTTTTAACATTTAAACCTCCCCCATGGAGGTAATATATTGGTTTTAAATAAAGTACTACAGATATACCTACCTACCTGCCTATCTACCTACCTACCTACCATGCAGGAACCTTATCGGCAAAAAACTGGCAAAGACTAAAACATGCTACGTGACGTCTGTAAAGATGTTCAAGGTCCTTGAAACTTTTTTTTAGGTTCTGTGCATAGCGATTGTCCGCCAATAGACTATTTTATTTTGCAAAAGACAGATTATCCAGAAATTTTATTTTCTAAATCTTAATCCCCCGTCCAAGTGTCTAGGCACCGCCAAGATTATACCAAAGGACGCCTGTTAATTGATTTCGTTGATTATCAGTGAAATGCCTTTTATCGTCCACGTGATAAAGCACAGGTATCCGTTAAACATAAATTCAGCCACCTAGTTACACGCACGTGGTGAATATTAGGAGTTGACAGTTGTCCAATCGGAAGTCGCAGAAAAGCAACCACTATATTTTTTACTGCATTGTATTACAAATGAAAAGAAGCGCCGGGCGACCATTGTCTCCCACAGATGCTGATCGTTTTTGCATTCACATTGGTCGGCATAAATGATACAAAAAATTAAAGCGAAAGTAAGCATGCAGTGCTAGGTGTTCATCACCAATTGAATTGGAATGGGAATATTTTCTGTTGCGAAATGGAAATTCAATATCACTTAATTGAAATTCAAAGCAAATTCGTCAATTCGTCATACTGTAGATAAAGAGTATTGAGGAACATTCACAGTGAAGTTTTCTAATCCTTATTCAAAGATGCATCTGTATAAATGCGATGTTTTTGCTGTGTCCTTAATAATCATTTCACTTCAGTTTTCTGTCAATTTCACTAGCGCTGAGTTTCCGGCTGAAGGTACGTAATCATAACTGTGGATGAACACGGACACCGTTCTCTAATGAGATTGGATTATAAAATTATCTATTGTGAAAAAAAATTTTAACATTGTCTGTGAAGCATGCAAATGATATTGTAGGTGTTACATTATTTTACTTTTAAAGTGTCTTTCCTACTGATTATTGCATTGCATGAAGCTTTTTTCAGTTATTCATTTAATAAAGGCGGTGTTACATGCACTATACACTATGCCACAACGTTTTTTCTTGCAACCCGCAATGCAATTCTACAGGCATTCCCGAGGCATCTAAAGTTGTTAAATACGAACATTTCTTCCGATCTGCTAACCTTTTCTTAACATCTCAAACAAATTACATCTCTTATACAAATTGACATCCCTCAAAGTTGCAAGGAAGATTGCATAATGTAACAGCCAGCGCCTTCAATAGTTCAGTGATGAGTTCGGGCACAATGTTATTGAAGAATTATCAAGCCTAAAAAAAAGGAGGGCTCGATAATTTATTATTCACTATTCAAACGAATTAATTTTAAAGAAGATGAGGAAGAAGATATTTGTAATTTATTATACTATGGTAAAAAAATCTTATGTTTCGTCATTTCATAACAGAGTAATTTTAAGCCAGAACATTTAACGAAAAGAAAAACAAGGCATGTTTTCCCCCGGGTAGTGTCGCAGCTCCTCGCAAGAATGATTTTCATTGGCTGAACTTTACAATACATTTCTGTTTCAACCAATAGCATAGCTTCGTTCTTTAGAAAGCATAGAAAAGCATTATCCAATTGGGCGAAAGCTTCCGAACACTGCGACATGCCCCATGTTTTCTTTTGAATTTATGAGCGGTCAAGTTAAACTAATTTATTTATGGCGTTGAAATTCGAAAGTAACACCCACCAGTATATATTGTTAGTTTTACAGTCGTAATCAAAATACAGGGTGTCTCAAAAAAAACGCAACCACTTAAATATGCAAGAATATTAATATTGTTCGGGTTTGTACCATAGTTCAGCTAAAATGACTTTTAGCATTTTAAATGAAGGATTAAGAGCCATTTTCAATTCCCAGAGGTGCTTATCTATTGCGCTTTAAAGCTGTCTTAATGTTCTTGCATATCTAAGTGGTTGCGTTTTTTTTGAGACCCTGTACAATTGTAATTTGCATTTTAAATAATGCCTTGGTATTCGGTAAGACGAGATTTCCGTTTCGAAACGGGAAGAAGTTGTAATGTCGTTCGTATTCGTATTGGATAGATCAACCAGAGCGAATTCATCGACCGGTGCGATATACATCAAAGACAGACTGAAAGATATCAAGGAGCATTTAATGTTACAACAAGTTTCTCAGTTGTTCAAAGATGTGTTTGAATAGATGTGACATAGCCACTATATTCCTAATCATTGCTTCACTTCAAATTTCTGTCGATTTCACTAGGGCAAGCTATGAAGGTATGTAATAAATGTTGTTTTAAGCCTGATCGGCAACTAAATACCTGATCACAGGATTATTGCAAAATGAAGTTCAATCATTGAACATTTTATTTATTATGCACGTTATAGACCACTTTTATACATTACCAGAAATTTGCGACATGATAATTTGCATGTATACTAATTTGCATTTAACTTTCAGCATAATGGCCTTCAACTTTTACTATAAAATACATAGAGTAAATATAAAAAACTTAAAAATACCGTTGTCTTAGACCTTGCCTACTGTTTGCCGACCTCTAGATCGATAGAGCAACTGTTTAGAAACGTTTTGGTGACCAAATTTTTTAGCTTGGGCATTTCTGCAATCTGCCAAATTTAAAAATATATTGCTCAAAGTTTCATCCGTGTTCTGTCAACGAACTTATAAAATCGCTCACATTGATTCGAATATCTCGATTCAGGTAGTTGATGAATTGACGTGTAATATACCAAAAAAAATTGTTAAAAATATTGTCTTTCGTATTTGCGTATAAACTTTTCTGTACGGCTCGGATTTTCACTGCAATCACTTTGAAAAATATTATTAGTCTTATCAGGAACTTGAACATTACGAAGGCTATATACACATTTGTTCAAAATCAGTTGGCCGAACGTAGAAATACCTAAGGTAAGTAATTCGATCATGAAAACGTTGGGAAACGGCTGTTCTATTGACCCAGAGGTCGGCAAACAGTAGGCAAGGTCTAGGACAACGGCATTTTTAGGTTTTGTATATTTACTATATGTATTTTATAGTAAAAGTTGAAGGCCATTATGCTGAAAGTTAAATGCAAATTAGTATAAATGCAAATTATCATGTCGCAAATTTCTGGTAATGAATAATGTAAATTGTTGAAATATACAGATAAGGTCGAGGAATTATCCTATGGGAATTTACCGACTGTTTATATATATATATATATATTGACATGGACAACCTTAATGACGACCTGTATATAGCTATATAGTATAGCGTTCATTTTAACATTGTGAATTTACAGCAATATAAGCTGTTAGTGCGAATTCACTCCGTTACTCAGTTCAAAATAAAGGGATTACTAGATTTTGAGATTTTTAGCCATAGAATTAAACAATCGTTTTAATTGCTTTTAACATTTTTTAACGTCCTCGCACAGTTATCGGTTAAACATAAATTCAGCGACCTAGTTATACACGCGCAGGTGGTGAATATTAGGAGTTGGCAGGTGTCCTATCGAACGTCGCAGGAAAAGCAACCACTTTTTTTACTGCATTATATTACAAATGAATAGAAGCGCTGCGCAACCATTGACTCCCACAGATGCTGATCGTTTTTGCACTCACATTGGTCGGCATAATTGATACGAAAAATTAAAGCGAAAGTAAGCATGCAGTGCTAGGTGTTCATCACCAATTGAATTGGAATAGGAATATTTTCTGTTGCGAAATGGAAATTCAATATCACTTAATTGAAGTTCAAAGCAAATTCGTCAATTCGTCATACTGTAGATAAAGAGTATCGAGGAACCTTTAGAAGCATGCAGATGATATTGTAGATGTTACATTATTTTACTTTTAAAGTGTCTTTCCTTTTGTCATACTGTTTAAAAATGTACTTACTGATTATTGCATTGCATGAAGCATTTTTCAGTTATTCATTTAAGGCAGCGTTACATGCACTATACACTATGCCACAACGTTTTTTTTGCAACCCGCAATGCAATTCTACAGGCATTCCTGGGGCATCTAAAGTTGTTAAATACGAACATCTCTTACGATCTGCAAACGTTTTCTTAGCATCTCGAACACTTTTTGTACAAATTGACATCCCTCAAAGTTGCAAGGAAGATCGCATAGTGTAACAGCCAGCGCCTTCAATAGTTCAGTGATGAATGCTTCATGCCCTATGCAATGATTATGAAGTTGGGCACAATGGTAATAAAGAATTATCAAGCTTAAATAAAAGCGGAGGGCTCGATAATTTATTATTCACTATTCAAACAAATTAATTTTAAAGAAGACGCGGAATAAGACATTTGTAATTTATTATACTATGGCAAAAAAATCTTATGTTTCGTCATTTCATAATAAAATAATTTTAAGCCAGAACATTTAACGAAAAGATAAACAAGGTATGTTTTCTTTTGAATTTTTGAGCGGTCAACTAATTTACTTATAGCGTTAAAATTCGAAAGTAACACCCACCGGTACTGTTTTACAGTCGTGATCCAAATACTAATCATTGCTTCACTTCAAATTTCTGTCGATTTCACAAATTTCTGTTGTTTCAAGCCTGATCGGCAACTAAATACCTGATCACGGGATTATTGCAAAATGAAGTTCAATCATTGAACATTTTATTTATTATTATATTTGTGCATGACGAAAGGCTAGTTTCCACTCAGGAAAATTCTCCTTTGGATCGGACAGGACAGGAAAGTTTCCTTTGTGTAAACGCCGCCTGAGAACTCACCGACAAAGGAAATCTTCCTGTCCGATCCAAAGGAGATTTTTCCTGAGTGGAAACTAGCCTTAAAGAACTGAGTACTTAATTTGCAATGGATTATGCACGTGAGTCGTCGACTGATGCTCTATAGTCTATATAGGACCGGCTATTGTAGATGCCTATAAGACCCCGTTTACACTAGAGCGAAAGTTTCCGGATTTGTAAAATTATCCCGATTCATTGTTACACACATGTATCGGATTCGTCAGGTGTTTACACTACACTTTAGTTGTTTCTGTATGCGGATTTGTCCGTTTACACTCACATTATACTTGTTCTTGGAGAATTGTTTGGTCGTCACGTTTGAATTTCTTCGGATTCGTCGTGCAAAGCGTTTACACAAGAAAATTTTCCGGATTCAAATGTTTCTGGATACAAAGTTTCCACAAACTTTTACGGATTCAAAGTTTCCGGATACGGCTTAAAACCGAGTACATTTTCTACCGGATTCGTTGCTGCGTGTGTATAAACAGCAACATGAATCCGGTACTAAAACATTCCGCTTTCGTGATGAATCCGGAAACTTTCGCTCTAGTGTAAACGGGGTCTAAAAGACGATATATTTATAGAGCAGTATTAGGACCTTAATTATAAGTTACTTGATGGTAGCGGTAATAAATAGAGCAGTATTAGGACCTTAATTATATCTCTTTCGCAAAATATAAACTATATTAAGGATAATAAGTTACTTGATGGTAGCGGTATATTATCATAAGGAAGTTGTAATTATAATTAGTATTATATACCCACGGCGATTTTAATCCCCGATAAATTCATTCTTTATGTATGCAGCGAGTTATTTTTACTCGTATAAATGGCCCTTATAAGTTATTACAGCATAGGTCTGAGTGGTTAATTTAAAGGTATGCACGTTATAGACCACTTTTAAAATTAATGTAAATTGTTTAAATATACAGATAAGGTCGAGGAATTATCCTATGGGAATTTACCGACTGTTTCGGAAAATAGTGATCCTAACCGGATTTCTGGAGCATAAAATCATGTTTTCAACTATTGGGTTAAAAAGAAAATTAACGGTACTCGTCACATTCATGATTACGCCTTCAAGGGTTGAAAATGTGTTGCGTGGATGGAAACGGCCTAGCACAAGACGAGTAGGCGTGCGTCTGTGCATATTATTAGGAAAACTATGAGGAAATGAAAACAGCAGGATATCATAGGGCGCGGACTTTCAGAACATAGGAGCAATAAGACTGCATATGCGCTTGATTGTCGAAAACAAGGTAGCGGCAGTGAGGAAATTAAATTAAGGCGGATCTGTCACCAAAAATAAAACTCTTGCGGGGATTTTTAACATTATATTCTACATCATAATTTTTTATACTGTATAATACTGTGTAAAGAGAAAAATGAACGAAATAACCCATGTTTAATGGTCACGTGGTTGATATTTATATATTTGTATATATATTGACATGGACAATCTTAATGACAACCTATATATACACACTATATATGTAGTATAGCGTTCGTTTCTAACATTGTGAATGCGGCAATATAAGCTGTTATTGTGAATTTATTCAGTTACTCAGTTCAAAATAAAGCTAAGATTACTAAATTTAGAGTTTTGTAGAGTAGAATTAAACAATCGAAAAAACTGGGAAACTGTCCGGTCATTAAACCGTGATTAAACGTCTAGCCGATAGCTATTAAACTGTTTATGAAAACGTATTTAAACATTTTTTGGTGGACGCTATTCTTATGTCCAGGTTTTTATAATATACATCATGTTGTGGAGTAATTCTTTTATAATTTGCCCGAAATTTTCTTTTTTTTGTCCTGACAATAAAAAAGAGTTCTGTAAACCTTTCACTGACGCCATATTGTTTTCGATAATCTCGCGCAGTGCGGTTCTTCACCAGCGGTTGTACAGTATGAGTAAATAAATAAAGTTTAGTTAATAAATAAGTAAATAATAATTATCTTTTTTTCTCACCCCTCCTACAGATAGAACAAAAACAGCGAATGGCAATTTTCAGATATCCGAGAGGACCAATTCAAGTCGACTGAGGTGAGTACGGTACTTTATGATGTAACAAAGCGTTGACTTTACCGCACATCGTGGATAATATATCTCTGCATGAGAATAGATCCAAAATCAAAATGAAACTGAGTGCGCGTCCTCCTTGGCAAGTGTTGAAAATTGGATCATGCGTGCAGCCAATTAATACTTAGGTGGAAACAGAGCATGTCACATTAGCGTGGAGGCAATGGCATACATATACCCACACAAGTCTACCTGAAGTGTAGCGTTCTTTAAACTAAACATACCATTTCAAAACTCGATTTAAAAAAAAATAATCATAATACAATATGAGGTGATGTGTAGAAATTATTATGTCCGTTTTAGGTTCGCCATGCAGGGTTCGATCTCCTTTAATACTGAAAAAGTAACAGCAACGCCTAATTTACCAACATTTCAGTCTTCCGCGTTATTGTCAACATCGGTTACGTTCACCAATTCATCAACAAATTGCTCAACACGAGGTAGGATAATTTTCCTCCTTAAGTAATCGCCTTCATATTGAACATATTTGCACAATCCTGATTAAAACTATACCACTTGTCAAATAAAAACGTTTTTTTGATACACCATGTAATAATGAATATTGTTATGTGGGTGCTGTGTATTTTAAATGTAATTGGTTCATTCGTAGTCGCATGACTTTAAATAAATGCAATGTTTCCCACAAGTGAAAAATTGTTGCCCGCATATTGTCATATAACAAAGTGTTTTTTGTACTCTACCTTGGGAAAACAAAACTCGCTATTTCTCTCCATAGGCTCCATTATTCCTGATTAGTCTAATGATTATAGCCCTTTCGGCGGTTGATACCAGAAACAGAAAATTATAAAAGTTGCTGCAGATTGAAGACACATTGCTCAGTCAATGCATGTTCATGTTTATTTCTTTTATAAATATGACAATTGTTATGAAACCACCAGACAACAAAACAAAATCAGTTAACATGGAAATTAACAATAACAATGCACATTTATAACAACGTGCTGTATTTCAGTATTTCAGTTCAATGTTCCAGCAATTTGCATGACACGCAAGCCATCTCTTGCTTCATTTCATAGCATCTTCATCCTGAAAAATAAAAATGGAGATCTCATCAAGTTTTTCTGTACTCTATATACTATTGACAATTTGGGCAAATTAAATCATAGGTAGCCCAACACTCGGTGTCCGGGCGCGTACACGCTACTCAGTGATTAGCATATATTAATTTATCCTAAGGTTGGCAACTTTATCACAATTATCAATAATATATCACATACATACATGTCAAACTTCGATAAAAACTGAAAAACTACCACAAAATACTGCAAAACTAATAAATATAAATGAACTTGGATATATTTTCTAAATTCCGACATAATTTTTAGCTTAAAAATGTATTGGGAAATACGAAAATTTGTTCATTTAAAATAAAGTTTTTGAAAATACATTGTCGAAATTTTCTGGTCGATATAGGCGGGATCCAATTTACTCTACATTACGTCACCTTTGGAGATATCCGGAGTCAATCCTATTAGCTGCTCTCTCATGGAGAAATCTTCGGAAATTTTCCGACTTTTCAGCAGCCAATAGGATAAATAGGATTGACTCGGGATCGTCTCCGAAGGTGACGTAATGTAGAGTAAATTGGATCCCGCCTATCGACAAAAAATTTCGACAATGTATTTTCAAAAACTTTATTTTAAATGAACAAATTTTCGTATTTCCCAATACATTTTGAAGCTAAAAACTATGTCGGAATTTAATATATCCAAGTTCATTTATATTTATTACTTTTGCAGTATTTTGTGGTAGTTTTTCAGTTTTTATCGAAGTTTGACATGTATGTATGTGATATATTATTGATAATTGGTGATAAAGTTGCCAACCTTAGGATAAATTTATATATGCTAATCACTGAGTAGCGTGTACGCGCGCGGACCACGAGTGTTGGGCTACATATGATTAAATGTAGATTGATTTACAAGGTGCAAGAAGCTAGAAAACGATTATAAGCCACTTACCTGCAGAGGTTGAAATCTTACACTGTTTGCAGCAAAGATCTTATATTACTTTGTATCAGCACCCACTCAGCATTTTTATCAGTTAGAGCATGTTAATTGATTATGGGACAAATAGTATAGTGACCAGTAGACTCACTGAAAACAAAGTAAAATCGTCGCCCTGGGGCTGCACCCACCTCTTGTTCAACGAAGCAGCAAAACGTTTCCGCTTTTTAATTTCTTCACATTCGTTATTTTTGCAAGAGGCCAACTGGTAATGTGTTCAACTGTTCATTTGAAGAGACTCTTAAGACTTCACCGCGAATATATATCACGAATACGAACACGATCGTGCACAAAGCTACATAATTTTACACACCTGACTATTTCAGTCGAAAATAGGTGTACATATACGTCAGTATTATATGTAAACAAATAACTCTCAATTTTACAGGAACGGGTGAATATGGCAGCAAAAAAACTATAAACAACTCAAACAAGAGAAACCTTATCGGGTTTTTTGTGTTCTGTTCGACAAAAACAGCCTTTGAAGTACGCTACACAAATACAACTTCAGTATGTGCCTGCGGGGAGGCCAACATAACGTTTGTTCGCTGCAAGGAAAAATTAAATTTGAATTTCACCGTCCACATATCTGTTAAAAAACATTCAAATCATAGAACAGATTGCCTTTTTCGCTTTGTTTACAAAGACGACATCCGGTCGCCGAGAGAATATTTCAAAATTAATGGAGAAAATACTTCAAGACCCTATATCGATGAGTTAACTTCTTTTATTGCAACACCTGTTCATTACTCCGCCTTTCATATGGAAGTTTCAAGCATCACAAAATCAATTTTCACCATTTCTAATACGTCTCTGATTGGTTCGTTACTGACAAATACGACGATTTTTATTAAAGCAAGGTGGGTAAATAAACGTATTTGTTTATAAGAAGCAGATGGTATACGATATGGAAGGAAGATGACTGATATACTAAAAAGCATTTTAGATTTTAGATAAGTGTCTACTTAAAGACAACCGCATTCTTTTTAGATTTGTTTAATAGATAGAAGTTGCTTTAATTTCAAATTTTGTTTCGTGCTTTATATAATTCCATTATAACAGGGCAGCCATCTTTCACTGCGTATGCATGGTAATCAATGTCTTGAATTTCTGGTGTTCTAAACAATTCAAGTTAATCTTGAAGCAACATCGCCTAAGGCTCAGTATTTAAATCACAGCTTAATTTAGCACAAAAGCATTCGATAAAAACTGATCTAAATCAGAATATGTTTTTGAAAACTAATGTGATTTCAAGTTGGAGCTGTATGTAACAAATTATTCATCTTCACCCTACATGGTTCCGCGACTACCCTCGATCCGTTACTGCACAATTGATTAAATCACAGTTTTAAAAGTTTAGGGAGAAGGGTATTTTGGGATCGTGTATGACGAAGCAAATGGAAATTTAAATTTTTTTTTCGGCTGGCTGGAATCGCGAAATTTTTTTCTAGGTTGGTCAGATGTGGTAAAACAACTGCCTAAAATAGACAAAAACACTTCTAGACATTTCGCCGGACCTGAGGGCTTTCATCAAGAGCTAGGGTCCTCGTTAATTCATACTAACTCAGTCTCCTGACGAAGGCCCTCAGGTCGAGACGTTGAGAGGTGTTTTTGTCTATTTTAGTTAGTTGTTTTAGCGCATTTGATGCTAAGTTGTTTGAAGACCCTGCCAGGCTGCTCCCTGGACCTTGGTTTATTAGTTTATGCTAAGTACACTGGCCGTTGTTTTATAAAATGGGCAGGCCTTGAATTCATTTTAGCGAAATCGACAGTAACCTTGCATTGACGCATCAAAGAATCAAATTCAAAATGAAAAATCGTTTACAAACGTCATTCTTTTTTATTGATTTGAATTTTTTTCCATCCAATGAATGCCTAATATTGTTTTTCTGATTTTAGAAATGTCTCGTTGGATGCAAGTTATCGAAGTTCAATTCTCTTTGGTACTAAAAATGCAGCACTTAAACTTTCTCTTATTCGGACTTCGGGTTCACTTACCCGGCGATTGTCTGTCAACCCTTCTATGCTCCTGAGTTCAGTTACTGTTACCCCTTCTCTGGAAAAAACCCCGCAAACTCTAAAAACGTCCATATTTGTGAAAAGCTCACCAACTTCTCGTCAAAATTATTCCAACCGCTCAACTTCCCCCGACGAAGGTAAAGTCTATAGTCCAAGGGCCGGTTTTACAAAAGCTGGATAGTGCTATCCATCGGCGGATATTAATTTTTTCAATCACTCTATAACTTATCGTTGTTCGGCATAGCCTTAAATAAACCTTTTTATTATATGGCGCGCGCTGATTGGTTCTTTGCCGGTCTGGAATCCCCCAGTATTAGACCGTTGCCGTAGTAACGGTCCAACTCTCATATTTTTTAACAAAAACAAGTTTGCACTTTTATTTTTGACACGAAAAATATCGACGGAGAATGAACGAAGAAGAGCATTATTTGGTACATGTGAATATTATATTTATTCATCTTTGATTTTTGTTTATATTACTGTATCATTCTTATTTAACGAGTAAAAATCAAAAGTTTTGGAAGCCACTTCAGTGCTTGCTTGGCGACTGGCCGGCATAAATGCTGCAGCGCATTGTATAAATAAATAAACTAAATACTGTATGCCATATAATAAATCCCTTATTAACCGAATACGTTCGGTCCGTACTGGAAATTTATCAGACCTCGGTTTAGGTAAACCCTTCAAAGAGGCCTAGGACTAGGCAGCGCACTTCCCATGCGCTGAATGCATTAAAACAGAATAAATGATGCGGCATTTTTAAACTTATTTCTATTGTCTGCAAAGTGCGACGTCTCACTTGAAAAAATATTCTTTTTGTGGTTCACTGCATTTTTAAGAACACGTACGAACGACTAGTGAAAAATTCGAAATTAAAGGATTGTTTTCTACGACGGCCGTCAACTTTTCTAACATTTATCTTCTTTCTCTCACAGGCAAAAAAGATAAATGCAACAATACATTCTACACAGTCAGTAAATTTATCGAAAAGAGTAATAAAAGAGAATTGTTTCTTGGTTTCTTCTTAAACTGCAGACAAACAGCAGTTTTCGAAGTGTATGCGAATGGAACATCGTGTGTGCGTGATCGATCCAGCTTAAAGTTCTTCGCTTGCCAAAAAAAATTGCCTTTTAACATGAATATAACTGTTTGCACAGGAGAACAGAGATGGCCTCGAAAGCGTTTTTGTAATTTTTATCTTGTTTTCGAGGATCCTTTAATATCTTCCGTAATAACTTTGCCAGAGTGGAGTGTACCCGCTGCTAAGCCTATTTCTAACTCTATACAACCGCGCATTACAAGTACAGATTCTGTGATAGATGTAGCGTCTTCTGTTGATCAGCTGTCTATCATGTCTTCAAGCGTGGTTGCATTTAAAAATTCGTCAGAAGAGTCGATTCCAGTAAGGTTGGTAAAAGCTTTGGCAACAGGCTTATAGCTCAGAGGGCCTACCCCCCTGTTTAAAAATATAATTTACTCATTATGCCTCTACCGCAGTGCACCAAAAAAGCAACACCTTGGCAACCCCCCCCCCCTAGAAGTGGAGACCCAGCTACGGGTCTGTTAGGAAAATTTTACGGGGCTAATTTGACGGCGCGTAAAATATTGTTATTACGAATTTCATTCATATACTCATGACGGAAAGGTATAGTTTGGTTAATGCTATAGTGTATTAGTATATATATAAGATATACAAATATTAATGAGTCTAAAAAAACTAGGCTTGGTGGATAATAACTTTAGTATATTAACTGTTACAGCAAATATTTTGGCAGGCGTTGTCTTAGAAGTAACCATTTCATGTATCAACATGGAAACCACTTGCAAATTACTAAGAAAGTATATGCAATTTGCATATATTATGCAAATTACTAAGAAAGTATAGATGTACCTAATTTCCCTTGTCAAGCATTACATGGCAACGCGAAAAGTGAACGGACACCATACAAGGGTACTAATTCCTTTTAGAGACTTATTACACCTGGGTAATTTGACAGAACATATAGCCAAATTCAAGTTATATCTATCCAAACTCTATGCCATACAACCAAGCCAAAAAGTGCGTATTTCAAAAATAACGTTAGCAATTTAACTTCCATCTTTTTCAAACCACTTAACAGGAATTTTTTGTAAGTTTTAGTCGAAATGGAAACAACACGCGATCATGATTTTAAGCATACAGCTTAATTTACTTGCATACGAACTTGGTATATCGTTTTGCAAAGACATTAACGACTAAGAAAGACTATAACACCATCGCTTCCATCGCTTCAATTTCAAAAAAAGAGTTGAAATAATGTAATTGGAGTTTTGATGCAACAAATATAAATTTAAAGCTTTTAGATTCGACTACAATTACTGCAAATATATTCAAAAAAACATTCGACGCTTTCGTCCTTGACGATTTTGTGTAACTAGAGTTTTCATGTTTTGAAGGTTGAACTGAGTTTTAATCCTTCATTAAGCTGCGAGTGTAACTGAGAGTGCCATAAATTGTCTGCTTAAAATTATATAGCAGTGGAAAAACGGGTGCGTGTGATCACTTCACTGTTATGATTATAATTATTTGTTGATATTTCCTGAAATTATATACTATACAAATATAGTCATAATTCTTGTTATTCCAGTCATTTTGAACATGTATATAGATAAACTTAGGTCTTGTTAGCTCAGTATATTATTTGCTCCGTTTCAAATGGCGAGGGGTTGCTGCATATGCATGCAAAATCTACACTTTTTATGCAAGATTTCTAATTTCACTCCAATAAATTTTTAAATTTTAGATTCACCTCGCCAAAACCAATATTGTCGGAAAGATTTATCCAGTCAAACACTGGAAGAGTGCTCACGTCAGCAACTTCCACACCGCTACTAAAAACTTCACGTCCTATTGAAGCGAGTCCAATTATTTTGGTAACCCAGGATTCAAACTCAGTTACGGTTAGTCTTGGCATCTCGCCATCGTTAATGAAAAACAGCGCGATTCAAGACACCACCTCAAGTCCTTTAATACAAGCTACGCCAAGTATATCTAGCGTAGTTTCTACAACCACATTGTCTCCTGATAAAGAAGAGGAGAAAAAACTGAAAAAAGGTATATACACAGCAAAAAATAATTTTCTTATCGAGAAAATATATCTTATCTTAAGAATTTTTTTCTTATGCAATGAAAATTTTTCTTAAACTGAGAATTTTTTTTCTAACTCTAGGATATGAAATCTCGTTTAGAAAATAATTTATTAAAATAAGTAGTCTGCCCACAGATTTACAGATTTTAACACAAGAAATTATATTCTTATGAATTAGAATTTTTTTTCTCAAACTGAGAAAAGAATTTCTTGATATAAGAAAGATTATCTTAATTAACTTCTCAATATGAGAAAATTAATCTTGAGCAATATCCCAAATATTTCTTAAAATAGGAAAGCTTGCCTTATTTCATTCTCGTTTCAAGAGAATAATTTTTTGGAATAAAAAGATAATAAAACAAGAGCTAAATGGGGTATACGTAGTAAAAAATACTGTAAAATAGGTTATTATTATTTACAATGAACAAATATTTCCGCCTCCCTTCATAAATAATATATCTTGCAATATAACAATATAGAAGCTGTTATACTAAAAGTAAGATTTACAATGCAAAAGTCAAAGATTGATATTTTGAATTTTGATTATCATGGAAAGGAGCATTGATTGCAACACAACATAACGTTGTGTGCGCGACATATCCACTCAGTGGACATATCGCGCGTGATCACGCGGTTCCACGAAAGAGTGCTAAAGGCGTTGTGGGTAAGAAGCGTGTCCTTTTCAAATTTTCTTCGCTGTTGTGTAACGACTAACGCGTCTTCACTGATGCTGATATTTTATCGATTTTTTTTAATTCATACGTTTTAATATGGATCAAGAAACGACAAGTTTGCTCAAACAAATCGCTAGCGTGGTCAAAGAATTCATTCATTCATTCAAACTTGAATAGAATGCGAGCAGATATTGGAAGGTATTAATTTTGTTGAGTATTGATACAATTTAGTAGTAAACGGAACATACTCTAAATTTGTTACGAACTAAACTCAAAATTCTGCTACTGGTAAAATAATTCTAAGTCCCATTTTACGAATAGTAAACATCGCACGCTTAAGACTGACTTATAATTAGCTTAATCGTATTTTAGTATAATAGTATGTTGTTATTTGCGTTTTTATACTCGGATGCTGTTACATGTTAATGTTTATTATCCAATATTTGTGCTCTGTGACCTGGGGTCTGGTATTTAGATTCCTCTCCCCCCCACATATTGCAATTGAAAAGTGGTACACCCTGGTAATATTTCAATTTTTTATAGCAACTGGCATTGTGAAAGATGAAGATCCACATGCAGGCTTTATGCTATGATCGCTCAAAGATGTCCTGTATTTCCTGAAAATGGAAAAAAAAACGTAAGACTATTTTAAAGTTGCATGTTTTTTACCATTGTAATGTTGACTAAAACTTTAATTATTTTTTATTTTACCTTGATTTTTAATGCATTATGAAACAAATACTTTTTCTCCCGTTGCATGGTATTAGACAAACTATATGATTATGGCCTAAATTTCAATAAATCTATATGTTGCCAGATTTTTACTAGTTAGATTTTTGGAAATATTAGTCTGAATGCACGTTTTTCTATCTCCTCTTTTAAGTAATCTGGTTCCCCAAAATTCCTCACCTGACACGAGTATTCAAGAACGGGTCTTATGCATGTAAAAAACACTTGAATTAAGGAGGACTCGCTCACTCCGCTTCGTTTAAGTACGCGGAGAAAGTAAAGTCTCTTTGATACCTTGGCCACGATATATTCAATATGTAAATTCCAATGAAGATCTGATGACAAGAGACTTTTTTCATGCACTAATGATTTCATGCATGAGTGATTGCTCGGGTGATTAAACTAACAATGGTGTTGTGAAAAAAGTTACTCAAGCTGCGAGTTAAACGGAAAAAAGCCCACGTTTACGCAGTTGCGCGGCTGACTTAATTTACATCAAAATTTCTGAAATTTCGATTCTTTGTAAACAAATACCCAAACGTTCAGCCCTTGAATTCAAATTGGATTTTAAACTTCTCATTCATGTTTGCACAAGCCATTCAAAATGATGCTTCCACAAACCGCTCTTCCATTTTTCGAGGTTAATTTTTCTGTTTGTTTTTAGTGTTAGAATGACCTGAAGATGGTAAAGTACCCATACTAGCACAAATCTATGAGATATTTTGATAAATTTATATTTTTCTAAACATTTCAAAATTGTCTACTTTTTTTTGATACACCCTGTATATTAACTTTATGTAGTTGCTGGTTATCGGTTAAGTCGGGAGCTATATGGGCATTTGTGGGTCCCGGATTGCTGATTATTTTGGTAAGAATCCTGTGTCAATTATTCTAGAACGAGATTGTATTATTCATTTTCTGTTTATTTCACTTCATTGCACACTATCTATATGTTTATCCTAATAGATTTGTTTCACGGCTTAGATCCTTAATTTTTCATTATATTTTTTTCTTCTTCCAACGCCCGTCCTTTCTTTTTTGTCGTTTAAATTAATCATTTAACTTTTTAACGGCGTTTGTTTTGTTCCACTTTTTCAGATTAACTTTATTATTCTTGTTGTTGTCATGAGAACGACCTGGGTAAGATTTGGTGATGACAAAGAATACGGCAAATTAACGTAAGAAATATAAATAATGCATTAATAGAAATACATTCATGCATGCACATCGAATCTTCTAGCCATTTCAAATAATTTCCTTAGGAAGCTAGAGCTATACAAGCTTATATATATATATATATTCTGAAATGACACAAGTTTCTATAGCCAATATCCACATCATTCGGTACAAGAGGAGTCAGTAAATCATGTCAAATCGTTCACGATTTGTCACTGAGATGGTTATTTATCAAAAAATCTTCCAGTTTGTTTTTTCGTGTCCAGAAATACGATTTCGAAAAATGTCGACCTGAATAAAAAGTATCATGATTTGCATTTAAAGGGTCAAAACATTTTCTGCTTGGTAAATCTGCCTTGTTTACAAAATTTAGGTCGGCAACAAAGACATTTGGCGCAGTCATTCCTATTTTGGGATCGAATAACCTGGATTTTTGGTGTCATGGCATTCAATGAATCCTCTATTGTATTCGATATTTATTCGCTATCACCAATTCTTTACAGGTATGAATCTTGTAAATGAATGTGTTTTTTCTAAAATATTGGCATTTCCGTCCTCGGTAAACCTAATAATTTAACGTCCCAAAAGAAGGACTTAAGTCACCGAGGAAGGAGACAACGTTTTCGTACCTTTATCCTAAAATACTATATTAAAATTTAATTGATGTTAAAATTAAACGAGAGATGTGATAATAATTATAAGGATAGTTTTAACCTACGTGCGCGATACGACTAAAATCCTAAAATACTATTAAAATTTACAGTAGGTGGTCAAAAAATAGTGGCCCCCCATAAATAGTAACATCTTCAGTTGTTAGTCATAATATAGGAAGAAGTCTCTAACAAATCATGTCTGATTGTGTATATTCAATCGGTTTAATATCTTTTTATTGAAAAATTGGGATTTCGAGAAATAGGATGTGCGAAAAATTACACGACACTAAAAGCCAAGATTGGTGCTTTGTAGCAAAGATTCATTGAAATAATAACTTTGCTGTATATATATTTAGCGCCCAATGTTGAACATTGTGTAATAATATTCATAAAGATAATTCATATAATTCAATACAAACTGGCCTAAAATACTCTAACTAATTTTTGACAATACGAGATGCAACGAATGTTCTCCAAACCCAGTCAGCTTAAGGGACACAGTATTTGCATCCAAATGTGTTTGGTTTAGACTTGTAGGTACAACTCTTCATTAGGTGGGTTTTGAGTACCATTTTCTGATTTTCATTACCATACAAACACCCAGAGTTCAGAGGGGATAATTTTATACACGAGTCAAATTCTATTACTTAGTTATTTAATTGTTCAAATTGTAGGTAGCGTTTAATTTACGAACAATTTGCTATGAATCAGACAGTTGTTTTGACAAGCAATTACATAATTTCCATGCACATCTGATTGAAAACCGTCATCTTGAATTTTTACGAAAAGTTCTGCAAATCTATTTTATCCTCTTAATCTGAAGTTTATAATCACAATTTTTATAAGCTGGCTCCTAATACTAAATAAATATGCTCAAACACACATAATATTTACTGGCGTACTTTCATTTATAATGCAAAGATACATGTGTGCCATATTTCTTTGGGGGCCACTTTTTTTGACCACCCCCTGTAGTTGTACTTTATCTCGACGTAGAACCCTCATTTTATAAATGCATGCGTACATATATAACCAATATACTCCGAAATTTTTTATTAGGAATGTACCACCCTGACTTATGTACTTTTGAAATCAATCAATCATTCATGCAATGGAAATTTTACCGTGTTAGGTGCGGCAAGAGCTTCGACGAAAGCTAACGGTATGGCAGACTCGTCGTGAGTTCTCTTCATCCTCGGGAGGCAGTCGCCGTACGCATGTGATCTTTTCGGAAAAAAACACGACGTTTATAATCTCACTACAGCTTCGATGCAGGCCACGGCGGACCTTTACCGGCGTCCCATGGAAGTAATTGAAGACGTACCACCCCAGGGGAGGGTAGACAGGGGCGTAGCGAAGGGGGGCAAAGGGGGGCGGTCGCCCCCCCCAATGGTTTTTAAAACCGTTCTCATGAAATGTTTAAATCCAGTGGAATATGAGGAAGGGGGATCAAGTTAGGTAAGCAACGAGTAATCAGTAAATCTAAAGAGATTTTCACGTGTATTGTTCGTTGATCTAATGTAATAATGACAGACTGATTTTGTGATTTGTGACCTTACGATTACTTTTAAAAGCTTGTATCAGAATGCGGAATTGGCGTTTCCAAGCATTAGAAATCCCAAATTTTCCCGGGGGAGCCCCCCTGATAGTTTGTGGCTTCCCCACTCACTGGTCGCCCCCCCAAATTTTCTACCCTGGCTACGCCACTGAAGGTAGATCTCGGATATTCTTCTGAAGATGACGATAAAACAAAAGAGAAAGAATTTGAATTAGGTAGGGAAGAATGGAGTGTTGGCGAGAAAGGTGAAAGTTAAACCAGGAACCGGGGCTAAGCATTTTATCGAATTGAAAAAAAGGACTTGCATGGCGGTGGGATAATCAGCGTTAACGTTACTTGCCCATAGATTGGTCGACAAGTAGAGGTACACAATAAGTCAGGTTTTTGTTAAGTTTCTGTCATGTATATAGTTAATTAATTGTCTCTCTATTGACAAAGTAATTCTAATCTGGTTTTCATCCTAAGCACTCATATAAACTAGCTATATAAACTATAAACTATCGTCTTTTGCTAAGTAAAAGGAATAAGATATTTGGAGTTTTTGGCATATAAATAAAGTGGTTTGAGTCATATTTGCCTATCAGAGTACAGCAACGCAATGGGGAAATAGGAATTTTTTAATTATAAATTATTACATGCATGCGGAGTGCCCAAGGATTATATACAGGAGCCCCTCTTTTTCTTTTATATATTAATGATTTGCCTGAATGTTGGAAATCTCCATGCAGCCATGTATGCGGATGATACCAAAATCTTTTCATCTTTTTACGATGCAAATGAACTTGTTATTAGGATATATTCGGATCTTACCAATGTATGTAACTGACTCAAAGAAGATAGGTTGCAAATGCATCACATGCATATATAGTTAATGCACGTATAATAATAATTTAATGTGCGAGGTACCCGTTGTGACTATAATACAAACCAGAGAGGTGCTGAAATCACCTAACGCTCGCCTGCACTGTTTGTCTAGAATAAGGCTAAACTCTGTATGAAAGGTATCTGTATGAAGCACAAATTACCGATCTTTTCATTACAAATTACAAGGCTAAAATCCGCGTTGGAAGTTTCAGATATTAGTTGTGACCTCAGAATTACTGGCCAAAACTGGCCGCGGAATTACATTAGTTTTATTTGTGACCAATATTTCTTCCGTTTCTCGCAATCCGCGCACGCGATATCAACTGGTAAGTTAACGGACCAGGCAAAAGTCCCTGCTTTAAGCCGGGCGCACACACAACGATTTTACGGTAGTTCATAGTTGGTCCATTCAGGTTTAGACATATAGGCAGCCCTTGCCCAGACATGTTTTCCTTCTCGCGGCGCTCGCGCCTCGCGCGTGTATAGATCGCCAGTCGCCACATTTTGATGAAAACATCCATCTAGACAATCTAGACAGGAATCGGCAGACTAAAATCTTCGTGTGTGCGCCTAGCTTTATGAAATAAACAAGATTGGATTTTTATATCTACACAAAAAAGGATTATGCATCAAACAACGAAAAAGTATGTACATAAATCTTATAGGTAGTTCAAAGGGTCCTGTCTACAATTTAACTGGCTTTAATAATATATTTGCATGTGTATCTACATAAATAATATGCAAATATATGTCACATGCGTTGCCATTTGCCTTTGCATTCCGAGCCTATTGGCTTTCTACTTTTAATACTTATGTGCTAAAGCTTGTAATTGCGAATTATCTGACAATTTTCTTTAAACTTTAACGTTGGACTATGTTTTATATATATTCACTCCCGAATGATTTCTATATTTAATAAGCGATTGAATTTTGATACGGCATGTCACAACACAATCTCATAATTTATAATTGTACATGTACAATACAAACAAATGGTAGCATACAGGTGAAAATATTTGAAAGTTTCTCATTTGGCTTAGGGTTGTACAAATACTTTCGTTAAATATGATTCAGCTACAACTTTGAACTAAAAAAAAAAACAGGGCTACACAATAGCCCTGAAAATTGTAATGAGCGTGATAACTCTGGATAACTCTAACATTAACCTTATCATGATGCTAATAAGCTTAACATTTGCCTTATCATTTGATAATTTTGAGCAAAGCTCTCTTTATTATTGTATAAATGTGTACCAAATGGCACTGAATAGTCACAATGCATATCGATGACTTATATTTATGATGATTCCTCTGATGTAAAGCCATAATATTTAAAAAATATAGCATCTTAACATTGACCTTATCATTATGCTAATTAGCTTAACATTCACCTTATCATTTGATAATTTTGAACAAAATTCCCATTATTTTTGTGTAAATGTGTACTAAATGTCACCATATAGTCACAAGACATATCGATGAGCTATATTTATGATGAATCTTCTGATGCAAAGCCATAATATTTAAAAAATATAGCATCTTAACATTGACCTTATCATTATGGTAATTAGCGTAACATTCACCTTATCATTTGATAATTTTGAGCAAAACTCTCTTTATTATTGTATAAATGTGTATCAAATGGCACTAAATAGTCACAATGCATATTGATGACTTATATTGATAATGATTCCTCTGATGTAAAGCCAAAGTATAGAAAAAATATAGCATTTTAACATTGACCTTATCATTATATTTTGTTGTATAATTTTCACTCCCCCCTGGTAAATGGTTCTTTTGCAACAAATAGACTCCTTAAGTAGATAAGTTGAAAATAATTGGAAAATAAAAGTGGCTTCTTAACATTCTACTTATCATGTAGTGTGGACGCGGACGGGGACGGTGACGGGGACGGGGACGCGGACGCCAAGACTATAGCAATAGCTCTCTTGCACTAAAGTGCAGGCGAGCTAAAAACTAATATGACCAATTGCTACACAAATGTGTTTAGGAATTAAACTAGATGAAAATCATAACTGGGATAGTCATATCGAGATGATATGTAAGAAGGCAAGTGAAGGTTTGGCGTTATAAAACATACACAGCTCTTTGTTATAATACCTAAGACAACATTATAGTAATCTTCCTAGGCCGAAACGCGAATATCTTAAAAGGTAGATATAGCGGCGCTATCCCAAATTAACGAAGAAAAATTAGTCGTTTCGTTTCCAAAGCAATTTTTGAATTTGGTTGAATAATGACACGCTTCCTATATACCTACATCTATGTAATTTGTATATGTGTGTAAACTGTCTAGTATTGTAATCTTAATTGTTTTTAACATTTAACCTCTCCCATGGAAGTAATAAATTGGTTTTAAATAAAGTACTACAGATATACCTACCTACCTGCCTATCTACCTACCTGCCATGCAGGAACCTTATATACCCGCAAAAAACTGGCAAAGAGTAAAACATGCTACGTGACGTCTGTAAAGATGTACAAGGTCCTTAAAAACTTTATTATTGGTTCTGTGCATAGCGATTGGCCGCGAATAGACTATTTTAATTTGCAAAAGACAGATTATCCAGAAATTTTGTTTTCTAAATTTTAATTCTCCCTTATATGTAAATGTAAAGGTAAATGTTCGCATACAAAATTGATCACGGGTGTACGTGGCCTATCTCTTGATGGTGAGGGTGGTCAGGCTAGTGACTTTCTGCATATATACAATCACAGGTTAGCAAGTTCATTGACTCAAACTTCTGCAAATACACAAAACTCTAAACAACGTAACTTCATTTTAACATATCCAGGATCGTTTCTCGTTAATCTTTCCAACCGTCTAGGCACCGTCTAGGTTATACCAAAGGACGCCTTTTATATTAATTGATTTCGTTGATTATCAGTGAAATGCCTTTTATCGTCCACGTGATAAAGCACAGGTATCCGTTAAAAATAAATTCAGCCACCTAGTTACACGCAGGTGGTGAATATTGGAAGTTGGCAGTTACCCAATCGGAAGTCGCAGAAAAGCAACCACTATATTTTTTTACTGCATTATATTGCAAATGAATATAGAAGCGCTGCGCGACCATTGACTCTCACAGATGGTGATCGTTTTTGCATTCACATTGGTCGGCATAATTGATGCGAAAAGTTAAAGCGAAAGTAAGCATGCAGTGCTAGGTGTTCATCACCAATTGAATTGGATTGGGAATATTTTGTTGCGAAATGGAAATTCAATATCACTTAATTGAAGTTCAAAGCAAGTAGATAAAGAGTATTGAGGAACCTTCACAGTGAAGTTTTCTAATCCTTATTCAAAGATGCATCTGTATAAATGCGATGTTTTTGCCGTGTCCTTAATAATCATTTCACTTCAGTTTTCTGTCAATTTTACTAGCGCTGAGTCTCTCGCTGAAGGTACGTAATCATAACTGTGGATGAACACGGACACCGTTCTCTAATGAGATTGGATTGTAAAATTATCTATTGTGAAAAAAATTTAACAATGTCTGTGAAGCATGCAGATGATATTGTAGATGTTACATTATTTTACTTTTAAAGTGTCTTTCCCTTTGTCATATTCTTTAAGAAATGTACTTACTGATTATTGCATTGCATGAAGCATTTCTCAATTATTCATTTAAGGCGGTTTTACATGCACTATAAACTATGCCACAACGTTTCTTGCAACCCGCAATGCAATTTTACAGGCATTCCCGAGGCATCTAAAGTTGTTAAATACGAAAATTTCTTGCGATCTGCAAACGTTTTCTTAGCATCTCGAACACTTTTTATACAAATTGACATCCCTCAAAGTTGCAAGGAAAATCGCACAGTGTAACGGGCAGCTTCAATAGTTCAGTGATGAATGCTTCATGCCCTATGCAATGATTATGAAGTTGGGCACAATGTTAGTGCAGAATTATCAAGCCTAAATAAAAGCGGAGCAAGGGCTCGATAATTTATTATTCACTATTCAAACAAATTAATTTTATAAAAGACGCGGAAGAAGGCATTCTATATACTATGGTAAAAGAAACTTATGTTTCGTCATTTCATAATAAACTAATTTTAAACCAGAACATTTAACAAAAAGATAAACAAGGGATGTTTTCTTTTGAGTTTATGAGCGGTCAAGTTGAACTAATTTATTTATAGCGTTAAAATTCGAAAGTAACACCCACCGGCACCGGTACTGTTTTACAGTCGTAATCCGAATACAATTGTAATTTGCATTTTAAATAATGCCTTGGTATTCGGGATAAAGACGAAATTTCCGTTTCGAAAGGGCAAGAAGTTGTATATAATGTCGTTCACATTCGTATTGGATAGATCAGTCTGAGCGAATTCATCGACCGGTGCGATACACATCAAAGACTGAAAATGTCAAGGAGCCTTTAACGTTACAACAAGTTTCTCAGTTGTTCAAAGATGTGTTTGAATGGACGTGACATTGCCACTATATTCCTAATCATTGCTTCACTCCAAATTTCTGTCGATTTCACTAGGGCAGGCAATCAAGGTATGTAATAAACGTTGTTTCAAGCCTGATCGGCAACTAAATATCTGATCACTGGATTATTGCAAAATGAAGTTCAATTATTGAACATTTTATTTATTATTATTATATTTGTGCATGACTGAAGAAGTACTTAATTTGCAATGGATTATGCACGTGAGTCGACTGATGCTCTATAGTCTATAGGACCGGCTATTGTAGATGCCTATAAAAGACGATATATTTATAGAGCAGTATTAGGACCTCGCAAAATATAAACTATATTAAGGATCATAAGTTACTTGATGGTAGCGGTATATTATCATAAGGAAGTTGTAATTATAATTAGTATTATATACCCACGGCGGTTTTAATGCCCGATAAATTCATGCTGTTATTCTTTATTTATGCAGCGAGTTATTTTTACTCCTATAAATGACCCTAATAAGTTATTACAGCATAGGTCTGAGTGATTGATTTGAAGGTATGCACGTTATAGACCACTTTTAAAATTAATGTAAATTGTTGAAATATACAGATAAGGTCGAGGAATTATCCTATGGGAATTTACCGATTGTTTCGGAAAATAGTGACCCTAACCGGATTTTTGGAGCATAAAATCATGTTTTCTACTATTGGGTTAAAAAGGAAATTAACGGCACTCGTCACATTCATGATTACGCCTTCAAGGGTTGAAAATGTGTTGCGTGAATGGAAACGGCCTAGCACAAGACAGACGAGTAGGCGTGCGTCTGTGCATATTATTAGGTAAACTATGAGGAAATGAAAACAGCAGGATATTATAGGGCGCGGACTTTCAGAACACAGGTGCAATAAGACTGCGCATGCGCTTGATTGTCGAAAACAAGATAGCGGCAGTGAAGAAAGTTAAATTAAAGCGGATCTGTCACCAAAAATAAAACTGTTTCGGGGCTTTTTAACATTATATTCTACATCATATACTGTATAATACTGTATAGAGAGAAAAATGAACGAAATAACCCATAACCCGCGTGATTGATATTTATATATTTGTATATATATATTGACATGGACAACCTTAATGACATATATATATATATATATATATATATATATATATATATATATATATATATATATATATATTATATATATATAATATATATATATAATAATATAATATATAATATAATAATATATATATATATATATATATAGGAAAAGTATATAGGCACCAAACAAAACGATGCAGCCCCCAGTAGAAGGATCCACCATCAGGATACAATTTCCGCTTCTTAACTTATTAGAAGATAGGAATATAGGTATAATAAAAAGCAGACAACTTCTCACTGCTCCATTTATTTATTTAAGACGTTTCGGACTTCATCCTTCTTCAGTAAAATTATAGGAGTGACAACTATATCTACAAGAGAGGCCACTATTTATAGATAGGAATCCTAATAAATTTAAATAATAACAAACATGCATAATTACTTATTATATCTAATCCGCCGTTTAGAGCGGTATTCACACCTTTTATTAAGTCCATTAGGTATCAAAGTGCAAAGCTGAGCGGCCCAATAAGCCTCCCTAATTAAAAGCGTATCCTCATTACTGTTCCTAACTTGTTCAATAATAATAAATTCGAAATCACTTACGTTATGAGGTGCATTGTTAAAATGTATGGCAACCTCGCACGTGTTTTTGCCGGTTTTCATGGCTGACTTGTGATTCCGAAATCTAACTTTAAATTCCGTTGAAGTGGAACCTACGTACTGAAGTTGGCATTTCTTGCAAGAAGCTAGATAGATAACAACTATATAGATAGATAGATAGATAGATAGTAGAGGTACAACTCAGGGCTTGCTTAATTCTATAAAATCGCCCTGCGGCAAAGCTGCGAAATCTATTTCCTTCTGCAAGAAAATTAGCACATAGATCACACCTCCTGTTACATTTATAGCAACCCACGTTATTATGCAAGGCCTCAGCAGCATTAGAACCACCTTTAAGTCTAGATGGAGCTAGCATATCCTTCAAATTCTTCGTTCTCTTAAATGCTGGAAGAATTGAGCCCTCAGGAAATAGATCTTTTACTTTATCAGACAAGTAAATAAGATGTGAATGAGTCCGAATAATATTGCCAACGTTGGGCAACCTGGGGTTATATTCCAGCACCAAAGGGAACGTTTTCTTCTTAATTTTACATTTGGTCGGCTTAAGAACTTCCAATCTATCTCTCTTCATGGCTTTATCAAATTGCTCGTCAACCAGCTTAGGATCATATTTTTGCTGTTTAAGATAAGTTTTACATTGCGAGCATGCCTTCTCTGTGAATTCCTTAGTGGAACAATTACGTTTCACCCTCAACGCAACCCCATAAGGTATAGCTTTTTTGCAATGATATGGGTGCGAGCTGTTAAAAGGTAAATATCTATGACTATCGGTAGGTTTGGAATAAATGTCAGTGACAATATACCCATTTTGGAGGTGTAGCGTAAGATCCAAAACATTAAGAAATTCCTTAGAATAAACTAACTCAAATTTAATGGTAGGATATAGAGAATTTATATATTCCGTAAATTCAAAAAGCCTTGCCTCTCCCTGAGTCCATAAATCAAAAACATCAGGTTTGGGTTCAAGGTTGGTGGCCCATACAGCGATCTCTTGACTTATCTCGCCTTCATCGAACCATTTCTCAGCCCAAGTTTTGACTTTGTTAAGATGTTCCCAAGTTTTGACTTTGTTAAGATGTTCTATGTTATATATATATATAGCTGATATTGTGAATTTATTCAGTTACTCGGTTCAAAATAAAGCTAGGATTACTAAATTTTGAGTTTTATAGAATAGAATTAAACAATCGAAAAAAAACTGTCCGGTCATTAAACCGTGATTAAACGTCTAGCCGATAGCTATTAAACTGTTTATGAAAACGTATTTAAACATTTTTTGGTGCACGCTATTCTTATGTCCAGGTTTTTATAATATACATCATGTTGTGGAGTAATTATTTTGTAATTTGCCCAAAATTCTCCCTTTTTTTGTCCTGGCAATAAAAAAGAGTTTTGTAAACCTTTTCACTGACGCCAAATTGTTTTCGACAATCCCGCGCAGTGCACCAGCGGTTGTATGAGTAAATAAATAAATTTTAGTAAATAACAATTAAGTAAATAATAATTATCTTTTTTTCTCACACCTTCTACAGATAGAACAAAAACACTGAAGTTAAATTCTGAGATTTCTGAGAAGACCAATTCAAGTCGACCGAGGTGAGTACGGTACTTTATGATGTAACAAAGCGTTGACTTTACCGCACATCGTGGATATTATATCTCTGCATGAGAATAGATCCAAAATCAAAATGAAACTGAGTGCGCATCCTCCTTGGCAAGTGTTGGATCATGCGCGCAGTCAATTAACACTTAGGTGGAAAGAGAACATGCCACATTAGCGTGGAGGCAATAGCATACATAAAACCCACACAAGTCTACCTGAAGTGTAGCGTTCTTTAAACTAAACATACAATTTCAAAACTCGATTTAAAAAAAAATAATCATAATGCAACATGAGGTGATGTGTAGAAATTATTATGTCTGTTCTAGGTTCGCCATGCAAGGTTCGATCTCCCTTAATACTGAAAACGTAACAGCAACGCCTAATTTACCAACATTTCAGTCTTCCGCGTTGTTGTCAACGTCGGTTACGTTCATCAACTCATCAACAAATTGCTCAACACGAGGTACGATAAGTTTCCTCTTTAAGTAATCGCCTTCATATTGAACATATTAGCACATGCAATCCTGATTAAAACTATACCACTTGTCAAAGAAAACTAAACTACAAGGTAAACAACGAAATATCTATTCATAAAAGACATAATTTCAGACGTCATTAAAGTTGTTATTTCCCATGGGAAATAACGCGTCAGTCTCCCTCTGCAGGAGGCCGCGCGGGAGACATCAAAATTTCGTCACTCTCGCGTGATTCGCTCTCGAACAATGAAACGCTACGAACACCAAACTTTGACAAGTTTATATAATAATGAATAGAATAATATTCATCCCTTCATAGTCTCCATTATTCCTGATTAGTCTAATGAGTAATGATTATAGCCCTCTCGGAGGTTGATACCAGCAACAGAAAATTATAAAAGTGGGTGCAGATGGAAGACACACTTAGTTTAGTTAATAAATAAGTAAATAATAATATTTTTCTCACACCTCCTACAGCTACGACATCCGTGCCTCAGATTTCTAAGACCAATTCAAGTCGATTGAGGTAGGTACGCGGTACTTTACGATGTAACAAAGTGTTGACTTCACCGAAAATCGTGGATATTATATCTCTGCATGAGAATAGATCAAAAATCAAAATGAAACTGAGTGCGCGTTCTCCTTGTCAAGTGTTGAAAATTGGATCATGCGTGCAGCCAATTAACACTTAGGTGGACAGAGAGCATGTCACATTAGCGTGGAGGCAATAGCATACATAAAAACCCGCACAAGTCTACCTGAAGTGCAGCGTTCTGTATAAACTAAACATACAATTTCAAAACTCGATTTTAAAAAAAATTATCATAATGCAACATGAGGTGATGTGTAGAAATTATTATGTCTATTTTAGGTCCGCCATGCAGGGTTCGATCTTCTTTAATACTGAAAACGTAACAGCAACGCCTAATTTAGCAACATTTCAGTCTTCCGCGTTGTTGTCAACGTCGGTTACGTTCACCAATTCATCAACAAATCACTCAACACGAGGTAGGATAAGTTTCTTCCTTAAGTAATCGCCTTCATATTGAACATATTTGCACATGCAATCCTTATTAAAACTATACCACTTGTCAAAGAAAATACAAACTACAAGGTAAACAACGAAAGATCTATTCATAAAAGGCATAATTTCAGACGCCATTAAAGTTTTTATTTCCCATGGGAAATAACACATCAGTCTCCCTCTGCGGGAGGCCGCGCGGGCGACATCAAAATTTCGTCACTCTCGCGTGTTTCGCTCTCGAACAATGAAACGCTGCGGACATAAAAATTTGACAAGTTGTATATAATAATGAATAATATTCACCCCTCATAAGCTGCATTATTCCTGATTCGTCTAATGATTATAGCCCTTTCCGAGGTTGATACCAGAAACAGAAAATTATAAAAGTGGCTTCAAATTGAAGACACATTGCTCAGTCAATGCATGCATGTTTATATTTATTTCTTTTATAAATATGACAATTGTTATAAAAACACCAGACAACAAAATAAAATCAGTTAACATGGTAATTAAGAATAACAATGCACATTTATAACAACGTGCTGTATTTCAGTATCTCAGTTCAATGTTCCAGCAATTTGCATGACATGTATTTTCAAGACATAACATTTATTTCATAGCATCTTCGTCCTGAAAAATAAAAATGGAGATCTCATCTAGTTTTTCTGCACTCTATATACTATTGACAATTAGGGTAAACTAAATGTAGATTGATTTACAAGGTGCAAGAAGCTAAAAAATTAATTATAAGCAACTATACCTGCAGAGGTTGAAATCTTACACTGTTTGCAGCAAAGATCTTATATTACTTTGTATCAGCAACCAGTAGCGTAGCCAGCCTGTCGATTTGTCCCGCTATGCTAATATTTTAGTGTTCACTGACTGTGAAAACAATAGATTTCTAAAGACATGAATAATTATAATAAATCGAAATTTACATAGCGGGACAAAATCGTCAGGCTGGCTACGCCACTGTCAGCAACCACTCAGCATTTTTATCAGTTAGAGCATGTTAATTGATTATGGGACAAATAGTATAGCGACCAGTAGACTCGCTGAAAACAAAGTAAAATCGTCGCCCTGGGGCTGCACCCACCTCTTGTTCAACGAAGCAGCAAAACGTTTCCGCTTTTTAATTTCTTCACATTCGTTATTTTTGCAAGACGCCAACTGGTAATGTGTTCAACTGTTCATTTGAAGAGACTCTTAAGACTTCACCGCGAATATATATCACGAATACGAACACGATCGTGCACAAAACTACATAATCTTACGCACCTAACTATTTCAGTCGAAAATAGGTGTACATACGTCAGTATTATATGTAAACAAATAACTCTCAATTTTATAGGAACGGGTGAATATGGCAGCAAAAAAACTATAAACAACTCAAACAAAAGAAACCTTATCGGGTTTTTTGTGTTCTGTTCGACAAAAACAGCCTTTGAAGTACGCTACAGAAATACAACTTCAGTATGTGCCTGCGGGGAGGCTAACATAACGTTTGTTCACTGCAAGGAAAAATTACCTTTGAATTTCACCGTCCACATATCTGTTAAAAACAATCCCAATCAGAGAACAGATTGCCTTTTTCGCTTTGTTTACAAAGACAACATCTGGTCGCCGAGAGAATATTTCAAAATCAATGGAGAAAATACTTCAAGACCCTATTGCGATGAGTTAACTTCTTTTACTGCAACACCTGTTAATTACTCCGCCTTTCATATGGAAGTTTCAAGCATCACAAAATCAATTTCCACCATTTCTAATACGTCTCTGATTGGTTCGTTACTGACAAATACGACGATTTCTATTAAAGCAAGGTGGGTAAATGAACGTATTTGTTTATAAGAAGATGGTATACGATATGGAAGGAAGATGACTGATATACTAAAAAGCATTTTAGATTTTAGATAAGTGTCTACTTAAAGACAACCACATTCTTTTTAAACTTGTTTAAGGAAGGGTTAAATTGAACTCGGCAACTGCAATATCTAAGATAGAAGTTGCTTTAATCCCAAATTTTGTCTCGTGCTTTATATAATTCCATTATAACAGGCAGCCATCTTTGACTGCGTATGCATGGTAATCAATGTCTTGATATTCTGGTGTTCTCTACAATTCAAGTTAATCTTGAAGCAACATCGCCTAAGGCTCAGTATTTAAATCACAGCTTAATTTAGCACAAAAGCATTCGATAAAAACTGATCTAAATCAGAATATGATTTTGAAAACTAATGTGATTTCAAGTTGGAGCTGTATGTAACAATTTATTCATCTTCACCCTACATACATGGTTCCGCGACAACCCTCGATCCGTTACTGCACAATTGATTAAATCATAGTTTTAAAAGTTTAGGGACTAGGGTATTTTGGAATCGTGTATGATGAAGCAAATGGAAATTTTAAATTTTTTTCGGCTGGCTGGAATCGCAAATTTTTTTCTAAGTTGGTCAGATGTGTAAAACAACTGCCTAAAATAGACAAAAACACTTCTCGACATTTCGCCGGACCTGAGGGCCTTCGTCGGGAGGACCTTCGTTAGTTCATAGTAACTCTCCTGACGAAGGCCCTCAGGTCGAGACGTCGAGACGTGTTTTTGTCTATTTTAGGCAGCTGTTTTACACATTTGATGCTAAGTTGATTGAAGACGCTGCCACGCTTCTCCCTGGACCTTGGTCATATTGGTTTATGCTAAGTACACTGTGCGTTGTTCTATGAAAATGGGCAGGCCTTGAATTCATTTTAGCGAAATCGACATAACCTTGCATTGACGCATCAGAGACTAAAACTCAAAATGAAAAATCATTTACAAACGTCATTCTTTTTTTATTTATTTGAACTTTGTCGTATTTTTTCACCCAATGAATGCCTAATATTGTTGTTCTGATTTCAGAAATGTCTCGTTGGACGCAAGTTATCGAAGTTCAATTCTCTCTGATACTGAAAATGCAGCACTTAACATTTCTCTTATTCGGACTTCGGGTTCACTTACCCGGCGATTGTCTGTCAACCTTTCTATGCTCCCGAGTTCAGTTACTGTTACACCTTCTCTGGAAAAAAAAACGCAAGCTGTAAAAACGTCCATATTTATGACAAGCTCACCAACTTGGCGTCAAAATTATTCCAACCAGTCAACGTCCCCAAATGAGGGTAAGCTTTATCGTCCAAATCGCGCGGCGGATATTGATTTTTTTCAATCACTCTAGTATAACTTATCGTTGTTAGGTATGGCTTTATATAAACACAGTTAATAGAATATATATGGTTTAGATCGAGACTACATAAAAATTCAATAAAACTATGTCGGGGAACATTTATGCAAAAAATAGTTCCTTATTCGTCACGTGTCTATTGTATTTTGATTAAATAAACCAATAGTAATTAAGGTGTGAATTAACATGTTGTTTAAGTCATGGTTGAGGAGCTAAGCCAAGCCATTGCTATTGGTTAGTTGGGCAAAAATACAATAGACGTATGTGACGGATAAGGAACCATTTTTTACAAAAACCAGGGGCCGGTTATATCAAGCCCATTTAGCTTAAACGGTGGATAAGTCAAATTTAAATAACACGCTTATATCTCTCTTAAATGAATCAACTTGATTATTGTGCACTGAATATGTACTTGTAAAAAGTATCTTTGTGTTAAGGTTAAAAACATTTAGTTTGCTTCTTGAATAAAACGATAGACTTGCTTTCTATTTTAAACTTAACCACCGTTTAAGCAAAACGGGCTTGATACAAACCGGCCCCTAGACAATAACATAGATAATGAGTTGTATTGTACTTCCATCTAGTCTCCAAACTATATATATTCTAATAACTGTGCTTTAAATAAACCTTTGTATTTGTAATGTGAGGTCGATATTTTTTCATAACCGTTAGCTCCAAATCTTTAGTTCTTCATTGCTTTTTAGGCATGCATGTTCACAAGGATTGAAAAAATCACTATCCAGTGCATGGGTATAGCGCTATTTAGCCTTCGTACAACCGATACCTGGTCAATCCATCTTGTAGCTAATCTTATTAAAAAATAGGGTTTAGGTAAACCCTTCAAACGTCGTACTTCCCATACGTTGAATGCATTAAAACAGAATAAATGATGTGGCATTTTAAAACTTATTTCTAATGTCAGCAAAGCGCGACGTATGTCTCACCTGAAAAAAAATTTTTCTGGTTCACTGCATTTTTAAGAACACGTACGAACGGCTAGTGAAAAATTCAAAATTACCAGGATTGTTTTCCAGGACGGTTGTCAACTTTGCTAACATTTATCTTCTTTCTCTCACAAACAGGCAAAAAAGATAAATGCAACGATGAGGAAGAATTCTATACAGTCAATAAATTTATCAAAAAGGAAAGGAAAAGAGAATTGTTTCTTGGTTTTTTCTTAAACTGCAGAGGGGAAGCAGTTTTCGAAGTATATTTGAATGGAACATTGTGTGCGTGTGATCAATCCAGCTTAAAGTTCTTCGGTTGCCAGAAAAAATTGCCTCTTCCCATGAATATAACTATTTTCATGAGCAAACAGACTGGTACCGGTTCTCGAAAGTTTCGAAATCGTTGCAATTTTTATCTTGTTTTTGAGAGTCCTCTAAAAACATATCCCGGAATAACCTTGCCAGCTAAAAATAACACGGGGTCGAGTGTACCCGCAGCTAAGTCTAAACCTAACTCAACTCAACCGCGCATCACAAGTACAGATTCTGTGATAAGTGCAGCGTATGATTCTGTGGATCAGCTGTTTATCAGGTCTTCAAGCGTGGTTGCACATAAAGATTTGTCAAAAGTGTTGAATCCAGTAAGGTTGGTAAAAGCTTTGGCAACAGTCTCAAAGCGGAGGGGGTCTGGAGGGAGTGCCCCGCCTGTTTGAAAATTAAATTTACATTATGCTGCCACGGGAGTGCACCAAAAAAGCAACACCTGTTTGGCCAATGTTATGGGGCTAATAGCGGGTACTAAAAATATTGTTATTACAAATTTCATGCATAAATTATACTCATGACAGAAAGGTATAGTTTGGTTAATGCTATGGTGTATTAGTATATATAAGATATACAAATATTAATAGTATAGAGTTATAAGTATAGAAAGTATAGATTATAAGTTATAGAAAAACTAGGCTGGGTGAATAATAACCTTAGTATATCAACTGTTACAGCAAATCTTTTGGCAGATGTTGTCTTGGAACTAACCATTGCATGCAGCTATCAACATGCAAGCGACCTAAATTTATCAATGATGGGATTTAAAAATTACCGTAATGTAGTTTACAACTGTTAAAAAAGCTAATAATTGCTATAATTATGCAAATTACTACGAATGTATAGATGTATATAATTTACCTTGTCAAGCATTACATGGCAACAAGGGAGGCGCGAGAAAGTGAAGCGAGCACCATGGAAGGGTACTAATTCCTGGTAGAAACATATTACACCTGCATGGGTAATTTGACAGAACATAACGCCAAATTCAACGTTATATCCAAATTCTATGTCATAACGAAGACAAAAGTTCGTCATGATCTCAAAGATAGCGTTAGCAATTTAACTTCATCTTTTCCAAACTACTTTATAGAATGTTTTGTAAGTTTTAATTAAAATTGAAAGGGAAAAGACACGGTCATAATTCTAAGCATGCAGCTTAACGTATTTGTTTATATAGGCTACGAACTTAATTATCATATCGTTATATTGCAAAGACATAACGACTATATGCAAGACTATAACACCATCGCTTCAACTTCAAAAAAGAGTTGAAATAATGTTTTTGGAGTTTTGATGGAACAAATATAACTTTAAAGCTTTTAGATTCGACTACAATTACTGCAAATATATAGTCAAAAAAACATCCGACGTTTCGTCCTTGAGTATTTTGTGTATAGCTAGCTATACAGTTTTCATGTTTTGAAGCTTGTAGTTTTAACCTTAATTAAGCTGCGAGTGTAACTGAGAGTGCCATATAAATTGTCTGTTTAAAATCATATAGCAGCGGAAAAACGGGTGTATGTGATCACTTCACTCTTATGATTATAATTATTTGTTGATATTTCCTGAAATTAGAGTACACAAATATAGTCATAATTCTTTTTATTCCTGTCATTTTGAACATGTCTATAGATAGACTTAGGTCTTGTTAGCTCAGTATATTATTTGCTCCGTTTCAAATGGCGAGGGGTTGCTGCATATGCATGCAAAATCTACACTTTTTTGTGCAAGATTTTCAATTTCGCTCCAATAAATTTTTAAATTTATAGATTCACCTCGCCAAAATCAATATTGTCGCAAAGATTAATCCCGTCAAACACTGGAATAGTAATCACGTCAGCAACTTCCACACCGCTACTAAAGACTTCACGTCCTATTGAAGCGAGTCCAATTATTTCGGTAACCCAGGATTCAAACTTAGTTACAGTTAGTCTTGGCATCTCGCCATCGTCAATGAAAAACAGCTCGATTCAAGAAACCGCCTCAAGTTCCTTTATACAAGCTACGCCAAGTACATCTACCGTGGTTTCTACAACCACATTGTCTCCTGATGAAAAAAAGGAGAAAAAACTGGAAGAAGGTAACTCTTATTTCGTATTTCAAATTTAAATACTTCAAAGCTTAAAGTGGGTTCATGCAAGTCCGTTCAGTGAATCAGTTCTGATCATAACAATGCGAGGTCCTCTGATCCGACAATTGCTCAAATCTCTCATATTTCGAATTTCTGAAGCTCAAAAGTATTGAAGCTCAAAATATGAACAAAGCATTTGTTTACGTGCGGACTTGACGTTCACTTTAGTCTTATAAGAACACCGTATCAATCTTACCTAAATTCGATTAGGCCTCATCTGCATGTGTGTTGACAGTTTAGACCAAAATTAATTCAAACTTCATATCCAAAACTTCCCTCAACAAATAAGACACTAAAATATTTTGCATGGTAAATTTTGGGGTGCCAGGCGTTCAATCCCCAAAATTTGGGCGTGATGGCCTGCACTATAAGAGCACTCTCAATGTGCGTAGAAGAATAAAAAAATGCCTAAAACGTTTTAGTTTAACCTTTTTCCGTCTAACATATTTTTCAATCAACTGGCGTAAATAAGCTTATGGTAATATGATTTTGCAGTTTCATTCGCTGATGGCGACTATATATATAGCTAGGTGCGCTTTCCGGCAGACCGGTCATATTTTAAATCGAAATAGAGTATTTCGTTAAAAATATAGCGGTGAAACTGTGTCTCCCAGATGTAAATAACGATATACCTGAACACTTGAAACACTCTAAAGCCCCGTTTACACTACACTCAATTTATCGGCACGGCACGGCTAAAATAGGTACCCGTGTTCAATTTTAATAGTGTTCAGGCTACCAAAACAAAGGCCGGGCACGAATGAAATGGGCACGGGTACTCATTTTAGCCGTGCCGTGCCGATAAATCGAGTCTAATGTAGACGGGGCTTAAAATACCATGCAGTAATCTGTCTGTACCGAAATACAACAGGACATGTCTGGCCGTTTTTTCCGTATAAAGGAAAACGCCCTATAGGATACCCTTTTAAGGTATGGGCCTTATACGCTATAGACTATATATTATCCTATATCTAGGAAGACCATACTAAGATTATATTAGCTATGACTGCAAAATTTTCTAAAATGTGGAAAATATAGCCATGCTAATTTTGTATATTTTTGTATTGCGTATGGGAATGTGTAACTACTTTAGTCACACATCAGTTTCCACGTTACATCCAAGCATGCGTAAAATTATAAATGCTGCAAATTAAAGAAACCTGTTCGTCCTACAAAAACGATAGAAAATACGGGCTTTAAAGATCTCGAGTGCGTTTGCAAAATCGTGCACAAAGTTTCTTCAAAGTTTGATAGCGTGTGCAGCACACCCATTTTTATTTAATGAACTGGATGAATGGGATGAAAACTGGATGGCAGCCTGTGATATATGGGTTTTCTCTTACAGATGTTGAATTTCTAGAGCGCTTAAATACGTCAACAGTGAATATCAGCGACGAAAAGACCATTGAGGTATAAAACTAAAAATGTGTATCAACTACATGTACTAAATGCATTTCTACAGAATTTAGATATACACTCGCCATGCAAGGTTGCATCCATAAATGGGTATAAATGGCCCTAAGTACGAAGAAATCGAAAAAGTTATTTCACCACATACCCCTCAGCGATAAGACTGAATAGGAAAAATTAGACTAGACATATTTTTTATGAAAATGCTTTATACATAGATATAGGCTATCAACAAGGCTGCCTAAATCTTTTCCATCAATCTAGCTTGTGTATACATACGAATTCTTTGTGTTCGGATTTTTCTGGAATAGAAGAGAGCATAGAAACAAGATAATTCTCTAACAGTTTTTAACGGATAAGTTCATATTCCATCCTAGTTGTTCACTATATGCCTATATAAATTACATTTTCATGACCTAAATATATTCGCTTACTCTATTTCCAGAGAGCGTTGGACGCTGCAGCTAATTTGATCAACACTAATCTAACGGGTCTAACAGATGATCCAAAGAAAGTAAGTAGTTAAAACGGTTTCAGTATTGTGTGGAAGCTTCAATTCATTATCATCCTTTTAGGATCCTGGAATGCAAGCAGTCAAAACGTTGCAAGATCTTGGGAGTACAATTTCTCGACAGCTTGATCTTGGAAATAAAACCTCCGTCACCTACCAGAAAGTCACTAAAGATCTGGGTAGGATAGTTAACATAAATGCATGGATTTTTGTTTTAACATATTTTCAAATTTCAAAAAGCATTCAGGTTTTATTGGAACCACAAAATTTTGACATACATGCACTCTAGATTGAGAGAATAAAATGCATTTGTGCATGGCACTCTCCATAAGAATTCAAGATGGCGGTTTTTAGGCGGATATATGCTTGGAAATTATGAAAAACTGTCACAGCTAACTCCATTTCTTTTAAACCATTTATACACATTTGGATTCAGATGTTGTCTTTCAGGAATGTTTTGGGAACGTTGCATAAAACACATTATAAAGACACATATTTAAAATGTCTAATATAATTGCTGCAATACTGAATAGATTGACGAAGTTGTAAGACCTCACTTTAATGGACAATCTTACCTTGACTAATCAATGCTATTTTCCATTTTGTTGCTGTTTTAATTTATATTTGAAGGAAATTTTTTCAATTTTTTCAATTATTACAGTTTTCGGTGTAGCAGTTATTAACGCAACGACAACTCCTGCATTTTCTTTTCCTTCTGGTGGAAGTAATATTTCAGACGAGAAGATAGACATTCCAAATTCTGTATTTGTTCCCGAATCAGGTAGCTACTTAAACTAAATGAGGAACTGGAAAAATTCATGGGTACAATTCGTCCGCAAATTATTAAATTGGAAAGTTTGTTTGCAAATCAACTGCTGAGAATATCGCAGACAATGCAAATATTACGATAGAAAAAACGCATTGCTAATGTTCGAAAAAGTGCGATGCTCTTTCCAACTGTGCTGGTTATAATAACCGTATAGTTTAAATTTAGTCTAATAGGGGAATGGTCAATATTTGGGTAGCTTTAAAATATCCCTGGTAAGCTCTTCTATTTGCTTGAATTAAGTCTAACTTGAAATGTAGTATTGTCAACTTTTAGTCAGCGTAAGTAAGTTGATAATTTTAAGTTTAATAATAACTTTTCGTTTGCAGGTAAATCATATTTTGTTGGTATAATCTTCAAAGCATATCGTGCGATGAGAAACAATACAGGAGATTTTATGATTGGCACAAAGGTTATAAATGCAGCTGTGTCACCTTCTCCAAATGATGTTCTCATAGATCCTGTCGAGATGACTTTTGAGAAAAGTAATGTAAGTAATGTCCTATATTTTGCTGTTCTTCGGACAGAATAACTTATACTGCAGCCGCAGGGATGTAACTTTAGCGGGCATCATCTTTTCTTTTTCAGCTATAATTTATGTCATGTATTTGTGTTGTATATTTCACGTATTATAAAATTTTTCTGCACAGATTGGTCAAACGATTGAACCAAAATGCTCATTCTTGTTAGAAAACAACTCGTGAGTACAACAGCAATTTCGCATGACGTACCTTTTCCCATTTTTGGCGCCAATCGAAGGCAATACAATTGATTTGCATTGTTCAAATTTCAGACTTTCCGGTGATTATGGTAGATGGTCGACGAGGGAGTGTTCCGTTAAGTTTGAAAATAAAAGCCATATCCAGTGCAAATGCTCTCATTTCACAAACTTCGCTGTCTTGTTTAGAATCTCCGATGAAAAGGTTAGAAACTCCATACACATACTATTTGTTTCAGCACGATCCTTGTTCCCTTCCTTGAACACATTATTGTTCACTTTTAAATACTGATATAAATTGGGAAAATGGAACTTAAAAATTTTGGAGCCTTGAGCATTGTTTACTGACCCTTTGATCAATATGGAGCTGCTTTTCGCCAGTGGATTAATTAAGTTTAGTATTTCAACAGGCCGAAAACTGGTCGATTTCGAATATTTTATTAACTTTTATGTAGCTTTTCCATGGGTGAAATGCTGGATGATATATTATTGAAATTTTTCTTACCCCTCCCCTTAGTTTCCTTTCTGTAATTTTACAACACAATTGATGCAAGACAGGGGTAAAAATTTAACTCTTACTGATACCCTTTGTAATATTTTTTCCAGATCTCAGATGAAGATACTTTTCGTCTGGTTATCATAACCTACATTGGTTTAGGTTTATCCATTTTGGGATGCCTCTTTACTTTCATAATTTATGTCAGTTTATCGTAAGTGTAATTAAGATATAAAATTCTAGTTGCATTAGTGCACTAATCGGCACAAACTCCTAATTATTATATTTATCATTATAACAGGAACTTTTTATCAACTACATGCAAGACGTTTTTAATATTTGTAGAAATATAAAATCAGACAGATCAACAATTCACACGAACTTGGTTGCGGCGCTTGGCATTGCTGATGTTATATTCTTAGTCACCGTGGCTGTTAAACCGAGTGGGGTATATATAACATACATAGAGGTTACTTCATGGTTGGCGAGTGCATACGATTTTTATGCATAATACAAATCGTACAAATAAGCCAACCATGAAGTAATTTGTTTATTAAATGTGTATAGAGATCCATTTCTCGTTACATTGCATTACTTTTGTATTTTCAGAATCCTTGTTTGGCCCTGTCTACACTTGCTTTCTTCTTCTACCTTGCTGTGTTTTTTTGGATGTTGGTGGAAGGTGGTTACATTTACTTGATGATCGACGTCATGAAAGTCTTTCGTGGCAACCCTGTCCTAATGCGAAGAATGGCCTATTTTGTAGGGTGGGGTGAGTATAACACTGTATTCTTGACACAATTTCATTAATTTTCTTACTTTATTCCAAAGGAATGTCAGCAGAAAGTTAATGAAAACAGGCTTGATTTACACTACATATAAACTGACAAAAAAATTTGGGTCATCAATAAAGTTTTTATTCAAGGCGGAGTGCATGCATGTACCTCCCAAATTAAGTGGTGTATACTGAGAATATCCTTTTTCTCGCATACATACTATACTTTGATAGATATAACCATGTTAAATAAACATATAAACCATACGAATAACAATTGGGTGCAGACAAATCAAGCTGCAATCGGTCCTATGGATACAGGCGGACCGTTACTACTACGACTTTTCAATTCAATTCTTTACTGTCTTTAGGTAGTCCAATCATTATCGTTGTTGTAACATGGGCTGTTTTAAGAGACCGCATTGTCTCCAAATATCAGTGAGTATTTTCTACATCCTTTGACGCAGACAAGAACGTATTTTTGAAGTTGCCAGCTCCGTTGATTCCCTTTTGATTTGTACTCTTCAGCTCGGAGATAACGCAAAGGTTTTTTATTAATGATATTTTAGTTGTTGGTTATCAGTGGAGTCCGGAGCAATTTGGGCGTTTGTTGGTCCGGGATTGCTGATTATTTTGGTAAGAGAAACGTGTCTGTTCTTTCACCTATTGTCTCTTTCCACGTTTCTTATTTCTTTGTTTCTCATCCGTTTTTTGTCAAATCGTTCTTTCTAGATCAATTGCTTTATTCTTGGGGTTGCAATGAAAACAACTTGGAAAACATTTGTTAACGACAAAGAATTTCGGGGTTTGAAGTAAGAGTTTGATTTTTGAATGCATCAATAAAAAATATTTTTATTAGAAAGAGGATGAATATGTCTAAACTTCTACGATGTGTATCTGAGGTACACCTGAAAAAAGATCATGGTAAAAAAATCAAGCGTTTTATGTGAAATCAGAATTACATTTTATTGGTTGAGGAAATGAAGTAAAAATCTCTGGGCAATTTTTACCAGGGATATAATTGTCTTATGGAATTCCGCATGCATGCGATAACAAGAATTTTAATTTGGTCAGCATGAGCGCATTGAAAAAGACTCCTGAAAAATTTCAGACTGCTTTCTGCTATTCAATATGAGAGATATATGTGGGTTGGGAAAGCGAGCATGTACCTAATGTCATCTAGTTTTTAAAATTATTCTGTTTACAGGTCGGCGACGAAAACTTTCGCTGTTGTCATTCCTGTCTTAGGAATAACCTGGGTTTTTGGTATCTTGGCGTTCAACGAATCTTCGGTTGTATTTCAGTATGTATTCGCTATCACTAACTCCATACAGGTAAGCATATCTCCGTCTCGAATATAGTTGCTAAAGAACATTAAGTGTTTCAAATCGAAGTCTGCATGTCCGTGGCAATTGAACGAGGCGAAAGCGTTGCCCAGCTGCAGATAATACTCTGAGCATGTTCAGTCGAGTGAAGCTGAGTTGTCTGATTTACTAAAAGGAAAATATACCGCAAACACAAAAAAGAGACAAGGGGCTGCCGTCAACGTATTAATTTCAATAGTTTTAATAGAAAAAGCAATAAATGAGGATGAATTGTAGCGTTCATGTATTTTTCCGGCTTTGCAAAATAAACGTTTTAGAAAAGTTTGTTGTATAATATGTGCTATGTTCCTACTTCCTTGTTGTCTTAGAAATAACGCAAACCTTTTTTTAACGCAATGATAAAAAGATTAGTGAACTCGGTTCTCGCCAAATACCAAATACCTGCCCGCGTTACCGACAAATTAATGATATTTTTTCCTCAACCTCATTCCATTGCAGTGTTCTGAAAGTTTGCAGTTCGCTACTTAACATTTGCCGTAACTAATTGACAACTTTATTTCTGTTTCAGGGAGCTCTAATATTTTTGCTCTACTGCATTGTCAATAGAGAGGTCAGTTTGTTTAACATAAACTTACGGATGTTCATCAGACAGTTTAACAGAATTATTTGATATGTGAATGGGGCCACCCATGCAGTCTTTAAAGGTGCTGCATGTCCAGCCATGATCATGAATAAACGCTTTAACTGCAATATTTCCAACAAAATACGAGAAACTATAAATACCATAATAGCCAATTACTTTGTTATGGTTCTAAACAAATATAAACTGTAAAGTATACATATACGTGTCTGTTTGCGACTGACTTTTGAATTATGATTATATATGGTAATTCAATTCCGCCGATGGAAAGCTACTGTTAAATATTACCTCAAACCACTCGCTGTCAATTTTTGTCTATCGTTAAAAGCCTTTGAAAATATATTTCTTCTCTATATCTTTATAGGTACGGAATGAGCTGCGTCGGAAGCTCGCGAACTGGCAAACTCGTCGTGAGATGTCTTCATCGTCAGCTGGCGGTCGGCGTCGGACCCATGATTTCGGCTACGAATATCCGTTAGGGGAAGTGAAGGTGAAACCAGGTGCAGAAGAAACAGGACGAAGGTACACGTTTAAAGATCCGATTAACACGTCTGAAAAAGAAATCACGGTGAAAGAGAAGAACGATGAGTGGAATGGCAAAGATGGCAGGAACGGTGTGCGGTGCAGTGAAGGGCAAGAGGGCAAAGATGTAGTTGCGGTTAATAACAAAGCATATGATGAAAGTAGTACAGCTGGGGACTTCCATGGACTTTAAGGTACGCATGGAACAGCATAGGACCTAGTATAGGATCTTCATGCAATTGGTAGTGCAAAATATTGCAAATATGAAGTTTTTTACGACCAGGCGAGTTTTCGTGCCTGATAAAATAAGTTTAGCTAACTGAAGTAATTAATTTGATAGAGATATATAAGTTCTAAACTAGATCTTTCTAACGTACTTTTATGCATGCATTTTATTTTAGATCTGGAGTCATTAAAATGTGATTTTAGTTTGCTAGCTCCTATTATATAACTTCGCATAATACAACAACGTTTCGATCATTATTGGCACAATCGGTCACCTTGGATGTACTATAAACTATAAAACCAGACCTTAGTAGGAACAGGAAATATGTTGGATACTTTTGATTTCCGGCCATACATTCAACGTTTCAGCTCTTTATCTTCTCTTTCTTCTTTATATACTCCTCCCAGTAACTGTTGCCGGCGATTATATTACATTTTACAAGCTGCCGATAAAAATCAACAAAAGAATCGTACGCAACAGATGAAAAACAAAACAAATCAAAACAAATATTCAGCGGTATAAATATGGTACGATTCGGTTTCATTGGATTCGCACCCATGCGAAGTTGTTGTAGAATTAAAAAAACCTAGTACAGGATGTAAGCTCTTTTCATTATTTGAAGTATTTAGGTCACACTTGGCGTGAACTGGAAAATCGCCACCTATACTGACCTGCATGAACGTTAACTTGGCTACGATATTAAAATTGAAGCAAATTTGAAATTCCGTTACTGGCCGTTATTGAAAACAATGAAGAAGACTTATACCCAGCTTTAAGAATAATAATTATTAATCTTTAACGTTTGGAGACAGTCCAAGAAATGATTTCACAATGAAAGAAAGCTCAAATAAAATAACATACTTAAAAAAAGTTTCACAGCTCAGTATCGAATCATATATATCTAAGCTTTCTTCCTGGTCAAGTGGTAAAGTTTTGTCAAAACAAGGAAATATAAAATTGGTCTTTTAGATTTAAACCTTTGATAAAACAAGCAATTTTCGCTTATACTTTACTATGATATGAACTAAATTTCTCACTCTTCGGTGTTCAGTACGTACGTTTTTTAAAGCGCATTTTTCGCCTCTCCGCCCTCTGATCAGCAATTAGAATTTTATTCCTTTCCTTCTTATTGTTTTACTTTTCTTATCTGGCAATAAATGAGTTATACTGAGTAAAAAACCCGATCTGATCGGCACTCACGGTAACTCTTATAATCAACAAAAACGTGGCTTTTTTATGAACTGGGGCTAATGAATGCTTTACACCGTACAATTGTTACACGGTTGTCATTCTTAACAAATCAAACGTGTAGATAATGATGCCACATCTTTGCTCATGCGCTGCTAGAAACTTTGAAGTATGATGTTGGTAGGCGTCTTTTGTCCGGGCCACTTACCGCGTATTAAAATCGGATACGACTAATCCTATCGCGAATAAACAAGCTTTGAGTGCATGATTCACGCCCATGCATGCAGACGAACGCACTTTGTCAAAGCGACATGAATTTGGAGAATTTCAAAGTAAATATGAGCGTCTACGAACACATTTTTTTTTGCAGAAATCCGTGGGGGCAAAATATGCCAAAATGTTACAGTATCCCGGTGAATATTCAGAACTGAATCAACGACTTTTGTCACCAATGGCAGTGCCCAAAACATAAAACTCCTCCTATACCACCGAAATTTTTGAATCGGTCTAGTTTGGCGGCGATCAATTTCAAAAGGCTGATTAAAATACAAAACGTAAAAGACAAATATTGGGCTCCAGGCTATTTCACACCGGCAGAAACGCACCCTCCTGCATTATATTGTACTGTAAATACTGTGTTTAGTCATCGAAATTATCGATGACATATTATGTCAGTATTTCTCACTTAATATCACATCGATGTACAATCTTGCGAGTTGTCGAAAGCGGTTTTAAATAACCCTTCAACACAACAGTCATTGACAGTTTGTATAAACACGCTACTGACGCTGGACCTGATCTCAAAATGGAAAGATTTGTAACTTTAAAGTTTCAATATTATTTTAATCTCCCCCTAGCGGTTAAAAAGGCAGTGATAGTCTATAAGTCATAATATCGAATTTCGGCCGCTGCATCATTCAATAAAGATTATGTTCTCATTGTTCCTTGCAATTTAGAGATGCATGCTGTATTTCCTGTTTATGTTAATTGCTAGACGGCTTTCCTGCTCAACAGAAATTTAAAAGAAAATTACGCATACAAATGGCAATACATTATAACACGCACGCGTGGCATGCATGTGACGGACCAAACCAGGCATAAAGATATAAATATTGATAAATGTGATGTCAGTCCTAACAATGATTTAAAACTTTAGGGCACAAATTTCTTGAGAAACGTCTTGGAACGATTCGAGTTGCTGCGCTGTACCGTGCATTCGGTAATTTCGGTTACGAATCGAAAGTCGGCATTTCTGTAATTTCAGCGATTCGTGAGTAAACAAGGATACCCTAAGAGTCGAATAATATTGGCTAAGTTGCAGTATTAAGTACGAGAAGGCCGCATTTACAAGTGTGTATTGCCTGTGTGGGGAGGAACGAAGATGTATTTCAAGCTGATTATATGTGGCCTGTGTCTGGCGAATTCCTTAATAGAATTTAGCAAAGGTTAGTACATATTTTGGCACGATTTGTAACTAATTAAATTATTTCGGTATGTGTTAATAACCGCATTTTGATCGCCAAATAATGTTCATGTTCGCGACAGCATATCTGCTGATAGCTTAGTTATGCGAATTGTATTTCAAAGCACCAATTTCAGTGTTTACGTGCGAGCATTGTTGATGTATTATTGATATTGCATGTCATAGCGTGTCGTTGTCTCAGTGTCAGTGAGGTACTTGAATGTTGCTTGTAATTGTCGCGCTGGCTAATGTACTATATATGTAGCTATATATACATGTATGTTCGAATTGCCTTGTTTATTATCCGGGCTGGTTGTATAGAATTGATATAAAAACCTGTTTGAAGTCAACTATGATTATTTAGTAAATAGTGTAACAAAATAGGAAAATAGTAAAATGCTATTGGATTTACGGTTTTTGTAAGCCAATCGATTACCATCAGCTTCTCGACCAACTCAAATGTGATATATGTCTAATATGGATCGAGTTCATCTTGAGTATAGCCAGTAGTGCCATATCATACTTTGCCTAGTGTGGGATATGCGTCTATAGACTTGGGCTGGTTGCTTAAAAGCCAGTCCGCCTACCCTGCGTGCATGGGGTATCACAAATCTTCAAATTGAAATTTATGTACTTAGCTGTTTAGAAAGTTATGCGTAATGTTCCACAAAACGTTTTCGCTTTAATAGAGTGTTTATTTCTCAGCATGTTTAATAAACAAACTTGAATGAACTGCAATGCAGAAGTACATCTGTTATCAAACAAAATAGATATGTTCAGTCAGGGTTAACGCTAATCGGTCTTTTATATATACAAACAAACGCCTTCTGCCCCCTGTCTGTTACAAGAATGGACAACGTTTAGCTGCGAAGTTCTCCCTCTCTCGTCGAGTTACCGAGCTCAGCGCTGTTTCCAGCGCCATCAGTGTCAAATCCGAGTCCTCTGGATTTTAAGTCCAACGACGTTGGTAACATAGGATTGGCTTACGACTTTAATTAACTCTCGCTTCACTGCTCTCATGGAGTGAAGGTGAAAAGAGTTCAGTTCTATAGTTACCTTCCGTTGAGTTGATTGAAATCTAAATCGTGTTTGTATCCATGAAAAGGAACATTATCGCGGTCGTGTTTTAATTAAATCCGCTGGTTAACTGTGCTGGGCAGATCAATTGCCTGCATTGCATGCCTTATTGAAAAAAGGCGTATTTCCTTTGTACTTCGAATTGTCAATGGAAAACTCGTTTTAAAAACCGCGGAAAGAAATCGTAAACTGAAATCGACGATAATTAATATTTAAAAACAAAGTGCCTTTATATGAGAATTTATGTTGGTTTATGGAGGGAAGGGCCTTGGCTTGTATTGTCCATGCATCGATTCCGCATCCAATTGAGAAACTAAGTAACATAATAGGCCGGACATTTCTCTGTCAGATAATTTGTTAATCAGAAATCTAAAATGGTTACGTATCAGACAACTGAAATCGGAGTTATTTTATGCGTATGGTTCGACTTTGGCTTATATGCATGGCTATATACACTTAAGATATGCTGATATAATGTCAATGATAACATTTGACCCACGTCTGTAGTGAATCCGATAACAATGCCATTGGAATTGCACTATACAAGATTGTTAAGAACATAGCCATAGACGTTTCTAGCAAACTCCCTTTTGTCTGGTAATTTGAATTTGGCTCATGGGCTTTGAAGGACATTCGCTTTTGTATATAATATAGAGTGCTCGGTGTAGCAATAAAATGACTACACATGAAGAGGAAAGGATGAAAGGGAAAACTTTTTAAGTAAAATTTATGTCTTGAAAGACGGAATGATACACTCATCTCTATTTATACCAAATACATGGTGTCTAGAGATGTGCTATTGTTTTGATATGAGATCTTGAGTGCTCTCTTGAACTGATGGGTGAGCACATTTGAATGGAATTTTGTACTTGAGACATCGTCATCGTTGAATAGTATAAATACCCTTTCTCTGCGTGCAGTTGATCCATTTACGGGGGACTATATTTTTAATTGAGCAATTTTGGGTATCTTATCTTTACCATCTAAAAATATTATAGTATGCAAGCCCAAACTCTTTTAATAAATTCCCTATATATAGATTAAATTTCGCTTGACAACGTAATTTAATTCCCAACAACTTCAACTATTATGTACGCGTCCCGTCAATATTTTCTCGTGTCTATGGCTTTAACAAGACAGCCTTTCAAATTAGAACAATGTCGAATTTCTAATGTTTCACTCTTTTGAGGCACCCTGTAGATCGTATATAAAAGACCCGCATTTTCAATTTAATATTAACCGTTACCATGCAATTGCAAGGTTTGACGCCTCTATTAATTCAGGAAAATTTGATCCGCAACAGCAAATTGACTCGGGTAAAAGATGGTATTGCTGCATGCATAAGTCGAATTTAAACCGAGTCGGGTATGCTGTCGACTTTCGTTGTAAAACCCGTGTATTTATCCTCTTAAACATGCAATTGCTGATTATATATGTATTTATAACTTAAACTAATATGATACAAAAAAATAATCGTGCCCGTGGTAACACCAGATTAAGAAATCGCACTGCAAAAAAAACTACTAAGGTACAAGTATACTTAAATTTCGTATTTCCTTCATCGCTTTTTCCATAAGCATAGTTTACTAGGTATCACGAATTCCAAAACATTTTTCCAGGACATTCTGATTTAAATCATGGAATAAAAGGCTTTCTAGAAAAGCAATTTACGGCAAATTATAAACATATTAAGTTGCATTTATGTAAATTTCGAAAACCAGCTAGGAACCGTGTCTTTTATATTCATACCCTATACTCTTAACTAGGGTGTATCCTGTAGGGACTTTTGAGCCGAGACAGTCTGACTGACTGATTGTATGCCATTGTTCTTGAAATGTTAAAATGTTCTTGAGTTCATGATCAGCTTAGCGGCTTATTTTGGCGTTTCTGAGGTAATAATGGAAAAAATAGATTGAGGCATAAAAAAAACAATTATAGAAGTGATTAGATGATTAAGATCTACCCCATCCACACTTTCTAATTATCCAAATGCCAAAGGCCATTTTAATACGGTTCTAGATCTTAACTCTCCTTGTATTGTAGTCGGCTTCTTTATACTAGCTGTTCTTGAAATGTTTGTAAAGGAGTCAGTGGACACATTGTTCTGAAACAATATTGATAGGTTGTTCTGGAAAAATGTTTATAAATACCCTAGGGTGTGCTGGCACAATGTTTAGGGTTTTTTATGAGCTTCGAAACGGATCGCCTTTGACGAGGATTTGCATACATGTATGGCATTATTCCGGACCTTCGTGTTCGCATCATTATAATGTTTCACAGTCATTGTTTTTCGAAGTTCAAAAACAGTTAACACATGTCGTATATGTCGGAAGGCTTACATAGCTTTTCATGATATAACGCATAGTAATGTGCGCCTGGGCCGGTTGTATACGAAAGCTGGATAGCGCTATCCACCGGATAGTGATTTTAAAATCAACCCTTCTAAAAATGCTTGAGAGGCAATAAAATTTCAGCTTTGCCTTTGGGACGAAAAATTATAGCTAAGCGAACTTAAAAATAGAAGATTGACAAAATTGCAATCTTCCCTAATTTTCCCGCCTTTTTTCTAATTTTTTTTTGCGGTTTACAATTTTATTTTAAAACGCTTTACTCCCTGAGTAAACTTAACTTCCTCCCAAATTTACGTGATCTTTTCAAAAACGCTGCTTTCTCCAATTAATAAGGCCTTAATCTGTTTCCGGAATCGCAATTGTTTTCACTTTGAGATATTTTTGTAGCGAGATTAACATGGATACTGTGATACTGATAGCATACCTGCGGTATCAATCTTTATCATGTATGCGATCCACTTTATTTGATGGTTTCATATCATTATATGTGATTTTCCATACAAATGTTGAACCTCCTAGCTGTTTTAATTTGTAGGAATGCGAAGTGAAGCAAAGAGTTATAAATGCGAAGAGCAGCGAAGGTTTCGTTCAAAACCAACTGTGAAAAAGGGATCGGGAAAACCACTAGTTAAAATATCAATTATGTGCACGGCGTCTAATGTGGCTTTTCAAATTCGTTATTCGAATGGATCGCTTTGTACTTGTGGGTCTATACGTGAAGAAATGGTGCGTGAGCATAAAAAGTGTCATGAGAAATTATCAACACTGGATATTATTATAAATGCATCGGCGAATTCGATAAAGAATGGATTTAGGGATACATGTGATGTTTTGCTGCACTTCGTGCCGTCATCAGACGGTGATTTTGAGCCAATATACATCCTTTTAACACCAACACAATTAGAGTCGAGTTCAGTGAATCCACGCTCTTGTGGCCATGGCGGTTCTGCAAAATTACCTTGTAAATCACTGGCAACAAAGAAATCTATTATGGAACCACGCCCGATAACGAGGTCAGTTTAATCATCACTTGTTGAACGTGCCAAGGAATTTCGGTATATATATAGAGAAGAAATTTGCAATCAAAGTTCGTATTAAGCATGCATGCCAATAGAAAGAATTGCCATTTTTCTAACTTTAAAACTTGAAATATCTGTACTTGTCTTGTGTTCGTGCGTTTACAAAAACACATGCACACTAAAAATTTTCTTGCCTCTTTTATCGCCTGGATGTATACAATAAATTAAAACGTTTTCATCCATTGCTTGGAAAAGTACAAACACGAGCAGGCCGGTGGGGAAGGAAGTCCAGAGCCTGTTCGGGTTGGATAATGTTATTTTTCATCATGATATTATCTCATCTTTCAGGTTCCCACCTTTTCGTCGCCAATATAGTACTCACCAGCTCAGTATATATATTTTTTACCTAAATAAATTTTTGTGAGATTTTTTGGTCGTGTCGACATGTGTTTCTCTTTAATTTATACAGCTCCCTTACTAATCAACATTTAACAACAAGTTCAAGGAGGAAATCTGAAGTTATACCACCGATGAAAACACCTTCCCAATTCATAAATCATTCTCCGGTTCTTCCGGTTCAATATCGTTCCAAACCCATTAGACAAACTCCCGCACTACAGGCTCAATCGAATAGCAACATCCTAGCGCCTACCACCATCAATCCAGTGTTACATACTTCCAGCTTGGTTGTAACAATTGGGTTTAAAAACAAAGACACTGGGTCTTACAACACAGCTGTTATCAAGGCTTCACCGACCAAGGCCAATATTTTACCAACCACAACCACAGTGATGATGACAGAACAACAGAAGAAATTTAAAGAAGGTATTAATACATATATCATATCTCCAATGTTTTCAGAGACAGTGGTCAAGTTCATGAATGAATTACGTGCATACACTCCTCACATTGGGGCATATTGGCATGTGAATTTAAAATTTTGCTGCATTAATTTAACCTAGCTCTGCCGTGACTGGACTTGTTTTATCTCATGATATCTAATTTTGTTCATGAAACATTTTGTTTGACGTTACTTTAGTAACGCCCATTTTTCATGGCGTCACTTGCAGGGCATATCACTTCCAATTGCATGAATGTGTGCAGCACTTAGGCTTTCGCCTTAGCATATAATGGTAGATAATTTGATATGCGTGGGAAAGATTTTGATTCAGAATTTTTGTCTTCATTCAGACGTTAATTTTATCAAGAATTTTAATACTTCCGACGTCGACATTAACGATAAAAAGACAATAAAGGTAAGCCTTGTTGAAAGAAAAATGCACAACGTAACGGACTCCGTAATCAACTCGTCTTTTTTTCAGCGTGTGTTGGACGCGGCCGCAAATCTAATTACAAGCAATCAGACAAATACTGATCAGAATCAGGTGAGTCTTTTTTACAAGCATTGTGCCCTGTTCACGGTGGCCCTAAGGACATAGACACTAATCACTATGACTGTGTACATTAAGTCATTCTAAAAAGGAATGTGATTTAGGTAAATGGAAATACAATTTTAATTTTATTGCTTTTCAACGCTGCCTTTACCACGAATGTCCTATTTCTGGTTCAGTACTGTCCACGTCTGATTGAGGTTGAGCTGAACCGCAACCGCAGTTTTAGGTTATTTCTGGACAGTATACTGTGTACAGATTTTAAACAAACAGCAACCCGAACTAAATCTATCCATTGGCAAGCATTAACACAAGATATTTCGAACTACAAACGTAAATACAGATTTGATGCACATTTTAACAGTTGGTGCATGTTTTTAACAACAGTTTTGACAGCTTTACATGTCAATTTGAAGTTTGAACGTATAACTGGCACTGGCACTGAGCATAAAAAGGTTTTAATTTCATAAAATTCATTCTGCGTTATTCCAATGCAGGATGCTGGAATGCAAGCAGTCGAAGTGCTAGAAGATCTTGGAAATTCTATTTCTCAACAACTTGATCTTGCAAACGAAAGCGCTGTAACGTTCCAGGAAGTTACTAAGGAGCTGGGTAAGTGTCATGTAAACGATAAATAACTGTTTTTTAAAGAAGAAAGTGTACAGGGTGTATCTCGCGTGTTTTATACAGAGGGATCAAAAAATTATCATCGTAGTGTAATTAGTCTACATGTAATAGGTCAAGTCACCTCGTATCATTACGCGATAATCACCTAAGTGGATGTTTTGAAGTGATCGAAAGATAAAAAAATAATATAATGCCATATATATCTACCGTGAAGCACAAAAGAAGCAAGAAAACTTGGTAAGAAATCAGTTAGATTTAAATTCTGCATGTAAGGCTCATGCAGCTTCGACTGCTTCGTGCTATGCAGGTTTCACTTTTCCTCCGGCGAATTTTTGCAAATATAATGGAATGCAGGAACTCAACACTCGAAGTGTTAATGGACATTGCTTTTGGGAAAAATGAAATATGCGAGAGTGCGATGGGTATGGGAAAATTGGACTATAGGGATGCATGATTCTCACTTTTTTTTTTCATTTACACAGTTTAATCCCACTCAATCACATTCTTTCGTTTCAGTTTTTGGTGCAGCTGTCATAAACGTGACCTCATCAAAGGAATATTCATTTCCTTCTAAACAAGAAAACGTAGTAGGAGATGAAAAAATTGTCATTCCTAATTCCGTTTTTAACCCAAACAGCGAAGGTACAGTGGACATGTATTTGTTCGGCTTGCATGGCCGTTTGCAGGGCCGTAGCTAGACCGCTTAATTTGGGGGGTGTAAATTCATATATTATTCATGTTTATACACCGTTAGAACAATATGCCCGACTGATAAAAAGAAATCAGTCGGGCATAAGATGAATATATGAATATACACCCCCCCCCACCATTAAGCTTCTAGCTACCGCCCTGGCCGTTTGTGCATGCTTGTTAAACATGTCCCCTTTATTCTCTGAGATGTAAATAATTAGACAACCATTGATAATTATAAACAACAATTGCTTGGTGTTGTGATGGTTAATTTTGAACAAATTATCCTGGAAGCAGTTTTACTATATCTTAGTGTTTTGTATTCTTGAAATCCAGGTCAATTTCTGCTATACTTATAATAAAAATCGTCAATTATAGTTGCATGGGCATTTTCAGTGAATGCCACCCGATATTCTGTATAAATACATAAGTTAAATCTATTCGGTAAATAGAATTAACGGGATGATACTGAAAAAAGATCGCTTTACTTTCGTTGAACGCAATTTAAAAATAAATGATCAATTTTTCTATATAGGCAAAGCATATTTTGTTGGTATAATTTACAAAGCATATCGTGAGATGAGAAGAAATACGGGAGGTCTTAAAATAGGAACTAAAGTAATAAATGCTGCTCTTACACCTCCTCCACGGCATGTTTTCAATGACCCCGTCGCAATGATGTTCGAGAAAGATATTGTAAGTTTATTAGTATTATTAGAAATATTTGGCTACATGATACAGTTAGAATTTAAAACTGACAGTCGTACAGATAATTTTTGATGATTTTTCACTTATCTTTCCAAAAATTTAGGCTGAGAAAAGTATCTCTAGCAGCTGTTCATTTTGGATAGAAGATGACTCGTGAGTATACAAGTCAATTTATGTTGCAGAAGTATAAATAGCACTCCAGGTCAAGAAATAATATTTTTTCACATTTTTGGTTAACGTTGTGCGTGGGGATAAGGTAGCTAAACTTAGTCTCCATTTTCTTGATTCAAACTATATGCTATATAACATTTCAGTCAGAACAGATCGAAATTAGAGATCCAGATTAGATTACTGAATATTTGAAACGAGTTGAGCAGTTCAAAATGTTCAAATAGCGCAGTTAATTAACAATTTGTTCTTCTTAAAGCCTCGGTCACAATGATGATTATGTAGTCAAAATATATAAGGACTGATATTCAAAGGTTTTTAAACCTTAAAAGGTTTAGTGGTTACACAGGTTCACTATATAAACTGGAACGCTATCCGCATTCGTAAAATCATCCCCTTGTAAAATCTTTTTACTTTAATTCCAGTCTTTCAGGTGAACATGGTAGATGGTCAAAGAAACAATGTTTCAGATCTTTTGAAAATCAAAGTCACATCGGATGCGAATGTTATCACTTTACGAATTTTGCCGTTTTGTTCAAAGTAACCAATAATCAGGTTTGCAAGACTGATAGTTTGTATATTTTTGTTACATTTGTATAATTAAAAAGCGCATTATCAGTATGATTATCAGTAACAATTTTTGGTATGCGCGCGGCAGCCATTTAGAAATTGACTCCTAGAGCATACAGTATTGTACGTTGACTCCATCAAATCTCGAAAATTTAAATGACTGGTTTTTGGTTAATGCATGAAAATGTGTGTGCGTGTCAAAGGGCTTCAGGCCGCTGAAAAATTGAAAACTGGTTATAGAGAATACTTATAGTTTTTAGTATGCACGTGACACAGGCACGCATGGTTAGCCTCGAGACACAATTGTTTGGAGATCCACGGTTCCGTTAAGAAACCAAGGACTTTATTTTCAGTTCCAATAGTTGTTGGGATATCGTGCGATCAAAAGCGGTTAATAAATTATTACGAAGACGTAATTAGAAGAAGCAAATTGCGTTATGATTAAGTGTTCCGAAAATTGGAATGGAAGATTTTATGCATGGAGAAATGATTCACTCTAACGGATTGTCTTGCATAAATATAGGTGGATACTTATAGGCAAGCTGTATAATTCAGTTAAAGTATAGTCCAAAAACTAACAGAGTTTCTCTTTTGTATAGGATCTTTCAGAGGAACACACATATCGTCTGGTCATTATTAGTTACATTGGTTTGATTTTATCTATTGTGGGATGTTTCTTGACTTTTGTTATTTATGTTTCTTTAAAGTAAGTATCATGTTTATACTGTCATGACCTGCAGCAAATTGTGGATGTAAATTGTCTGTTGAAAATAGTCTTGACTGTTAGCTAATTAACTTAATTAATTGGTGTTCATCAATGACATTACAAATCGCAATATTTTATGCCTTTCCACTGATTCACGCCAAATTCTGATTCATTCTGATTCATTCTGATTCAAACATCTGATTCTGAAAGAACTGATAATTGAGTTTTAAACATTAATTTAACAGAAACATAAAATCTGAAAGAGCTGTAATCCACACGAACTTGGTCTTGGCACTTGGGATTGCTGACTTAATTTTCTTAATTGGAATTGCTGCTAAACCAGTTGAGGTAATTAAAAAACTGTATTATATAATATAGCCATAATTATATGTATTACCTTCTCCTGTTGAATTGCATATATATGCACGCTTTCGTAAAAGATTACAATGGTTGCTATACTTTACCCTAGTGTATACGTATAACAATGAATATGACATGTGCCCGTAAAATGCACTTGCAGTATATTCATACTTTGGCATATTCGTTTCCTGTCACACACGTTGATGAAAAGACAATATTCACTGTTCATCTAAAATGACCTATCCGCCAAGTTGACAATTCGAATTATAAAAGTTTATCTTATCTGTTAATTTTATCTGTAATCTGAAGCGAAAGATTTGAAGCTATATACCGAATTAATTTGTCAGTAATATGAAACGATCATTGCATCTTTTATTTTCGAACTTTATAGAATGCATGTCTGGCGGTCTCTATGTTGGTATTCTATTTCTACCTTGCTGTATTTTTCTGGATGTTGGTCGAAGGCGTTTACATTTATTTGATGGTCACCAAAGTCTTTCGTGGCAACGTTGCAAGAGAACGCAAGCTGGGATACCTCATAGGTTGGGGTGAGTACCCTCTTTCACATAGGCGATTGCGACAGGGCAGATTAGTTACGTTTTCGTTCATGCGCGATGAAGGAACCCAGCCCTGGAACAAGCTATAAGTTTTTACACAGATTTAACAGCTTTGTTGATAAATCTGCATATCAATCGTTGAAAGGCATTTGTTGGATTTTTGAGCCACGATTGTTTTTCATTCTACACGCGATACTCGTGGATTTAACGCCCATGATCATAATGCGAGGAGACTGAAAGTGGCACCAAATTACCATGCGAAACAGGGATCCTGCAGGGGTCATCTTAAGTCTGTTCTTATTGGAAAATGGGTAACTCTAAAACCTAAAATGGGCGGTTCTAAAAGTTGAGTTTTGGATAGAAAATGTTGAATTCCGAAAGATAGTTTCCCGCTACAAAGGAAACAGAAGCATCCATGAACAGCTGAATGACTCCCAGATTAGTTGTGATTTCACAAAATTTACTATTAAAATCTTTGTTATGCACCAAACTTTATTTCCTGTAAGTGTACTCAGAATGCATGTTGCATAATCCCATTTGGAATAGCTCAATTTGACCAGAAGATTTTGGAGAAAAATGCTTGTTGATTGGATACTGATCTATTAGCAAACATTATATATACCTATAGGACTATTATAATTACACCTGAAATTTTGGAGTGCAAAGTAGTGAGGCCAATTACTGATTAAATAAAATAGCGCTTTATTTCTTTTGTAAGCTTAGGGGGATTCTTAGCGCCGCGAAGAACACGGGGACGCGCTTTTATTTTGCTTCTCTTTTGAAATCTCTGTGGTGTTCTCGCTTTTAGGCTTTCCCCTCGTTATTGCGATCACTACCTGGGCTGTTCTACGGAATGACATCGTATCAAAATATTAGTAAGTACCGCGTCATGCATGTTTATACGCAAAATCTCTTCTTGATTTCTTGATCACTTACGAAAAAATCTTTCCTTTTAAAGTTGTTGGTTATCAGTCGAAACAGGAGCTATCTGGGCATTTGTTGCTCCTGGGTTGATCATAATCCTGGTCAGTAGAATAATTTTTTTCATAGTTCTTTTATATCACCATGCCAATTCTTTAAATAAACATTTTGAAGTTTCTCACTATTAAACTCAAAAGCTTCCAAAACCAATATTATAACTTTTGTTTGTTTCAATTGAGCCCAGATATTCTGGTTACAATTTCAAGTTTTTAAGAATGGCAAACGTTTTCAAGTTTTTAAAAAGGGCTTTGAACTGTGTTCTTTTTAAGGTGAATTGTATAATTTTATTGGCTGTCATTAAAACAACCTGGACGACATTTTCTGATAAAACAGACTATAGTGGCTTAAAGTAAGTAGACACTTGTTTTATTTAGAATTTCATTTGGGAAAGCCGATAAAATTTTGGAGTGACTCCTGTTTACTCAGATTCTCTTGTGTTCTTTCTCAATATACTGTGGTATTATCTGTAATTGTTTAAAAAGTTGAATATTTACGAATTGTATCCTGCATTCCAGGTCCGCCTCCAAAACGTTCGGCGCAGTCATTCCTATTTTAGGAATAACCTGGGTATTTGGTGTCATGGCATTCAATGAATCTTCTGTTGTCTTCCAGTATATATTTGCTATCACTAATTCTTTACAGGTACTTGCATGCTTCATTGAGTTTTGAGTAAATACATTGCATTCTTAGTCACCTATAGGTCTTTGATTACCTGTAATTGTCGATCTACTGAAATGGATAGGCTACAAGTAGGGGAATCTTCAAATATAACTGCAAAAAATAAAATGTAATTATAGGCAGACTTTTCAATATTTAAAGGTATGCAGCTGTTGAAGAAGGAATGAAGGATATTAATCATATTATGCTGTGTTCTTAGGTTCTTTTTTTATTTTCATGATTGTAGGGTGCTTTGATATTTGTCCTTTACTGTTTGGTAAATCAAGAGGTAGGTAATCTAGCTCTTTGGGCGATTTGAGAAATTTTTCTAATGTGTCGGCATATAGCCTGAAATAACGGTCTGAAAATTTCATCTTAATTTTTTATTAGGTCAGAAATGAAATACGTCGGCGCATTCTGAGATGGCGGGCTCGCCGTGAGCTGACGTCATCCTCGAGCGATCGTCGAAACATCTTGAAATCAACGCAGAGCGGAAAGGGGACCCTGCGATATTCAACTCAAGACCGCTCACAGGAATTGAAGAAAAAGCAGTCGCTGAAACAAGGCTTGCTGTTCGAGGCCGGCATTCCTCCAGGGGCGACAAAAGAATCGGCGAAAAATAACGTCGACGATGCAAAAAGTCGCAAAGGAAAAGGTGAAAAGAAGGACACTGGTAATACCATTTTAGACAATTCGTTTGCCACTATAGGATATGTGTGATTTATGCGCAGTTGTGAATTATCTCCTTTTTAAACACTTAGGATTAGTTTGAAATGTGGAACTTGACAAAAAAATTACGAAAAATAGCAATAAGCATAGCTTAACAGTCGGTTCCCATCACACATGTAACCTCGTTTTTAAAGAATAAAGTATATTCCTGAAATATATGATATTCCTCAGGCGTACAGGGTATCCCAAAAAAAAACACAATTGGCAAATTCAAACTTTGTGTTTTGAAGTAGCTAGATCTCTACAAGGAAAGCTCTTTCGGCTACAGTTATAACAGTGCCATGCATGCTGTTATATGATTGATATTTTGCCAAACAGTTTGGTGGTAGTATTTGTAGTATTACGGTGCATCTTAAAATCACCGGTTGTGCGGGAATCTATCTTGTAAATAGAATTATTGCCTGAAATACTTAAGAAACGTATAGTTGAAAAGACAAATGAGCAGGCTTTGAAATGAGACAATTTTCGATTGATTTGATAGCATTTTCATTTAGCAATTAGGCTTGAAAATGTTAATTACGTTTTTTTGGGACACCCTGTATATCTATAGCCATGAAAAGCCAAATATCATGAACCTATTTCTACTTCAAATACTTTCTAGTAGATTTTATGCTATTTCAGGTTAGTGATAGAATCATTGTAACTATAAACGTTGAAGTCGCATGCTTCTGGAAGCCAGACTTTCAGTATGGAAACTTAAGGTACGATTTCAAATGTAGAAATTTGCACGATGGTGAAGTGATCCGAGACTAAGAGGAAAATTTAAGCCATCATGTGGAACATGTCGAAATAAAATGCTGTACCCAGGAGCGTATAACACAAAAATATCTGGGGGGTGGTGGCGTCCTAAACTAAAAATTCCCCCCCCCCTTTCCATAGTGCATTATTCAAGTCAAAAGCTAGATGGACTCAAAATAGTAATATCTGACGGATTTTCGGACCGACTATCTTGCTCCTATAAGAGTCTTTGGACTGACTATTTTAAAATACTAATTTCACAAGAGCTCGAGGGTGGTCTCACCCCGTCCCCTACATCCCTTATAATGTGCGTCTCTGGCTGTAGCATGCCGAAGGCATATTTATTTTCTCAAGTATTGTATATAGCGAAACAGATAGCTGTAGTCATTTTATTTGAAAAAATATAAGTCAGAAATCATTGCTAACTATTTCGGTCGTAGTTATGTCTGTCGTGCTATGGCAGCGGAATTACAGCCAATTTACATAATATGGAAATTAGCTTGAAAATTACCAGCTTCTAACGTCACTATGGTAAATGAGATGAAAATGAACAGATTTTACTTGCTTGAAAGAAAGGTTTATTCATCGAATTTCTCTTCATATTTTGGGTATATTTCGAGAAGTATTTATAACTTTGTACTTGGCAAATTAAGGACTGATCGTTAGTAGATTTTCTATCAATGTAAGATAAAAATGAAGGATTCTCAGTGTGGATTTCCGGCAGTGTTTATAGTACACGCGTCTACAAGGCCTATGCTGGAAGAACCATGTCCTCAAAGAAAGGTAAATTAAATTCATTTTCACCTAATTTTTTAACAGGCCATAGATCTCCAAGACAGCAACACGATCCGATTGTGGCAAACGTAAATAGAAACGCTGATTTTATGAATTTTACCATTTTTAATCTATAAGTTTATATTGCAAGTTTGTATGTGTTCATTGGTGCATCCGCTAATGAACATCAACGTACCGCGGACTCATTGACCAAAATAGTTGATGATAATGTGCCCCCCCCCGGTAACTGTACCGTGCCGAAGGCAATTGTATTTTCTCAAGCACTGTATATAGCGACGCAGGCAACCGTATATATAGTCTTTTGTACCCTCGCCTGGCGTGGCCTGTTATTCAAAGAAGTTTTGAATCTGAGATACGAACTGTCAAGTGAACGTTTTTCAAGACAACGTTATATAAAATAATAATACAGTTTAGTAAACATAAACATAAACATGGTGAAATTTTAAAAGTGAAATATCTTTTAAAATATTAAACGATCAAGCAGAAGTGAAATAGTTGCATGGTCGTTTCCTTCGAACTTTCTAAGGTTTAATCAACGTGCATGCATGATGATCAAATAAATTAAATAATTAACCTGTTGGCTCAAACAACAAAATTTATTTGAAATTTGAATACATTCGCAGCTCACATGTGCATTTATCATTTAAAATATTGGACTAGGGCACTCGATATTTTACGATTTTCAAACAAGCTTGCGAGCGAGTGAGTAAAAAAGTGTCAAATTTTAACTAATGATGAATACGGAAAATATCAGTGACGTATTTTACTTATACTCGTATAATAATTATAAATGAAACATTCTCACATGTGCATTTATTATTTAAAATATTGGACTAGGGCACTCGATATTTTACGATTTTTAAACAAGCTTGCGAGCGAGTGAGTATAAAAGTGTCATATTTTAACGAATGACGAATACAGAAAATATCAGTGAGGTATTGTACTCATACTCGTATAATAAATATAAATGAAACATTCTCTCAAGGGGAATAGGCATATCGTGAAGAGGCATTTTACACCTACAAATCATTCATATATTTGTCAGCCGTAACCGGCCCTTATGAAAGTTTTGACCCCACCTTGGAAAGGCGGCTCTGTGTATCTGCAGTTATAACATGCATGCATGAACATCCTCTTATAGGTGGGGCTGGATGCTATCCAGTTACTGAATATTTGCGTCATTCAGATGTGATCTGCGATGTGCTTGTTGAATGTTGAAATGTGCTTTTTGAATGTTGCTCATGACTACATATACCTATAGCTATACATTGAAATACATTATTCCTTGCATTTTGCTTTCCTTTTACACCTATTTTCTCAAATGGCACGAGGTTTTGAAAGTCTTAAAAATCTGGAATTAATTTTTATAGAAATTGTATACAGTGAGGATCTTAAGATATCTTTCTGAGGATATCTTTAAGCAGTTGCCATGCATTCCAAAATAAAATTGATATATATTGTTAACACGATGCGAGGTCGGATTTTAGATGCAATTAACGAAGAGTATAAAAGAAGAAAGGATATATTTCGATCACTAAAAGTTAGTAATGTTAGTGTCACCGACGATTAGAGGCGCTGCAATGCCATATTACAACTTCCCAAATGGTAAAATTATTTCAAGGCGATATCCTCAATAATCCGGTAAACTATTGGGTGTACACAAATTGGGTAGAGCGATAGTTGTTAATAAAGGATATATATCATAACTGATAGAGCGATAGTTGATATAGGAGGATCATACCTATAGACCTTTTAAGTCAGTTAAATTGAATGTAATCTGTAGTAACACATATATCTGTGGTCAAAATGACTCTGATATGAATTACAAAACAATAAAACACCACAATCGTAACGTATCTCTCAATTATCGCGTAACGTTAGTATCGTCCCCTAAATTTACGAATAAGCGTTAGCACTTACGTCTGAATTTAAATTTGTCTTACAATAAAATATAAACAGGAAGGGCTTGCCAAGAACCATCAGAGTAATGCCATGTTATTATAACTGTCGAGAGTCCAAAACACATAAGAAATACCTGCATGTGAAGGTAATAAAGCAAGTAGCGCAGGTTGACCAAATCTAGAAAACAAAATGGGTATACGAGCGGGGAAAGTCATGTCATTGCGTTATTCCATTTGACCTATTTTGCGAGCATTATTTCTGAATCATTATTAGTCGAATCCTCGAGTTCCTGTTGGTTAAAGTGTTCCCAAATTCCAGTGCCAATTGACTCTCCTATATAGCGGGACTAAGCCCGTCTTAGTCTGTCTAAGCTTGTATATGTCCGTGGGATGAAAACGTTATATATGGCGAGTCTTTCAGTATACTGACTTTACCTAATTAAATTTAGTAGTGGGCCACCGCCCAGCCCGTGTGCCCCCTTGGAGGAAATTCCTCCATACGGCCATGCAGCAACGGATAATCACTAATGTAAGAATCTTTAGACGAAAAAAATCGGAATTATTTTTTGAGCTGAGAATTCCCTTTTGAATTTTCGAAACATTTTCGGACAGAGCAGAAAGAGCAGTCATTGATGTGGAACATAATTATTATACATAAACTTTCATCGCATTAACTCGACCTTTTAGGTTCGATGTTCGTCCCTATTACTCTATCCGATGCATTGATCACAAAGTAAACATCACTTAATGACTAGTGGGAAAAATCTTCAATATGGATCTAACTAACTATATGCATGGTATATGCTTATACTCATTAGACTTCATTTTAGGCTCTGCATGTCGTACTCGGTTGTAATTAAAAAAAACAACAAAAAACACTTATAACATCCGGAACCTAGTCACAAAAATAACAGTACTACATCTCCTAACGAAGACCCTTAGGTCGAAACGTCCAGAAACTTAGCCTTTTTTATGCAGTTCATATAACCTACCACATATGATGCGAATTTTTTGAAGATGCAGCTTTCTGTATAATTTGTATATAGATAGCTACATTGGTCAGTCATGATAAATGAATGAACAGGGACTACATATAGCTTATATATTTTAGGCATTGCAAACATAAAACGATTAATAAACGAGAAGACAGTATAAAGTGATTGTCTACAGCATGCTGTGAGTTGAAATGATCTTTAAGAGAACTATACATAAAATTTTAATTGTTAAGAGTGAGGAACTAAAATCAACGAAGCGAGACGTTTAATTCGATATTGAATTCGTGGGTAAATTGGTTTCCAAAACAGGGTTGCCAGATTACTAAATAAATTAGCCAAATATTATTGCCATAATCGTTGTTTTCTTTGTTTGAAACAAAGAAATCAAAGGGCCGACTATAATAATGTTAAGCTTCTTTTTTCAGTAATCCTGGCAACCCTGTTCCAAAATGGTTTCTATTGTCTCTCTGTTTTAGTCATGCAGTCGAATTTCTCATGTCATCGTGTTTCGCATGCAGGTACAGTATATTGACAACTTGTAATTACGGACTTGGTGTTTGGTCGAAAATGTTTGTGGGGTATTAAATAGCTGAAAATATGTATTCCAACATGCCAAAGTGCTATAAAGTCGTGTAGCTCACACCCAATAAATGCATTAAAATACATTTCTGGTCAATTCAATTTTCACGCTCTTGCTGCATGAGTAATACGACGATGATGCCGCTCGAATAAATTGAACTTCTAAACCGTCTTTGTCTTGTTTCGGTGAGAATTGGTAAAAAAACGGACGAAAGATTCTTCCTATTGTTCAATTGCAGTGTCATATTGATAATAAATTAGTTATTTGCCTTAGCAAAAAATCCAGTGGCGCCAGCGCTTCCTGCCCGAGTGGTGGAATTCTTTTAAAAGATCCGCCCGGCCCGATGCCAAAAAAACATGCTCCGGTGCCCCTGGAAAAATTGACTTATTGCTTCAACTTTGAGCAAAACGTAACCGCGTAAAGTACTTTCAGTTTTAACCGTGTATAAATTCAGCTATAATCACATCAAGTCTACATGTGTGAATTTGACCTAACAAGGCGAAAAATACTCATAGAATGAGGCGATGCACTGCATGGTAGCTAATTCAGTTTGAATATCGGTAGAAAAATAGGAAGATGCGCATGCACTAGATTCAATAAAATGTTAGTTTTTCTCAGGTTCCGCGAACGAGTCAGTCATCATCGAATGATATACCACTATACAACAGCCATGTTATTAAAATATTATGAGAGATTATGAGAAGTCAAATAACTTTTTTATTTCCCTATATTAACGTTTTATTTACAGAAGTTATTTTGTTACTTAATTATTAGCTCGAGTTCGTTATTGGTGTTTGTTAATATCTGGTTATTGTTATAGTATCACGACTATATAGGTTAATGTTTGGAATACTTAAAAAGACAGTTCAATATTTTTGCCCTCGCGGGTCTTCATGTCGCTTCTGCATGTAGTACTTCCTGAGACTGACGCGGATAATGATTTCGAAACAAACTCCAAGAGATTGAGTTCAAGATAAAGACATGCAAACAAACTTTAAGACAGACAAACTTTATCAACAGCATAATCACACTGGAATAATACGCGCACGCGTCGTACTGATACCACGTCCATTATGTTTCTTGTGCTGACAACACGACAGAATGGCACGAAATTTGTCACGAAATCGTTTGCTCAATAGGCTGTATATGATGGGGTTCAAAGCTGTGTTTAAGGATATCACTATCCTTAGAGATGACACTATAATAACTCTATGATTTTCCACATCCTTAAAGAGCATGTTAATAATATATAACAAATGGAACGGGAAATAGCATATGAAAAACCCAACAAGGATGGCGATCACCATTAATGTTGTCTTACGGCGATTTCGTTCTGACATCCCCGACACGGTCTGGTTTCTGGCTTCGCCAACAGGTTCAGTCTCGTTCAGTCGCTTATCGGGTTTCCGTATGCTGCGAGCTATTCCACTATACAAAATTCCAAGCGATACAAACGGAAAAACATGTAAACAAACGAACATTATCATGTAATAGACTCGCCACTCGAGTACATTCATTTCAACGTCAACAAATTTAATGTTTCGAAGTGTTATTTTGCCGTTTTCTCTAACATGCAGCGGCACGGTTTTTGTTGTTGATGTGATGAAATACGGCGAGGCAATAGCGACGGAGAAGACCCAAATAGTAAATAGCATCCAAAATCTGGCCTTGTTCTTGTTCCTCACTCTGTCTTTTAACGGGTAGACAATCGCTAAATATCTACAAAAATAAAATCCACAATCATGCACCGAGCCACCAGAAAATGGTTGCAACTAAAGTTAGACGATTAGAATAGCTCCATGCAGGACTATTGCAGGTCATGCAGTGAAGTTAACCATGGAAGATACACATAGTCGCTAGGTGGCTTCTTATTGGTTAACTTCCAGGAAATTATGGCAATTTCTGCTAGAAGATAACGTCTAGCGCCTCTAAACTTGGAGTATACATACTTTCATTTAGAGGCTAATAGAATTCATCTATTTACTTGAAGGGAATAGTACTCATCTACTTACCTTTCAAATGCGATAGCTATTAACGTTAACGCAGATGCAGCTATAGAAAGCATGCTTACTCCATGACAAATCATAATCATTGCCCGACCAAGTATCCAGCGTTGATTACAAATATCAGTTATCATATACCCTGGCATGCCAAGGAGAGTGTAAACGATATCGGAGGACGATAGGTTGACCAACAGGATATTAGTTGTTGTTCGCATGGATTTGTTCATGAATACAACCATGAGTACCATGATGTTCCCTGTGAAAAAGCGAAAGGTACATAGAGTGAGGGCCAGTTATTCATCTTGACACCGTAAATGACATATTTTGTGAGGGAAAATGATGAGAGAAACGCTGTCAAATAACTTGATTAAACGAGATGAAGGCGTTATGGGGAATGATTAACAATAGCTAAAGCTGTGATGCGCAAAGAAAACTTTTGATTGTAGGGCCAGAGTTGATTGTAGGGCCAGATCACAATTACCGAATTACGTATTCATATTTTTTTGTTTACATTTTGTTTGTGTATTCGTGAGGTAGTTGTTCACGATTTTCCTTCTATGACCCACTAGACGTTTCCGTTGTTTTTTAAAAGAAACATACTTGAGTACAAGTATATATCTGCCCGCCTTCTCATTTCGCAAGGAATTTATATTTTAAACTTTATTTTACTTCAACTTAATTTGGAACATTTTTCCACCAGGCTACATGCGTGATTTAGTACAATCTCCCGTTGAAGGTTATATTTTGCTCTATTCACACATTTTCTCACTGGTACCATTTTCATAGACATAATTAAACCTCTATATAAGCAAAAGGAAATTTAAAGATTCTTTTGTACTCGCGAGAGCAAAGAAAAATCCTGAGAGCTAAAGAAACATTCTGCGTAACTTTTGTCACAAAGAAGAATTTTAAGGTATAGGGTGTTGGTAGAAATAGTCTAAGGTCATAAGTTTATAAACCTGCAATTTTTGCTGCGCTTTTCTTCTTTTGAATGAGTGAATTAGTTACGCGTATGTTCAAATAAGAGCTAGTACACATCAGAGCATTCGTAACTTTTTAATCGTTCACGTCTATCATGCATGCAAAAGAATAAAATCGCACATAAAATCGCAGGTGTAAACGGGCCTATAGAGGTTAAACTGTACGTAATTGTTGATAGACATAAATATGCATGATAATAACGTTTTATAGGTATAGCTTTCAATCGGGCATCTGTTAGTCCCAAAGCCACAAACAACTGCAACTTTCTATAGCCGTACGTCCCACGGGTATTATTTCATCCTACGCCCATGCAGTATTTAATTTGACTAAATGTAGAGTTCCTGCATGCATGGGAAAATTTTTCCCGAATAGATTATTTGTGAAAACCAGCTTAAGCTTATTTCATTTCAGATTCCTCCTTATATCTGATATATTTGTCAACTATATATATGCTTCTCAATAAAGGTATAATCTTGAAGCTTCGTGACACTATTATGTTGAGATAAAAAAGAACTTAATATTGGAAACACTAACAATAACGAACTAGCTATATATATATAGGCGTCTTCAAGCAATTTTCCAATTTCCAATGTTGATCCAATATAGCCAACACACATCCACAGTATAGCTATACAGTGAAATATACAAAGCTCCCTATATAAATCGTCATAGGTTGGTCTACATTATAGCCAGAGCCATTATAGTCATTTCTATTCATCAGCTCGACGAGAAAAGAAAGCAAGTGCAATGTAATGGTTATAGTTACATTAAAATGATTGAATGTTTCTACTCACCAACCAATCCGAGGAGGCCAAGAATTCCATACGCTAGCGCATACCCGATGATTGCAGCCGTACTCTGGTATAGTTCGAAAATCATCGTTTCATTCGCGCTACTGCTGGTGTTGTTCATCTTGATGTCGAATGTTCGGCAAATTATTTTATATTGAGCCGAACCTTTAAAGTACAGCTTCGCTTTCGTGGTGGATTATATAATTATCTTTATCACAGCCTACCTTTTTTATCTAAGACACCTGCAAGCTCTGCACAAAATGAGCTTAACTGCATGAGGTTGATCGACATGGAGGCACATTTGAATTATAGCCAAGCATATCTCATCTTAATTCTTAAATACTATTGTACTGTTGCATGCCACCGGACGTTTGGTGGTCCTTTCGCGTGACGCAAATTACAAGTAGAATGTAGTATAATTAAAGAAGGATATATTGGCCAGTCATGGCATAATGAACAAGGCTTATGTGTCAAAACTTATCGTGGTTGAAGAGTGTTAAATATAATTATATAAAAATTAATTATACCGGTTAACCGTTTATAATGGCTTCTACCTCTCCGCAGAAGGTTCTATTAATGCAGCATGCAAGAAATGCTACTAGTGTTTTCTGTGTAAAAATTTTCAGCAGTATTTCATTTTACAGCAAAAATTTTGAACTAAGTAGACTAAGTACAATTATTATTGTGGGACAAAATGTCCATTATTTAATCTAGTACAACGACTATATAATTATTAAACGACTAAATTAAAGAGAGAACTGTCAGAGGCTTCACACTAGCGGCTAAATCGAGGACGGCACATTTGCCCGACGCCATCTTGAATCACGTGTCAAGTCTGGGGATGAGTTATGATGTTACAGTTTCAACATTAACGATCGCAAAAAAGTAAAGTGGAGTTTCAAATTTGTCGCCATATTGAGTTCCACCCCGTAGAAGCCTGGGCACTAGTAATATAAAGTAATATATCACTTCCTGACGAGGCCGGGTGACGAATACATAGAGAATAATACATTTATTTCGAGTATTAGGAAACCTCGTTCAGTTGCAGTAAACGAGTAATGATCCTACAATCACAAAATTAGGCCATGTCAAATATACTAGGTCTTAGACTCTCAGAGTTATGCCCGCTGCGTTCTTCGGTTTTCGTATTGTTCACTCATTTATTTTCCAAGACCCTTCTGTGCTGGTCACACCCCAGTTTCGGAGAAAGATTTTTCTAGGATCTTACTCCTCTTGAAACCGCAACCGGCTCGCTGTGGGTTGATCTTCTCGTGTGTCTTAACTGTTGCAGATATGGAGTGAAATTTCAGCTGTGAAATAAATGGCAGATGTTGAAACATTCTAATGAGCCTGAATTACCATTTTCCTCAAATTTTATTTTGTGACCTGTTAAATCAGACTTCATTGACTTCATTAAAATTACAAAACAATCGCACCGTAACCATTAGATTCACCTGGGCCACAAATAACTAGCTTATGGTAAGGTAATGTTGCTCCTTTGCTCAAGGGACTCCATATCTGTGATATTTTATCGTCAACACAAATGTTGATATTAAGGAACCTTATGCATGTAGGACGGCAACACGTTGACGACGTGGTTTGAATACTCCTTTAAATAAATGTTATGGTAAAACGTTGTTGTATATTATCAACTGTACCAATTTAATGAGATATAAGACGTTGAAAACATTGTGTTTACGTTTAGGGACAATTCTATAGAGCCTAATTCGAGGTAGCGCTCACCGGGTCCTGAAATCAGACGTTCCACATAGGACGTATAAACGACGTTTTGCCGTTGTAGATAGAACGTAGATCACGTCTAAAACTCCCATAGGTATTTAATAATTCATTTGTTTTCAATGAACTATTGTATTGATAGCTGCCGTCGTCGTACGTGTTCCCGTCCTACATGCTTAAGGTCCCTATTATTAGGTTAAAGCCACGAATATAAGATTCAGTTTTGTGCGTTTTAGACAAGAAAATAAATCATCATCATCAAAGAAAACTTATATAAATTTATGTAAAATCCTCGGAACTAAAATAAAATAGTGTGGTAATTCGCCAGAAGTTCTGCTGGTCTGGTGGTGAAGGCAATGCTCTCCCATGTTTCAAACTGGATGTTCGAGTCCAAGCATATCCGTTTTTCATTATGTCTTTCGAGAAAAAAATAAAGTAAATCAAACAACCTTATAGTCATTCAGCACAAGATCTCGTAGTCTAGTGGTGAAGACAATGGTCTCCCAAGTGGTAAATCGATGGTTCGAATCCCACCATGACCGTTTTTCATTATGAATTTCGTGAAAAGGATAAAGTAAATCAAACAGCCACAGCCGTTCAGCAACAGAACTTGTAGTCTAGTGGCGAGGACAATGGTCTCCCAAGTGGTTTTTCATTATGAACTTCGTGAAAAAAATAAAGTAAATCAAAGAACGGTAGCTACTGAGTACAAGATCTCGTAGTCTACTGGTGAAGACAATGGTCTCCCAAGTGGTTAATCGATGGTTACGTTCGATTCCTGCCATAACCGTTTTTCATTATCAACTTGGTGAAAAAGATATAGTAAATTAAATAACCACAGCCGTTGCGCAATATCTTGTAACCTAGTGGCTATGACAATGGCCTCCCAGGTGGTAAATCGATGGTTCGAATCCTACCATGAACGTTTTTCATTATGAATTTCGTAAAAAGGATAACGTAAATCAAAAAAATTAATAACCACAACCGTTCAGCAACAGAACTTGTAGTCCAGTGGTGAGGACAATGGTTTCCTACCATATCAGTTTTTCATTATAAACTTCGTGAAAAAAATAAAGCAAATCAAAGAACCGTAGCCATTCAGCACAAGATCTCGTAGTCTAGTGGTGAAGACAATGGTCTCCCAAGTGGTACATCGATGGTTCGAATCCTACCTTAACCGTTTTTCAAAATATTGACTTCGGGAAAAGGATGAAGTAAATTAAATAACCTTAGCCATTCAGCACAAGATCGTGTAGTGTTGTGGCGAAGACAATTGTGTCCCAAGTGGTAAATCGATGGTTCGAATCCTACCATAACCGTTTTTCATTATGAACTTCGTGAAAAGGATCAAGTAAATTAAATAACCATCGCAATTCAGCACAAGATCTTCTAGTGTTGTGGTCAAAATGTTAGTCTAATGTGTTGAGAGTCAAAGGTTCGAATCTCGTTTTGGATGAAAATTTTCGTTATTAATAAAACGTGGTAAGGTTATGGAGAATAAATTGGTGTAGGCTTCCAACAATCACCAGTTAGCCTTGTGGTAAAGTCGTGTATCAAGTACAAAACCGTGGTATCAAGAACAGTATGGTACGTTCCTCATGCCGGTGGAAAGAAAAGTAAAAAAAAAAAGGTATGGTAGGCTTGTTACTCGGGGGAGGTTTGTACTCCATTAATCTTTGCAAATCAAAGTTAATCTTTAGGGAAATCAGGGGATAGATAGGGTGAATGAGGGGTATATGAGTACAAAAAGACTTAGTAATTGTGCGGGCGACCTCGGCTTCCGGGGCAGGGGGAGGGTATAGGTGAGAAAACAGTATATAAAATGTTTAAGTCTTTTTGTACTCATTTAAACCTCTTTACCCCTATTTATCCTCCTATTTACTCCTATCTATCTCTACTTTTACCTATCCTCATATATCCCTAACTATCCCCTAACACAATTAAATGTTTGAAGAAAGCTTGCTTTGAAAGTCAGGAAAGCCGGGGGAAAGAGAACCCCCCTCAGTCTACTCCTCGCCCAAGGCGAGGGCATATTCGCCCTCTCGCTCTACTCCTCTCACACTCACAAATTCTCACTTTGTTACCTGTTTCTTTTTCGGTTTATCCAGGGCTTGAACCATCGACTGTATACTTGGCAGTTCATCGTCTTCACCACTACACCACCAGTTCTTGTGGTGTAAGCCTCGAATTTTTTATTTTACTTAATCCTTTTTAGAAGGATCTGTGACGAAACGTAAATACCTTTTGGTAGGATCTCAAATGAAATACAATTTAAATGAGTTCATTTTAATGTTCATGATTTATTTTCTCCAATCTCACACACTGTATCTTTACAGGCTTTACTATCGTATTCGTAGCTTGTAACATATCACATACAGGAATGCAGTGACTTGAAGCACTATCTTCTATAAGTTAGTTATATGTGGCCCAAGTGAAGCTAATGGTTACGGTGCGATTGTTTTGTATTTTTAATGAAGTGAACTAGTGAAGTCGAAGTAAAGTACAAGAATTATAAATAGCCGAATACTCATCTTATTGAGACTGGAAAGTTAATAGCCGTAAAAACCCATCTGAATGTGAATTGGAATATGGAAAATTTATACGTGTGATGCATGGTTCGGGTAATACGTAACCATTACGATAACAATTGTGTTTATTTTCCGTAGCCTTGTTCCGTCCTCGATTCTGATGATATTTCTAATCTATTCTGATTTACTGATCCGTCTAAATGCGAATTTACGACGAGTTTCTCTTCCACACGGGATTCCCGTCTAACTTACCCGTCTCTTAATTTAGACTGGAAAGTTGGACGGAAAAATTAGGACGAAAAACCCTTCTGTGCGGTTCACATCAGACGAGTTTCCCGTCTTCGATGAGTTTCTCGTCTTTGATGAGTTTCCCGTGTATATGAATTCGGCTAAATGTATATAACTCGTATATATAGTCATGAGACAACAAACATTTCATCTGAAATTGCAAATAAGTAAATATCCAGTTAAACGAACATTAAGTATTTATTTCAAGACTGTTCCTCGCCGCTTCGTCCAGCCGGTTCGTCGAATATAAAATACGCTAATCTAATATTTGAACCTTTGCAGTAAAGAACGTCTTAACAACTGCTTGACGACCACATTGTTTGTCGATAAGCTATTGTTCTCTATTTGACTTAATCGTTTCTTCGAAAAACTTTTAAATTAATACTTATGAATCGTTGCTGTAATATTGTAGAGCTGCTGTCTGTTTGTTTGTTAGCGCGGTTAACTGCGAAAATTACGCTTTTGAACTGAACTTCTTTTAATTTTTCTTTTTGTCTCATGACTATACGAGTTATATACATTTAGCCGAATTCATGTACACGGGAAACTCATCAAAGACGGGAAACTCGTCGAAGACGGGAAACTCGTCTGATGTGAACCCCACAGACGGGTTTCTCGTCCGAATTTTTCCGTCCAACTTTCCTGACTAAATTAAGAGACGGGTAAGTTAGACGGGAATCCCGTCTGGAAGAGAAACTCGTCTTAAATTCGCATTTAGAAGGATCAGTAAATCAGACGAGTTTGAGAA